CCGCAGCAGCTGGATGTGAAAAATGTTTCAGTTTAGCCTTCCTTCCAAAATGACTGAAACCTTAAACTCTTTTGGCATTTTCTCACTGTAAAACTCCATGTTCTACATACTACACCTTTAAACCATTTGGAGTTTGCCTTCCTGCCTCCCACGGATCTCCCCCCTGCTCTTGGATCCTATGCCACATCAAAATCCTGACTAATGATCTTCTGCAAGTGGAGCTGAGAATTACAAGCATGCTCAATAGTTAATATATGTGATCAATAAAACGTAGATTGTTTCTCATTTGTTTCACAGATCAGATCAGTTTATTTAGCTTAATAAACTCCATCCATCCATTTTCTTCTGCTTATCTGGGGTTGGGTTGCAGAGGGCAGCAGCCTAAGTAGGGAGGCCCAGACTTTCCTCTCCCCAGCTACCTGAACCAGCTCTTCTGGGGGAATCCCAAGCCGTTCCCTGGCCAGGTGAGAGACATAGTACCTCCAGCGTGCCCTGGGTCTCTCTATGGTTCTCCTCCCACTTGGACATGCTTGGAAAACCTCACCAAGGAAGTATCCTGATCAGATGTCCGAGCCACCTCAACTGGCTCCGCTCAATTCAATGCTATTCAAGTTTATTTATATAGCGCCAAATCACGACAAGAGTCATCTCAAGGCACTTCACACAGTAAACATTCCAATACAGGTCAGTTCATTAAGCCAATCAGAAAAAAGTTTCCTATATAAGGAACCCAACAAATTGCATCGAGTCACTGACTAGTGTCAGAGTCTTTACAGCAATCCTCATACTAAGCAAGCATTTAGCGACAGTGGAGAGGAAAACTCCCTTTTAACAGGAAGAAACCTCCAGAGCATCCTGGCTCAGTATAAGCAGCCATCCTCCACGACTCACTGGGGATGGAGAAGACAGAGCGGACACACACACACACACACACACATACACAACATATATAACTCAATGTGGAGGAGCAGCAGGTCTACTCTGAGCCCCTCCCAAATGATTGAGCTTCTCATCCTATCTCTAAGGGAGACCCCAACCACCCTGCGAAGAAAAAAATGAGCCCCTGCACCGTGAGAACAAACATCCCAGCTCTAAAGTCGATATTCATTTGCGAACGTCACACGTCATGAGATCAGGAAGCAGACATTCCATGTGTTAGGAGATCGTTTTGGACCGCTGCTGTAAAAAAAAGTGAGGCGCGAACCGGAAAAGCTTCTGCCGATCACAATTCGACAACGGATAATGAAAGAACAAATAACACTCGAAACACACAGATTCTTCCTGATGTAAGAGGTGAGTCTACTTTGTTTTGGTAGTTTGGGCGTTGGCATCATCCTAGAGCACCACGCTCTGTGACTTTTAAAACGCTGGCAGCGAAGGACTTCTCTGATCAGGAAATGGCTGGCAGTTAATGAGTTACTATAGCGTAATATTGTTTTTGGATGGTAAAAAGTGCAGGGGACAAAAATTGACTTTGCAAACAGTTGGTTTCTGAAATAAGCAGGGAAATGGTCCTTTCGAACCGCCCCGGTGAAATGGAGCCACGTGCGTGCTGCAAGAGTCTGGTGAAATTACCTGGAACCGAGGAAATGGGCCAAGCTGATATGTAGCAACAAGGTTAGTTCATCAGTGGTTTTGGTTCGATTTTTTTATCTTAAAGGAGAAAACTTAGAAAGGTTCAACAGTCCTTCTTTTGCCTTGCAGCAAGAAGGTCCTGGGTTCGCTTCCCGGCCTGGGATCTTTCTGCATGGAGTTAGCATGTTCTCCCTGTGCATGCGTGGGTTCTCTCCGGGTACTCCGGCTTCCTCCCACAGTCCAAAAACATGACTGTTAGGTTGATTGGTCTGTCTAAATTGTCCTTAGGTGTGTGTGTGTGTGTGTGTGTGTGCATGTTTGTTTGTCCTGTGTGTCTCTGTGTTGCCCTGCGATGGACTGGCTCTCTGTCCAGGGTGTACCCCGCCTGATTGTCCGTTGACCGCTGGAGATAGGCACACACACACACACACACACACACACACACACACACACACACACACACACACACACACACACACACACACACACACACACACACGACCTTACATGGACAAGCGGGTTCAAAAGATGGATGGATGGATGCATTATAACTCTACAGGTACTACATCCCACCTCACACACCCAGAGGTCTGACTGAACAACCCATATGGTGTCATCAGTTGTTAAAGTTGGACTCTGCAGAGAAAACAAGCAAACAGTTCAGTTCTTGAGCCACCACAAGAAACGTGGCAGTTCCTAAATATCAGGTAAATAATTAACAACAAAGGAGAAAAAAACAACTCAGTTTTGTTGTGCAATAACCAAACAAAGCAGCACAGTAGTAAAAAAATAAAAATGATAAGTTAAGTGGATTTATATAGCACCTTTCTCAGGTATGAATAAACATAAACATAAAAACCACTAAGTGCTTCGCAACCAAATGGCAAAAACACAAGACCAGAATGAGAGGAACAGACAGAATTGGAAGAATATTTGGCTAAAACTAACAGTCGAAGAGAGACAACAAAAAGTCTCGAGGACATTTAAAACCAGATTAAAAAGCCATGTCTGTAAATGTTTCCTAAAAACTCAAGAGAGAATCCACAAAACGCAACGATGGGGGGCGGACACCACAGCCATGGGGCCACGGCCTTTTTTTTAGGGACAGATCTCAGCTGGCGTGACGAAGAATAGATTTGCTGCGCTTATAACCACGTTATAATCCCCCCCCCCCCCCCCCCCCCAACAGCAGCATGTGCCCCTCACATGTTTGTCCTAAAAAGATTAATAAAGCATGGAAATGTCCTGCCTCTACTAACACACCCTGATAAATCCATTTTCACGTCCACTGAATGTCTCACACCCCCCTGAACAACTCCTAAAGACGAACAGATCCCTAAAAGCTTTAACCCTCATCAGCAACAGCTCAGGGCCAGACGGAACCGCACCAACATGCTTTATGCTCACTTCCATTAGGTTGACCTTGCGAGTGAGGACACCGCTAGTGTTTACATCTTTTTGTCTCCAGGTCAGCTCATTTAAGACTTAGAGCTAATTAAACCATTGTTTTCATTTCTTCTTTAAAGGCATCAAAATGTGCCTTAAGGGTGACACGACATCACCCACGTCCCTGCTGGTAATGTTTAACATCACGCTGGACCAGTAGACGTTCACTCCGTCGTTCCTGAATGTGTGACGACTGTAACGATGGACAGCATCAGAGTTGACCTGCAGGGCCGAGTGGCGTCTCCAGGAACGTCTGCCGTGGTGAACTTTTGCTGCTCCGTTCATGATCGAGGAAGTGAGAACAGGCGGGACTAACACCTGCATCGTGGGCGTGCAGCCATCTGCTGCATGTGTGATGCCGTTATCTCAACATGGCCCAGAACCCCAGGAAGGTTTCACACATCTTAAGTCCACTACTGAATAATTCAGGTGGTTCTGAAGGCAAAATACTAGAAAGGTGTTCCTAATGAGGTGACCAAAGTCTGTTTATCAGTATGATGTGTGTGTTGGTGTCTTCCTTACTGATCTCGTTTAAATTACAACAGAGTAATGAATAACAGGTCTTCAGTGCAGTTTCATGACAACAAATGATTGACAACGAAAAGTCATGTCAGAGAATCGGGGTCGGTGCTGGACTTTGTCGCTCTCTGCATACGGCTTGCACCCTGGAAGGCACGAAGAAGAACCCGCTTTCTCCGATCCCGCTTCTTTCACTTGAACCGTATCTCTGCACGTCACCGTAGCAGGCCTAAAAGCAACGCATCACTTTCCGAGAAACGATGTCCTTATCACATCCCCACCCACTCTGCAGGGAGGAAACCCACACGTGGACATCACAATCAGCCTCCAGCAGCCAGCCAGACACCGTGATGGGATCTCTCCCTCCAAAGGTACACCTCTCTGACCGGACTCGGCCGCGATGTCTTCACCGGACTGATCCGGGAGAAATCAAACAGAAACATTACTTCAATGAAGTAAAAAAAATTCCACTTTCTTAAAGGAAGCAGGAAAAGATATTTCTGGTGAATTCAGGTAACAGGAAGTAAGAACAGGTGAAGAGGGGCCACTTTTAGACCAGCTTAACAGCTCATTTAGCCTGAAACGAGGAAGTGAAAGGCTTAAAGCAGATGATGCAATTTCCATCCTGGATGATAGCAGCTGGGGTCCTGCTGAAGGAAGGGGGTGCGTGTGATTTTTTTTTTTAGCTTCTCTGAATATCTTATCAGTATGAAAACAGGCCCAGGCCTAAAGCCCACTGCTGTTAGCTCACAGCATCATGAACCCTTTGATGCATAATGGTCACTACAGTGGACAGGTACTCAAAATTGTGTGTTTTTTTTTTTTGCTATTAAGCACAGCTGTTGAAGACTTTATTGCATTTGAGCCCCTCCATTTGGACTTCAGCAAGTCAAGCCAACATATTTCATGTTCAGATTGCACGCTGTCCACTGAGGCGGACATGTAATACATTATTTATAAATGATTAAATATTACAAAAATATTTGTTGAAAATTGCTTCATTCACACAGTTATTGAAATGTTTTTCATCTAAAGATGAATGAAAAAAATTGTTAAAAAAATCATGGTTGAAGATTTCATAATTCATGCGTAATTAATTAATTGTGTTGAATTTGTTTTCTCAGCTCATCTTTGTAGCTTTTGTTTATTTTGGTCTTCCTTATTTATTTATTTTATGTGCTTGTGAAGCATCTTGAGATTTTTATCTTGAAAGGCGCTATACAAAAACACTTTTCTTCTTCTGCTGTTCAACTTTACACCAGAAGCTCGGGTTGAACTACTCAACTGTCACTTAGAAAACTGAGTCTAAGTAAAGATGATGAAGCTGAAAACATTTTGCATTTGGTCAAAACTTTAACTTCTAGCCGAGTCCCTCCAGGTGTATAAAACCCTGATGTGTTGTAGAGACCAGACAACAGTGACCTCCAGTGGTTGATGTTGAGAACTACACCTTCAAAAAATATGATCGAAAATATTTATTTAACACCTGTCACATTTTCAAAGAGTATTAATGACACAGTAAAAAAAATATCTCTCTCTCACACACACACACACACACACACACACACACACACACACACACACACACACACACACACACACACACACACACACCACACACACACACACACACACACACTCAGTGGCTGGGTCGGAATGGGAACTGCACTCCTGTCATGAATGGCTGCGTGTGGTACTGAGTGTGAGAGGCAGGGTGGGAGACCAGAGGTGTGTGTGTGGGCAGAGTGGGGAGCGTGGTGTGTGAGGCAATGGGCGAATGAGCAGTGTGTGGGCTGTAGGCCAGTGGAGGGGTGTGGATGTTGTTGTAGTACATCACTGGTCCAGATAACACCAACTGGAGCAAACTGGAACACAAAGATGAAACAATCCTGTTTGGTTTCACTCAATAAATCACACACAGCTGGAGAGTGACACTTAAAAAGGACCCAAACACGTCAGGAGGATGGAAGAGATGACAATAAATTAGCTCAAATAAAGGAAACGAATTATCACTCTTTAAGGTATAACTTTTCTATGGTCTGTTTATTTGCTCTAAATTCGTCTCACATAAAATAATGTCAGCAGTTTATTCTTGGCATTTTCAGTCCCTTCCAGAATGAGTCGTTTCAGGGCTATGTCACTTAAAGAAAACCATCCTCTGATTGGCTGCTAGAGAAGCTCCGAGTAGAGCCGCTGCTCCTCCAGCAGCAGCTCTCTCCTTTGATGTAAGAGGTGGTTTTCATGCAAATTTCCCCATTTGTGACATCACAATCTGGGACTTTTTAAAACAGCTACTTTATCAGTGTCATATCTGTAAAGCCTAATTTTAACTTCTCTGTCAGCGTCGAGACGGACACACGCAACGACATTACGCATAGATGCAAGATCCCTCTGACGGGCTTGTGGAGGAAGACGGAGACATGCCCCAAATTTGACCTATCTGTCCAAAGAGACAGAGACCGCAAGCTTGTGATTGGTCAGGACGCTGCTTCCTGTTTTCATTCGTCAGCAGCGCCGTCTTTGCCTCTTCAAAAAATAAAGAGATATTTAGCAGCAGACACGGAACAGATTGAAGACTGGATTGTGGAAAAAGTCTGAAAATATGAACGTTTATTCCCCCGTGACTGAAGGAGATTAAAGATACGCAGCAAGAGATTTATTCGTGGACGGAAGAGATGAGAAACGTGAGTTTAGAGGTGTCGATCACATGAAGAGGTGGAGCCTGGAGGGGAATGAGGGACAAACTTGTCCGTGTTAAAAAGTCTGTGAAATACATTTAAACAATGTAAACACAACAGTAGATACATTATCGTGGACCGGATACGTGACTGTAATGGTGGCAGAATAACTCAGAATGGTGCTACGGCCTCCATTGTCCTGGTGGGGAATTGATTTGCAACAGTCCCCAGCTGATAAAGAAGTCTGAAAGCAAAACGTCTCAGTCAATGCGTGTGCGTCTCTGCCTCGCGGAGCTGACGGAGAATATAAATTAGGCTTAAGCCTCTATTATAGGGAACTTAATGTATGAGTAAGTTTATGGTTAACAAGCTGCACAAAATTAAAGGTGCAATATGTAAGAAAGAAGTAAAAATGATATCTTGTGGTCTAACGTAGCTACTGCAGTCCATTGTTCTAAAAAACAACTTCAAACTGAGTTTCATGGCTGTTACCAGTTACGGATCAGTACCAGAAGATTCTAGATGACAAGAAAAGACGAGTCAAACACAGTAAGTTGATAAGTAGATAAATACACTGTCATATCTGGTGTTGGCACCTTTGGGTGTTTTATGCTCGGGAGCACTTACAACACGTGTACAATAACATGCCTCCAACATTGCAGAAAGTGTTGTTTGTGGTCTTGTGGTTAGCTTGATGTGACAGTTCTGAACGATTCATTAAAGTAGTAAAATGGCACGATTGACTCATTATTCACTTCACACGTACATTTCACTGTAATATTGAGTTGTTCCTAATTGAAAAAAGCAGCTTGGAATATTTTACGAGCTGACTATTTGCGTCAAATTCACTCTTAGCATTGTTAGCCCAATGTTAGCCTCTAGCCTGCTTCACACAATATTAGAATAATATTACAAGATGCCGTGGCTTCTTAGGGATACCAGAAATAACTTCTGGGTCGCTCCTGTTTACTGACTTCGGTTTATTTAACAACTCTTGAGCTTATGGCCTGCTGGTGTTGAACCACAAATGCCGCCGCTGCAGGATTAGCTTTGCTCAGATTCAGCAACCTTGCTTGCTCACTGATTGTAAACAGTAACTACATCTCTCTCTCTCGTTTAACCTTCCTTCCAACATGATTTAAACATTAGACTGTTTTGAGATTATTTCACTGTAAAGTTCTTACATATTGCTCCTTTAATGGAACCAACCACAGAGAGGCTGACATGTCACAACTCATTTTATACGAAAATAGTTTTCATTTTTACTTTGCAAAAAGAAACACTAAATGATGTGAATGATTCTGGATCAGATTCTGGCGGCACTTATTAGCTCTTACTTGTTGTGAGGGAGGCGGGAACAGATGGCTCTCAGGTCCTCTGGAAAGACAAAATACAACATGATCAATATTCAAAAGCACTGTTCCACTACAGAGGGAACAGAAATGCTCTGGAAAGAAAAAAGAAAAAAACTAAAGAAAAACTGTATGAGGAAGACATCTGTGAGGAGAAGTCAAAATAGGGTATAAAAATAAAAACTACCCCCCTCAAGAAAATTCTATGTGGTGAAGAAAACGTACAAAATATGATCTCACAGGTCAGATAAAATTGTAACACAACTGGAAGTGGCTCCCAGGCTTTGAGTTCTTAATGTTTAGCGCTCACTCCGAACCGTCATTAAAGGGACTTTACGGAGTTTTGAATTTGTATACTCGCGATTGCCCCCTCAGGCCAAAAGCTTAACGTCAGCTTCAATAGTGGGCTCGTGCACGAGGCGCGCATGCTGTACATGCACACTCTTTAACGAAAATAACAGCTGAGACAGTCCCGTGTGTGTGTGTGTGGGGGGGGGGGGGGCGGAGGACAGAGGACAGGAGAACACACAGCTAATTAATTAAATAATGTGGTTCTGTAGCTTTCTCTTCAGCACAGCCGACAAAGGTTTATGATGGGTCAGTCCTCCTGCATGCTCAGATCATTCCCTTCCCTTGCTTGAAAAATTGTTCCAAAATGAAAGTTGAACCCACATCTTTTTTATCTGTGAATTCAATGCCGTTCGGCGAGTCTCAAATAAAAATTTGGGCTTCTTACTGTAAAAAAATATACCATTAATGTAAAATAGAGACTCCAAATAAACTATGTTCACATCCAAAATCGAACCCGGGTCTTCTGCACGAGAGTCTGACGTCTTACTAGGTGAGCTAAAGCACCAGTGACATCTTTTGTATCTGTAACATTCATATCCTTGATGACAGCTGAAACAACGTTCAAAGAACGGTTCGGAGTGAAAATGGCTATTTTGTTGCTAATTTGCAGGAAATATCTAGAAGAAAGTTCTACAGAAAGTAGCTAAGGGTTCTCAGAAATGTAGCTAGCTTTGTCACTAGGCGTTAGGAACAGCGACAAAGTGGCACTGCCTCTCTCTCTGCTGCTAAAGCTACGGATAGCAAACGCTACGGGCGATGCCTGAGCGTGAACGCGCATGAAGCAGCCTGCTCGACCCGAGCATCTCTCTTTTTCTGTGATTTTACAGAAAAACAGGCAATCACAGTAAAAATGCCAGGGCTCATTCTACAGGACCAGGGCATTGCAGGAGAATGTATGAAGAAGAAATGTATTATTTCTATACATGTTTTGGTTGTCAAACTTCCATAATGCTCCTTTAACTCCAGACCAAACTCAAAGCCTCCGAGGACAAAACCCTCAGTAAACGGAGTTTGTTCTAACATGTAGAACATGTCATGATCTGCGTCTGCCCCTTTCTTCATGTGCCTCCTGGTGTCCTCCATCCCTCTCTGGATTCCCTTTTGTGTCTCTTGGCGCCCTCATGTGTCCTTTGTCTGCATTTCAGTTAGGTGTCACCTGCCTTCCCTCCAGTCCTCACTCCACACACCTGTTTCCTGTTTCCTTAATTGTTCTCCCTGTGTATTTAAGCCCTGTCTTGTCTCTGTTTGGTGTCGGTCCATTGTTTGTGTGTCAGCGTGTTCTGGTGCTCTGTGTGAGCCTTGGTCTCGTCCCAGTTTGTGTGCTCTTGGTTCTTCTTCTGGATTTTTGGCTCCCTGCCTTTGGATTCACTTTTGTTTTCATCCTGTGAATAAAGGATTATTTACTTTACTTCATCTCCTGCCTCGTGTCATCCTGGGTACTGCATTTTGGGTCCAAACATCCCCAAATCGTGACAGAACAGATGTTGTTGCTAATGAACGACAGAAGGATGAGTTGAATTGTAGAGGGCATACTTATTTTAACACATCCGCAGTGGTCTCTAGAATAAATGAATGCCTTGTGAGATGATCTCTGTTGAAAACAAAGCTCTGGCGCTCCTGTTTCAGGAAGTAGAAGTGAGTCAGATCTGGGGGAGCAGAAAACAGGAGGATCTGGAGTCTTATTTCCTGATATTCAGACAACGACTCTATCACTCACTCTGTTTGCTTTGCAACCTTGATGTTTTATATCCACAAATAACACAAGCCTGGAGGAGTTCTGCTGTGTGGTGGAGTGGCTAATGCTGCCGTTTCCTGGATGCTAAAGATGGGCAAGTCCATGAATGCTGATTTACAGTGTGATGTAGATTTGTCAGGCTTTTGTAACATGAGTGTTTCCTTGTCCTGTTTACATCGGTGGCTAACACAGGAAACTGGGGCAGAAGACTATTTTCATGTTTAACCTGCGTGTGAAAATCATAATGAATGTTTCAATATTATTTCTAATAGATGTTTCTCTGTGAAACTCATCTCTAAATCTGTCATCTCGGTTGCCCTCCATCACTCATTCCCAGGGTATGAATTACACAGAGGCCTAGGGGAGAGCCCACTGAGTGGGGGTCTATTTTGCCCTTTCCCCCAAAATGCCTTGAAATGGCCCCGGGAGTGGGACTGAGTTTTAAAGGTGATTTCAATTGTACTGAATATACAAATGCTTACAAATTATTGCTTCATGATGGTAAAAACGTGTAGTGGGATCTACATTTTCCTTTTCAAACTCTGTTTTATTTCTTGTTTTTTATTTGATTATTTTCATTTCCTGTCCGTCTCTGATCTTCCCGCATCGCCCCTCAGTCCTCCAGAAAAACTGTTGCCTGGCTTCCGACTTCTTTACCTCTGAGTTACTTTTGAACTAAGCAGATCAAAGGGATCTACCGACCGGATAAATAGCGGAGTGTGCGGCTGTGCAGTTGCACCAGTGAGGTGACGTCACCGAAGCACGGGTGATGAGCTCTGCAGCTGCCATGAGTGTCAGGCATGAATAAAGGACAGAAAGTACCAGAGAATATGAGCTGACAAACGATTGCGGGTCATTTATGTTTTTGGGTGGAGCCACTTTGAGAACGTTACTATGGCCGTGTGCAGGACGCAGCTGCCTGGAGAGCGTCAACAATCAACACCTAAAAGAAACCCTGGTATGCTGAGAGTGTAATTATAGCTGTTAAAGAGCAAGTCACCCCCAAATAAACTTTTTTTTGCTGATAAACTAAATAAACGAGTGTCTAATCGTGCTGCAGACACGTGCAGTCAATAATTTGGCACTTCAGTGCATCTTAGTTAAAATTTAAATATTCTGCCTAAAACTGGCAGTGTTGTGCCGTTGTCAGGTAAAAACTCTGCACTGTATCTGAATTTAAATCGGCCACCGCTATTGGCTAAGAGGTATGCTATGATGTAAACTGGTACATTATGATGTCACAATGCTGTCGTGAGCCTGTGTGTGTGTGTATTTGTTAGCAGCTCCGCCTTCTCGGTCTGCCTGGCAACGGCATTTGTAGCATTTTTCAAACATGAAGTGGGAGTGGAGTAATACTCTTGTAGGGGGTGACTTGCTCTTTAACAAGCCTATAATGCAACATAGGTAGAAAATTGACCTTTTTCGAGCTCCCCCTGGGTGTGTAAGATGAGGACTTACCCTCACCGGACGGTATGGACAGGTTTAAAAACCCAAAATTGGCTTCACTGAAGGACTGGAAATGATCAGTTTAAAGACTGAAGGCAGAGAGGAAAATTATCTCAGCCTGACCCAAACAAATTCTTGTTTTCTGAATCTGACGCCCTGGTAGCTTTGAGCGGCTAGCAACAACCCCCCACGAAGGAATGCAGACAGATGCTGCGAAAACCCGACCTACCCCCCGCCTTCGGATTGGTGGACTTCATCAATCTGCAGGAGTCAGTGTGCTCTTCGCTTCTCCCAAGATCTCCCTCCCACCTGTGACTGTACAGTAGATGAGCGCCGTAGATGGCTGCTCTCGCTGGGGGAAACAGGACCCCAGCCCCCCTCTGCCTTCCTATTGGAGTCTCATGTTATGTTGTGTTGTCTGAAGTCTGTTGCATATTTGTTGAGGTGTTTTTGTGAAGAGCAAAGCTGCCCTCCTGCTGGAGGGTAACTCAAGTGCCTTTTTTTCCCTCCACCTGAACCAATCCTCATGTAAACCCTCTGATCTCTATTAAGGTAGCGCGACTCGGGTTGCGAATGACCACAGCCACCTATTCTTGTCATGTGTCTGATTTTGATTGATTTCAGGTGAGCCGGTGTTATGGTGATATCAGTCCCCCCATCGAGATCTGTGTGTTCTCTAAGGATGTCCCGATACAACTTTTTCATTTCCCACATGATACTGATAATGCAGCCTTCAGTATTGACCGATACCAAAATCAATCCGATACGATATCAGCATAAATAAAACATACTTTTACCTATTTCATAGTGTGGAATGCACGAAAGGCTTGAACAAGTGATTTTACTCAATCGGAGAACAAGATCCAGCAACAGTAAGTATGAAAAAAATGACAATTTTTTGTTAACCATTGGTTGCATAAATATAAACCTTAAACATAACGTATAACAAATGAATAAAAAATAAATAAATAAATAAATAAAATTTTCAAGTAAACAACAGATATAATTTTTTTGTACAAAATACAAATTCAAGGTCACTTCAGGTACGTTTTACTGTCAGCAAATGGTAGGAACAGCTGAGGACGGGGACATAAGAAAAAAACAACACAACATTGTCCATAGACCAACTGCTACAAGTTGAGTGTCCGAACTGCAGAAGGTTCAAAATGCCGCGGCCAGATTTTTAACCAACACCGACAGACGCATGCACATCACACACATCCTCGCAGATTTACACTGGCTCCCAGTCAAATTTAGGATTAACTTCAAGGTCTTGTTATATGTTTACGAGGCTTTACTGCCCATCCCCATCCTATCTGACGGACCTGCTGACCCCGTATGTTCCCACCCGTGCCCTTCGGTCAGCAGATCATCTGCTGCTTGTTGTTCCGAAGGTTCGGTACAAATCACGTGCCTTCTCTTATAGAGTCCCAAAACTCTGGATCTCTCTGCCCCTCCGTGTGCGTCTGGCTCCCTCTGTTAGCAGTTTCAAGTCGGCCCTGAAAACGCACTTCTTTAGCATCGCCTTCCCTCCGTGACACTTTTCATGACAATCTAGCACCAGATTTGAGTTTTTAATTCCGTTTTTATGATTCAGTTGCACACTTTTGGCACCTCGCACCATCTGGTAGCTTATTTCGTTTTATTTGTGCCATTTCAAATGTTTTTATCATTCGTCGCATTATTTTATTTTTTATAGTGCTGTTGACTGTTCTCCTATTTTATTGTTTTTAGTAGGACTTTTTATCTCCGACTATTTATGCTTTGTTCTTATGTATTTTGCCTGTTCTTATTGTGTTTCTTGACCAAGCATTTGGCTTTTTCATGTACAGCACTTTGGTTAGCTGCCATGCTATTTTGAAATGGTGCTTTATAAATAAATGTGGTATGGTAAAGTTTCAATTTCACACATTGCAAAAATCCTCATGCAGTGTTTTGTGCTGCTTCAAACACACAATGAGGTTGGACGTATAAGTTACCTGGCTCTGTCTCACCACGGGAAACTTGTGCTTGCTGTTGCACTGAGCCACCCGGTCTCTTATGGACTTTAACAAAAAAAAAAAAAACACAGCCACACGGTTGACATTGCTCCTCGCTACTTTGCTAGCGTGCACAGTTCTGATCATGTGGGCTCGCATGCTGGGTCTGGGGCGCTGCTGGATAGAATAGCTGGAATGGAATTTAAAGCGAAACGGACAGCTTATGTCGGAGATTTTCGATGCAGTCCGATATAATCCGATACAGCGTTTTTGGGCCGGACCGGATATTGGAAGGGGACGTTCCTAGTGTTTTCCACCCAGCTCCGAGTTGGAACCTTCCACTCACAAAAAATATATATAACCATCACCCTAACCCTTACCCTAACCATAACCACCTCGTCACCAAAAATGTACGTTGTGCATAATCATAATTTATGAAACTACTCTGTGTAACACGATTTCTATGTTAGCTTTAGGGTTATGGTTAGGCTAAGGGTTATTTTTGGTGAGTGGATGATTCCAACTAAGTGGAAAACACACACATCTCGATGGAGGGACTCATATCAACGGAACACCAGGCTCCCCTTAGCTTCCCCTAATTCGGACTCTGATCATTCCTCGCCTTTGAACCAGTATTAGGACCTCTCTCAAACTCTTACCTCTGGAGCAGAGTAGGGCTCTGCTGGCCATTGCCACCTGCAGGGCCTGTGCCAGCCGGTCAAGAGCCAGCTGTGATAATGCATGAGCATCTGCACATGTGTGTGTATGTTCGTCAGTCTGCTCCAACAGTCGGGCAAGGTCGGAGGTCAAAGCAGCCACGGAGTCCAGTTGCAGCAGAGCCAGGTGACCATAAAGCCCTTTCTCACTGAGAATGTTGGGCAAAAGCATGAAGACCTACAAGTGACATAAGAGAAGAAAAACTGGTAAAAAAAAAAAAAAAAACCTCTTCATATGTGTGCATACACACACACACACACACACACACCTGTAGGACGCTCAAATGAAGAGCAGAGAAGAGAGGTCCTGCGTCTGTCTCACTCTCGGAGCTTCCATTAGTTCGAACCTGCTTCTCGTTCCTCCTGTAGGCCAGCGGTGCTTTGATACACCAGCGTACCAAACCACCTAGTGGTGTGACGTCAAGACAGCTCAATGGCTGGTTGCCAGAGAGGGGCGTGTTCAGGAAGGTGATCAGGACAAGGCGGGGGTCCTCCTGGATCCACAACACTATCATCTGGAGGAGCTCTAGCGGAGGGGTGAGCTCCTCTGTAAACACACCACCAACATACTGTTGAGGTTCTATTCATAAGGCTTCACGTTTTCATCTGTTTTCTACCTTTGAGTCTGCTTCGCGTACCTGAGCTGAGGTCATACAGAGTGGTGACAGCGGTGATAAACTGACAGCAGAAGCGTGGACTCATGCTGTGGATATTATGCAGAGTGGGACCAGAACCCGGTACCATACTACAGTAATCATCCACCAACACCTGGGCCAGGCGTACGCAGTACACACCGTGGGTTCTCTGCAAGAGATGGACACAGGTCAACACAGTCATTAAACACACACATGCACCCCCCCTGGGAGTACTTCAATGTCAGAAAAAAAAACAGACTACTTTGTCATCGACTCTTCACCTGGAACCACGTGGCAGCACATTCCAAAATAGGCACCCTGCCCACAGCAACTGCCATGGAAACAAGTTTGCCCAACAGCATCATGCGACTTTCAGTTTAGTGACTTTCTATCCTCCACTGTGAAGCTGTCCAGACTGGTGATTGTTGGTGACTTTAACATCCACGTTAATGATCCCTCTGATCACTTTGCCATGAATTTCTCCAGCCTTATGGACTCCTTCAGCTTTACCCAGCATGTTTCTGGCCCCACACACACCAGGGGGCACACTCTAGAACTTGTTTTTACCCTGGGTCTAAATGCTGACAGTGTTTATCCTGAGGATGTTTATATTTCAGATCACCATTGCATTTTCTTTAACTTGTCAGTTTCTGCGTCACCACCTCCTGCTCGCCGTATGGTTAGTTCTCGTTTTCTTAATGAGAGCACAGCTAGCAATTTTTCTGCTGCTTTTGATCCACCCTGTTCTTCTGATAACGACCCAGATTCCTTAACTTCTCAGTTTAACGAACCCTGCCTCTCCATTCTGGACAACATCTGTCCTGTCAGAACCAGATCAGTTCCTGCAGTGAACCCTACTGCCTGGTTTAATGACAGCCTTCGCAGCCTGAAGCGCCAATGCAGAAAAATTGAGCGTTTGTGGAAGAAAACCCATCTCCACATCCATCTGCTGCCCCTAAAGGATCTTCTGACATCCTTTAACTCTGCAGTCAGAGACGCTAGGGTTTCCTATTTCTCCAACCTGCACCCCCCCCCCCCCCCCCCCTTGGAGTACTTCAATGTCAGAAAAAAAAACAGACTAGTTTGTCATCGACTCTTCACCTGGAACCACGTAGCAGCACATTCCAAAATAGGAACCCTGCCCACAGCAACTGCCATGGAAACAAGTTTGCCCAACAGCATCATGCGACTTTCATCTGCCTGGTTTCCTTGGAGATTAAAGAGGGTGGAGAAAATCAGCTGGCGGACAGCATCTCGACTCTGCTCCTGAAAACAGCTGCACATGATCTCCAACAGCTGGAGCTCCTGGAGAGCGCTCATCTTCTGTAAGACAAACACAGACAAGTCCTACTTGCCGTCCACATCTGGATCCGTTTGTTCAGTCATTGCAAGACTCTTCCTCACCCTGACTGGCGCATTTCTGTCTTTGGGCGCGTGCAGAATAAACTCCTCCACCAGTTCGAGGGTTTTGGAGTCCACCAGAGGAGGCTGCCTCCCAGACTGCACCAGGTTGCAGATGTAAATGTCCAAATGGTACAGCAGTTCCTTTGCAGCACTCAGGACGTCGCGAGGCAGCAGAGACTGGCGAATGTCCCCCATTTACACTGGACAGGTAGACACAAGATGTTACTGTGTGCTTATGAGTGTTTAATAACTCAAGACGGCAGTTCCCGGGTGTTTTGTTGCTATTCGTGTTGTTTAGCAGCGTTCGGGTCAGTGCTAAAGCAAATCTAAACCATCAAAAACCTGAACTAAACACGGTTTTATTTTTCCAGATTTAAAACTCAAATTAAAACCACAACTCAGAAAGTCACGTCAGAAACAGCCTTCAGGGATTATCGGCGTCATCTTGTTTATGTGGCTAAAAGTCACTGAACACCGCTTCTGTTGCAGCTTTGGCTTCACAGGAAACCTCGCGTACGTCAGTTATTATCTCTGAACAATAAAAGAACGCTGTAGAAGCTCTCACCGGTTCAAATCCTCCTTAGATCACAAGAAAGCAAATCCAGGTCGAAGGAAGTGAAAACCTACTAAATAATAAAATACTTCCTGTTTCTACGGAAGCCTACTTGGGATCCAGAAGCTGAATCCCGCCTCCATTTTTTCGCTTCTTTTTAGACAGCGCCCTCTAATGGATGGGTGTTTAAGTAAGTAAGTAAAAGTTTATTTAAATAGCGCCTTTCACAGACATAAATCACAAAGCGCTGTACAACATGAGTAAGATCAGGGCAAATACCTCTAACCAATAAAAACAGAAAAACAATAGCAGTGATAAAATAGTAAATAAAATCATGAGTAAAAACAAAGTAAAGGTGTGAACAAGAACAAAGCCATCTTTAGAACATTTAGGGAGGGAACGCCTGGATGAAAAGGTGAGTTTTAAGATGATTTTTAAAGACCTCTACAGTGTTAGAGAGACGGAGATTTGAAGGTAGACTGTTCCAAAGTCTGGGTGCAATAGTCTGAAAGGCCCTGTCCCCTTTGATTTTCAGTCTGGTTCAAGGAACAGCCAGGAGGTTTTCAGATGTGGATCTAAGGTTCCATGAGGTGGTTTGTGGGGATAAAAGCTCAGACAGGTAGCTTGGAGCCTGGTTGTTAAGAGCTCTATAGGTCAGAACTAAAACTTTAAACTGTATTCTATATTCTACCGGGAGCCAGTGGAGGGACTGTAAAACTGGAGTGATGTGAGCTCGTCTGCTGGATTTGGTTAGGAGTCTGGCTGCTGCATTTTGGATGGCTTGAAGGCGTGAGAGGGAGGTTTTGCTGAGACCAGTAAAAAGAGCGTTACAGTAGTCTAAGCGTGATGACACAAAGGCATGGATGATTTTTTCCAGATCTGCAGTAGAAACCAGTTTACGGACTTTTGAAATGTTTCTCAGTTGAAAGAAACAAGAGCGGGAGATGGTTTTGACGTGTGAGTCTAAACTTAAAGCTGGATCAAAAATAACTCCTAGGTTTCTAATGTTGGACTTGGCTGATGGGCAAAAAGAGGCAATTTCTTGCTCGATTTTTGGCTGAAGTTCCGGGGGTGCAGCGATCAGGGTCTCTGTCTTGTTAGCATTGAGGACTAGGAAGTTGCTGGACAGCCAGTTACTGATCTGGGTCAGGCAGAGTACAAGGGTGGCCAGCCTGTCCAACTGGTGTGGCATAAAGGACATATAGAGCTGAATATCGTCAGCATAGATGTGGTAGGAGATGTCTGGGAAAGACTGCACATGCAGGTCCTAAACAGATCTATTTTACGTAAAAAGTTGGATTATATCTAATAATGTATTCAGTTAGAAATGCAATAGTCAAAATTATATTACAGCAACATAAAAAATTAACTGCCCATGAAGCCTCTACATTAGTTTAAAATCTTTGCATGCCCGCTTCCGGTCGGTAACAAGATGGCGCCTGTGCTTGGCTTAGCCGCAGTCACCGGCCACTTTTTCAAACTTTTCTTCACTAACCTCTTTTCCACCTTGCTCCTGTCTGTGATCCTCTTCAGTAGTGTCCCTGCTACCATCTACTATGATCGCCAGACTCTTTTGTCCTTCCGTTCGTTCACAATCGCCCAAGATGCACCGAGAACATACTGTACCTCCCTGTTTGTTTTTCTGAGTGGCGCACTGGCCCGGAGCCAGGGGTGGACTGGGACCAAAACTCGGCCCTGGTATTTTTACGAATCGTCGGCCCTCCCCATTGGGAGAGCGGTGGAGGTGGGGGGTGTTGCCGCCCGCGGACTCGTCTCTAGGCCGAATGTGAGATCTAATATGGACTGGGACTCTTAAATTACAAGCAGGGCCAGATTGCTGCGACCGGGAGCCCTGGCCTTCCAAATCAGCTCGTTCGCCACGGGCGGAGATCAGCAGGACATTAGCTACATGCTAACGCAGTAAAATAACTCCTACATCATCACTCTACTGCATTTTCTTTGCTAAAAACACCTGGAAAAACTCTGTTAACTTTGGGTTACCATGTAGCTAATGTTCTGCAGATCACCAACTGTGGAGTAGTGTTGACACAACATGGGCAAGCAGCACTCTTGGCTAAGTAGCCCACTGGGACAGCTCCAGAATGCCAGATAGGCTAGTCCACCCCTGGCTGGAGCCAAACGACGATTCCAACCAGGGTGCCTCCAGCGATGTTTATCCGGTCCCGGGAGAACTTCGGAGGAAAAGAGGTAAACGAGCAGGAATCCAGGTGAGAATAAGACTTCTCTTAAAGCGTGGTTTATCTAGTAAACATCGGCGTGATCTTCGAGCTTCTTTTCCTTTGTTTGGCGACCTTAGCGCCACTTCCGCCTAAAGGATCTTCTGACATCCTTTAACTCTGCAGTCAGAGACGCGAGGGTTTCCTGTTTTTCCAACCTGGTGTCCCAGAGCAAAGGGAACCCCAAGGTGCTGTTTAACACCATCAGCAGCATCGTCTCTCCTGCCTCTCCTACAGCCTCCATCCACTCTGTTGCAGACTGTGAGAACCTTCTGTCTTTCTTTGTGGACATAGTCAATAAGGTTAGATCCAGCATCTCTCCTTCAACCTTATCGCTGCCTCTCCCGACTCCAACCAGGCCCATCATCCTAGATAGCTTTGCTCCTGTTTCTTTGCCTGAGTTAACTAAACTAGTTAACTCTATGAAGACCTCTGCATGCCCCCTCCACATCTTACCCTCATCTTTGTTTAAAAGTGCTTTTCAGTCCATCGGTCCCAGCGTGCTCTCTATCATTAACGCTTCTCTGGTCTCTGGTCAGGTCCCTGCTTACTTTAAAAATGCTGTAATCCACCCGCTTCTTAAAAAACCGAGTCTCGGCGCCTCTCTCCATAGCAGCTTCAGACCCATCTCTAAACTTCCGTTCATCTCCAAGATCTTGGAAAAGGTTGTGGCTAAACAACTCACAGCTGCTCTTGAGCAACATAACATCTATGATAGCTTCCAGTCAGGTTTTCGTAGAGCTCATTCTACTGAAACAGCTCCTCTTAGGGTCTCTAATGACCTTCTGACTCACAGTGATGCAGGGGACTGTTCTGTTCTGGTCCTGCTGGACCTGACTGCAGCCTTTGACACTGTTGACCATCACCTGCTACTGGAGAGGCTGAGACTGGATAGGCCTATATCTTAACATCTTTACGCAGATGACATCCAACTATACATCTCCTTTAAGCCCCATGAGATGTCTAAGCTGCAGCTGTTACACACCTGCTTAGACTCTATTAAAACCTGGATGGCTGGGAGCTTTCTTCAGCTGAATGAAGATAAGACTGAGATCCTCAACTGTGCCCCAGACAAGCTGGTTCCCAAAGTCAGAGACTCTCTTGGTCAGCTTGCTTCTCACACCAAACCTCCTGTCAGGAATCTTGGCGTGACCTTTGACCCAGCTCTCACCCTGGATTCTCATGTCAGTTCTCTTGTTCGCTCTTCCTTCTTCCATCTCAGGAACATTGCTAAGCTGAGTCCCATTCTGTCCCGCTCTGAACTTGAGACAGTTCTCCACACCTTCATCTCCTCACGCTTAGACTACTGTAACTCTCTTTTCACGTGTCTGAGCAGAACCTCCCTGAACCGTCTACAGGTGGTTCAGAATGCCTGTGCTCGGCTTCTGACCAAGTCCTCCAAACACACCCACATCACCCCGCTTGTCCACCAGCTTCACTGGCTGCCAGTCATCTTCAGGGTTCATTTCAAGACCCTGGTTCTGGTCTATAGGGCCTTACATGGACAAGCACCATCTTACATTGGTGATCTTCTTAGTCCCTACACCCCCAGCAGGTCCCTGAGGTCCAGTGATCAAAGCCTACTGGTTGTGCAGCACCAGGCTAAAGACCAAAGGTGACAGATCATTTGCTGCTGTGGCCCCCAGACTCTGGACCTCTCTCCCCCTGAGCCTGAGATCAGTGGACTCAGTGGTCTCCTTTAAAAAGCAGCTGAAGACTCACCTGTTCAAGCTGGCTTTTGTATGACCTTCTTCACCTCTCTCTCTTTATTCTGCTCTCCCCACCTATTCCACCTTCCTCAGGATCCGATTTCCCTCTTTCCTATTCACTCTCTCTTTCTTAACATTTTTAATCACAATTGTCTATTTTTGCTCATTTTAAATATATTTTAATCATTTTCTAAATTCTTTTTTATATTTTTACATTTTTTTTGTTTTTGTGAAGCGCCTCGTGATTTTTATCTTGAGAGGCGCTATAGAAATGATACTTTCTTCTTCTTGCTCCAGATTACCTGTCTGAGCTACTGTTTTTTTACTCCCCTGCACGGCCTCTGAGGTCGGCTGATAGGATGCTTTTGGAGAATATTAAGGATCTGGGGTCTCATTTATCAAACATTGCGTAGAATCCTTACTAAAATCGTACTTAAGCTCAGCAAAAAAAATGTACTTAGGCCAAGTAGGTTTGTGATCTATCAAACATGGAGTACGCACAGCTGCACGTCATCTCCCCTTCATAAATCGGAGACTATCGAGAATGTTTCTGCTTTTTAGTCACATCCCGCCCTCACCACGCCCACTTACTGCCATAAATAGTCAATGCAAAGTACCGTGTGGATTCTAGATAAACAGAAAAATACCAGGGTTTTGATAAAAGCGAGATGCTGGAATCTTCCAGAATGACCCTTGAGAAGGTTTTACGAGCATTCAAACCTTGGGGAGAGCCAGGTCTTGTCAGGTTGACATGGACCAGACCAAGTCCTGATAATGTCCGTCTTTTCGATTGCTTAAGGAGGGAAACAAACAAGTCGCTTGGTAAAATTTACGTTCCTGGGAAGAGATGTAGGAGTTAGCCAGATGTTCGAAAATGGTCCGTTGGAATTTATATGATTGTAGGTCAGTTTCCAATCCCCCCTTTTGAAAGGAACCTGTGTGAAAATGTTAATTGTTCTTTTCCGTGTAAATCCACACAAAGTTAACCTGAGGATATAAAATGTGGATTTCCGCTACACCACTGATGGGACCGTTTTTATTCACAACTTAATAGGAGTTTTGCATAATGTGTGCCTTTTAAATACAGACACACACAAGTCTGTTTAACCAGTAGACTTCGGTTTTAAAATTAAATACCAGACCCATCGGTTGGTCAATCCGTGCTTACCGAAATGTGAGGCAGTGGAAATCAAAATGGATGTTAGATGTTTGAGTAAGTAGTTTATTCAGACGTTTCCAGCACTGCAGATTTGTCCCATTTGATGCCCAATTACTTTTCATGTTAACAATAAAGAAAACTGAAAGAATAAAAGAGGATATGGTGGTGAATCAATTAATATGATCATGATCGAGAAAGTCCAAATTTAACTTTGGCTAAGTTGTCGTATCTTTTCTGCTAATTCCAAGCAGTGTAGGATCCGGATTTTCTCCCTCTGAAGCTCTTCTGGACTCACTTGGCCTAACAGCTTGGCAGAGAAGTGGATCAAGTCCTGCATGAAGAGTCCCACCGTCCCTCTGGGTGCGGCTGGGACTTGGGTCACAGTGCAGGAGTCAAAAACAAAGTTGACCTTCTTTGCCCTGGGGAGCCCCGGCCTTCGTTCTTCGATCCAAGTTAAAGCTCTAGAAGAACAAAGCTCAGATTTAGTTCTGGAAGTGGTTTGATCCAGTTTGATTTTTTACATTACTCAATTCCAACCAAGGCTAATTATAGCTTCCAGTATGATCCGTACATGTTCACACCAGTTCAAACTCTCATAATTCAACCAAATATGCTAAAAATGAGGATCTAGGTTGGTCACGCCTGATTGCAAGTAGTATTCGCTGCAGAACCACAAAGGTGGAGCTGCACCTGCATCAGCCCCGCCCATTCCATCAGAGTCAGTCCAGTTCCTTCCAGTTGTCAGACTTGATAGCATTCTGGAACCAAAGAGGGTGTTATAGCTAATATAATCTAAAATGCAAGATTGAGGACGGAGTTGGGAGGTTAAATGAACAGCTTTTGTAAAGGTTCCATTTAATTAAAAATCTAACTTTTGGAACTTTTAATCATGTTATATTGTCATTTCCTCATAAGAAATACGCCAAAGCCATTTTTGGCCTCATTCATGCATTTTCCTCCCATCTCAGCTTCAATTTGGTCCCCTCCCCCGAAGCGGGTCTGGTCTTAGTTCTCAAATCTGGATATTCTGTGAATTTTCTGACAAATTATTCCTGAAATGACTTCTACTGAGATGCCGCCGAAAAAAATCGTACATCCCATCTACAAAGACACACTGGATGGCAGAATTACGTGACGCCACCTGCTTGTTATCAGATGTAGTGGCGAAGTGGTTATGGACTCAAGATTGGCATGCAGTTTTGCGCAGTTACACCAACCATTTATTGGTATACCGTTTAAAATATAATGACTAATGTAACGTGAGGAAGTATGGGTTTTCTGTGCCAAAGGTCATATTTGCCCGGCTGGGTCAAAGCTGGGTCACGCAGCACTTTTCACCCACAGATTAAGACCTGAGCCGACAGCAAGTCTGAAGGATTCCACAACAATCGCACACCTGGTCTCCAGAGGAAGGACTTCAACTTCACAGTCTAGTCATAATAAAACAAAGTCTTAAACTTTCTTCATTATTAAAGTTAAATAATCATTTGATCACTTTGCTCATTATAAATGTATTTTAATCAAATGAATGATTATTATGCTTTGGGTAATCATAATGAACTATCAGTATAATTAATTAAATAATGTTTTTAAAGATGTTTAGCGATGACCTTCACACTCGCTCACACAGGACTGTATTCACAGCAACTCCAAAACACATTTGCTCTGACGCACAACAAGTTTGCTTTGGGAAGAGAAGTGGTTTTGGGTAAGTTAGTCAGTTCGAGAGAGAGAACGAAAGAGAGCGGACGTGTGGAACGAACACCACGGGGAAAGGAGCCCTGCCGGCTCTTTTCTCCCCCCACGCTATTTCTGTCAAGCCAGACAGAATAGCTGAAATGCAACCAGCTTACGCAGACTCGTACCAGAGTCTTTGATTTCTGAGTTAATTTAAACTTGAGAAAGCGCATCTGCCGAACGCTTCAGCAACATGTACCGAGGTCAACCCGGGACTGGACCGTCGCACACCTTTGTCTCCTCTGCCAGCCAAGGTGTGACCTGGATATAACATCCTCCGAGGTCCGGGTCTGAAAGAGGGTCCTAAGTACGGTGAGGCAGAACACAATAGATAGCGTTCTGATGCTGGTTTTCTAATATGAACTAAAGTTTAACTCAAAACATCATTTTTCACTCAGATTCACCTTTTCTCTCCCTGAAGCAATCTCAGACACCTGCATGCACGCATTCATAATTAAATCATCCTCAATCTTAGCACATCCAACACAAGGTCTATTTGTGCAAGCTTAAAATATCAACTGTTAAAGATTGTCCAAAAAGGTTGCTAATGTTGATTGTTTTTCTTATGATTGTCATTTCAAATCGTTAGTTTAAATTGAAGAATTAAAATTCTTAACACTTAAACTCGTCTTTTCATTGAACTGAAACACAGACAAACGGATATGATTGTCAGTTTATCGATGAAAACAATCTTTGAGTCTTCTTACCTCTATAAATTTGGTTATTAATTTTGATCAAATTAAAATTCCAGATTATTATGTAGAATGGTTCATCTTTCATGAAAGAGCCATAAACCATTACGCTACACTAATGTGTTTGTTTTTATTTTATTTATTCGTTTATTTAGCCAGTGTGAGTCCATTTGTGAGCAGAGTTTCAACTAAAATACTGTTTAGGAACGACCAGATTCAAAGAACTTTTAGAGACATAAATATTTTGCTGAAAATAAACATTATAACTAAAATATAAAAACATTAAATGTTTCAGCTGGCTAAAGATCATGTTGCCTCTGTTGCTTGTTCATGCCGCTTTGCGCTGTATAACATACGAAAGATCAGACCATACCTAACACAACATGCCACCCAGCTCCTGGTACAATCTACTGTCAACTCCCGCCTCGATTACTGCAACGCCCTTCTAACTGGTCTTCCAGCCTGTACTGTGAGACCTCTTCAAATGGTCCAGAACGCAGCGGCGCGTCTGGTCTTCAATCAGCCAAAAAGAGCACACGTCACCCCTCTGTTCATTGAGCTCCACTGGCTACTGCTAGCAACACGCATCAAATTCAAATTGCTAACACTAGCATACAAAGTTCAAGATGGTACGGCTCCCATCTACCTGAATCCTCTTGCAAAGGCTTACGTCTCGGACCGGCCGCTCCGGTCATCACAGGATCGTCGGCTAGCAGTGCCTACACCACGCTCAGGACAATCCAGACTCTTCTCGTGCATCGTTCCACAAATGTGGAATGACCTTCCAAGCACTACCAGAACAGCGGCTTCCTTTTCAATTTTCAAGAAACTCCTGAAGACCCTGCTCTTCAGAGAGCATCTTCTTAACTAGCACCCTCCCTGCACCTGTCCCCCCTCTCTACTGTCCACTCCTTGTTCCCTCCTCTCCATGATTGATGTCAAGTTGTTGTTGTTATTGTTGTTGTTAGCCTCAAGGGCAACATGCCGATTATCACTTGTAAGTCGCTTTGGACAAAAGCGTCTGCTAAATTCATAAACATGAATAGATTGATGCCGACCCCACCGAGAGTCGAACCGACATCAGCAGAGGAGAAAGCAGAACTTAAGTCAGACGATCATGCTACTGGGCTACCAGAACCCTGACAACAATAAGTCTTAAATGCTGTTGTAGGCCGCTTTTGTTGGAGCGGCTGTGGGCAGATATTTGCTAAAGGAAACCTTTTCGTTTCGGGATATATTCAGGCTTTGTCATGTAGCAAGTTATATTTATCTTGTTTAATTGGAGCATAGAACGTAGCATTAACAATTGTAAAGTAAACTAGTAAGAGCCGTAATTTATGTGGGTCAGGTTAGTTCGTGAAAAAGTAAAAAAAAAAACAGAAGAAGTCAGTGGGCTAGGCTGAGTTTGCGTGATTGAGCGGGGCTGACTCTGGTGCAGCTCCACCTTTGTAGTTCTGCAGCGAGCTAGCACCCTCTCCCTGATTGGGCGAACAGCTGATAGATGCTGGTGTCTCCTCTGAGGGACATTGCAGTTTGTGGTTGAAATGTATCCAGTAACAAATATATGTTATGTATTGATATGTTAAAACAAAGGAAGCTGATGGTTAGAAAAACTCATTTAAAACACGATCCTCTGCATGTGTCCAAGTAGACCCACACTTTTATGTCTGCAATTGCTGGTTTGCTTTAGATAGTGAAGCAGCTTTTTTGTCACTTCAACAGGGAGACTAAACAAGCCTAAACAAACAACTTACTAGTCTGAAATACCTGAACCAGCAGGAGCTGTGAGTGATAGCTTTAGGGCATCAGCAGGGGACTTTTGGATTAGAATTAGAATTATTGTTTTGTTTTCCCATAGAAACCCCCTGACATTGTGCTTGTTATTTCTTTGTAGTTGTATTACGTGCTTAATCAATAAAGCACATTCAAGGAAAAAAATAAAATAAAATAAAAATAAAAAAAGAAGAAGAAGGCATCAGCAGGGGACTTTTGGATTAGAATTAGAATTATTATTATTATTATTATTATTATTATTATTATTATTAGAAGAAGAAGAAGAGATCATTTCTATAGCGCCTCTCAAGATAAAAATCACGAGGTGCTTCACAAAAACAAAAAATGTAAAAAATAATTTAGAAAATGATTAAAAATATATTTAAAATGAGCAAAAAATAGACAATTGTGATTAAAAGTGTCAAGAAAGAGAGAGAGTGAACAGGAAAGAGGGAAATCTGTGGATCCTGAGGAAGGTGGAATAGGTGGGGAGAGCAGAACAAAGATAGGGTGATGAAGGTCACACAAAAACCAGCTTGAGCAGGTGAGTCTTCAGCTGCTTTTTAAAGGAGACCACTGAGTCCACTGATCTCAGGCTTAGTATTATTATAGAGTGCTGACCCGTGTCACATTCATCACATCGCCTTACCAGCAAGCTTTAATAATACCATCAGAACAGTGTTTTCAACTAGTGGGGCGTGCCCTCCCGGGGACATGAGATGCAGGAGAATCTGTTGTTTTTAGCACGTTTTCATGTTGGAATGCTAAACCACCTCCAGTCGCTAAGTGGCAGCAGCGCTCAGACTAAATCAACAGGATGCAGACATTTTTCTGCATATTACTTTCTCAGTGGACTAGTGGTAGAGTGTGCGTGGGAGATTGGGAGAGAGAGGAGAGGAGAAAGCGAACGCACCATTAGCTGATAACAACGGTGGCAATGGAAGCTAATTTATCAAGCTAACGTTATCTTAAACAGTTTATTTAACTGCTGGAGCAGATTAAAACGATGATGCCTCACACTTAGATCGTTGTCGCTGGTTTCATCTTCACCCGTCGCAATTAGTAAAGTGAAGCCAAACTTTAGAGCGCGTTCATGTTCTTCTAGTCGGAAATTCGGAGTTCTGAGGAGAAAGCGAACGCACCATTAGCGAAACGGAAGGTAACATGTCAACCTAATGTTATCTTAAACATTTTATTTACCTACCGGAGCAGATTAAGATGAGGATGTCTCACTTAGATCGTTGTCGCTGGTTTCATCATCACCCAGTTACCCATCACATTTAGTGAAGTGGGCCCAAGCTTTAGCATGCGTTCTTTCTACCATGCTAACGCTCTTGCGCATGCGCAGCTGTCTAGGCAAGTTATCGTTGTGAAGGATGGTTACCGAAACGAGGCACCGTTTGAAATTATGTGAATCGGTGCTCGGTCAGTACAATGGAATTCGGTCAGTACCTTAAAAAGTACCGAATTCGGTACACATCCCTGCTAAAGTACAAACAGAGCAACAAGTACCAATATAAGAATGACAAAGTAAAGTACTTAAAAACAAAGTAAAAACTGCATGTAAAACAAAGCCTGCAAGCCTATAGAGAAGAACTAAAAGCTAGCAGGGTAGGCTCCTTTACCATAGTTGATGGAAATATGATTTTAGGTTGGATTTAAAATGTGCCAGTGTTGGAGCCCAGTGGACAAACTGAGGAAGAGCTTTAGATCATCCATCTTACTCCAGAATTTCTGCATCTCTTCTAGCTCGGTTCTCCTCTGATCTCAAACTTACAAGCTGTTCAGTCTCGCTGCACAATGAAGCATCCGGCTACAGCTCATCAAGACATTTCTGTTAGTAACGCATAGGCAACGTTTTCCCTCCTCTTCCCCAGTGAGCACGCTACTGAGGAAAACGCTGGGAGAAAAGAGTCAACTTAGACCTCTTCACTTCTTCCAGTTTAGTACTTTCGGACTCAGTCAGGGGGAGTAACCACCTCTCCTTAGCAGACGAAGGTCTTTCCACACAGTTATAAGGAGTGTGATTAGTGGAGCATGAAAACGACATTCCCTTGTTTCATAGCGGAGCTGACAGCAAACAACTGACTGAGTGGCAAGCCACTTTCAGAATTTCTCAGGGTCAGAGTCGTGGACAGATATAAAGCTGATGGATGCAAACAATCTCAAAGTCTCCTCTCGATCCCAAGGAGCACAGTAAAGTTTATAATGAAGAAGTGACGTGTTTGATACTAAAGGGACCCTCCCGGGATTCGATCGTTTTTTTACTTCAGTTGGGCGTTGCATGCTGTACTGGAAAGTGAAGCTGGCAAAGACATTTTTGGTTTGTGCTTCTTCATAAGACTGTTAAGCAACCGGGGGTGATTCTTTTCTGTACCTACTGCACACATGCACTCACCCACTCACTCACTGACCCACTCACTCACTCACTCACTCACTCACTCACTCACTCACTCTGTCTCTCTAACTATCACTCACTCACTCACTCACTCACTCACTCACTCACTCTGTCTCTTACTATCACTCACTCACTCACTCTGTCTCTCTAACTATCACTCACTCACTCACTCACTCACTCACTCACTCTGTCTCTTACTATCACTCACTCACTCACTCACTCTGTCTCTCACTATCACTCACTCACTCTGTCTCTCTCACTATCACTCACCCACTTTCTCTATCTCACTCACTCACTCACTCACTCACTCACTCACTCACTGTCTCTCTCACTATCACTCACTCACTCACTCTGTCTCTCTAACTATCACTCACTCACTCACTCTGTCTCTCTAACTATCACTCACTCACTCACTCACTCACTCACTCTGTCTCTTACTATCACTCACTCACTCACTCACTCTGTCTCTCACTATCACTCACTCACTCTGTCTCTCTCACTATCACTCACCCACTTTCTCTATCTCACTCACTCACTCACTCACTCACTCACTCACTGTCTCTCTCACTATCACTCACTCACTCACTCTGTCTCTCTAACTATCACTCACTCACTCACTCTGTCTCTCTAACTATCACTCACTCACTCACTCACTCTGTCTCTTACTATCACTCACTCACTCACTCTGTTTCTCACTATCACTCACTCACTCACTCTGTCTCTCTCACTATCACTCACCCACTTTCTCTATCTCACTCACTCACTCACTCACTCACTCACTCACTCACTCACTCACTCACTCACTCACTGTCTCTCTCACTATCACTCACTCACTCACTCTGTCTCTCTAACTATCACTCACTCACTCACTCACTGACCCACTCACTCACTCACTCACTGACCCACTCACTCACTCACTCACCCACTCACTCACTCACTCACTCACTCACTCACTCACTGTCTCTCTCACTATCACTCACTCACTCACTCACTCACTCTGTCTCTCTAACTATCACTCACTCACTCACTCACTCACTCACTCAGTCTCTTACTATCACTCACTCACTCACTCTGTCTCTCACTATCACTCACTCACTCACTCTGTCTCTCTTACTATCACTCACTCACTCACTCACTCTGTCTCTCTCACTATCACTCACTCACTCACTCACTCTGTCTCTCTCACTATCACTCACCCACTTTCTCTATCTCACTCACTCACTCACTGTCTCTCTCACTATCACTCACTCACTCACTCTGTCTCTCTAACTATCACTCACTCACTCACTCTGTCTCTCTAACTATCACTCACTCACTCACTCTGTCTCTCTAACTATCACTCACTCACTCACTCTGTCTCTCTAACTATCACTCACTCACTCACTCTGTCTCTCTAACTATCACTCACTCACTCACTCACTCACTCTGTCTCTTACTATCACTCACTCACTCACTCACTCACTCTGTCTCTCACTATCACTCACTCACTCACTCTGTCTCTCTCACTATCACTCACCCACTTTCTCTATCTCACTCACTCACTCACTCACTCACTCACTCACTCACTCACTGTCTCTCTCACTATCACTCACTCACTCACTCACTCACTCACTCACTCTGTCTCTCTAACTATCACTCACTCACTCACTCACTCACTTTCACTATCACTCACTCACTCACTCTGTCCCTCTCACTATCACTCACTCACTCACTCACTCTGTCTCACTCACTCACTCACTCTGTCTCTCTCACTATCACTCACTCACTCACTCACTCACTCACTCACTCACTCTGTCTCTCTCACTATCACTCACTCACTCACTCACTCACTCTGTCTCTCTCACTATCACTCACTCACTCACTCTGTCTCTCTCACTATCACTCACCCACTTTCTCTATCTCACTCACTCACTCTGTCTCTCTCACTATCACTCACTCACTCTGTCTCTCTCACTATCACTCACTCACTCACTCACTCACTCACTCACTCTGTCTCTCTCACTATCACTCACTCACTCTGTCTCTCTCACTATCACTCACTCACTCACTCTGTCTCTCTCACTATCACTCACTCACTCACTCACTCACTCTGTCTCTCTCACTATCACTCACTCACTCACTCACTCACTCACTCACTATCACTCACCCACTCACTCTCTCTCTCTCACACTCACTCACCCACTCATTCTGTCCCTCCCACTATCACCATCACTCCCTCACTCACTTTCCATCTCTCTCTCCCTCTCTCTCCCTCTCCCTCTCCCTCTCTCTCCCTCTCCTCTCTCTCTCTCTCTCTCTCTCTCTCTCTCTCTCTCTCTCTCTCTCTCTCTCTCTCTCCTCTCTCTCTCTCACTCACTCTGTCCCTCCCACTAACTCTCTCTCACTCACTCACTCACTCACTCACTCTCTGTCTCACTCTGTCTCTCCCACTATCACTCACTCACTCACTCAATCACTCACTCACTCACTCACTCACTCACTCTCTGTCTCACCCACTATCACTCACTCACTCACTCACTCACTCACTCTCTGTCTCACTGTCTCTATCACTCACTCACTCACTCAGTCTCTCTCACTATCACTCACTCACTCACTCTGTCTCTCTCACTATCACTCACCCACTTTCTCTGTCTCACTCACTCTCACTCTCTCTCTGTTCCACTCACTCACTCACTCACTCACTCACTCACTCACTCACTCACTCACTCACTCACTGTCTCTCTCACTATCACTCACTCACTCACTCACTCTGTCCCTCTCACTATCACTCACTCACTCACTCTGTCCCTCTCACTATCACTCACTCACTCACTCACTCACTCACTCTGTCTCACTCACTCACTCACTCACTCTGTCTCTCTCACTATCACTCACTCACTCACTCACTCTGTCTCTCTCACTATCACTCACTCACTCACTCACTCACTCACTCACTCACTCTGTCTCTCTCACTATCACTCACTCACTCACTCTGTCTCTCTCACTATCACTCACCCACTTTCTCTATCTCACTCACTCACTCTGTCTCTCTCACTATCACTCACTCACTCTGTCTCTCTCACTATCACTCACTCACTCACTCACTCTGTCTCTCTCACTATCACTCACTCACTCTGTCTCTCTCACTATCACTCACTCACTCACTCACTCTGTCTCTCTCACTATCACTCACTCACTCACTCACTCACTCACTCACTCACTCACTCACTCACTCACTCACTCTGTCTCTCTCACTATCACTCACTCACTCACTCACTCACTATCACTCACTCTCTCTCTCACACTCACTCACCCACTCATTCTGTCCCTCCCACTATCACCATCACTCCCTCACTCACTTTCCATCTCTCTCCCTCTCTCTCCCTCTCTCTCTCTCTCTCTCTCTCTCTCTCTCTCTCTCTCCTCTCTCTCTCTCTCTCTCTCTCTCTCTCCCTCTCTCTCTCTCACTCACTCTGTCCCTCCCACTAACTCTCTCTCACTCACTCACTCACTCACTCACTCATTCACTCTCTGTCTCACTCTGTCTCTCCCACTATCACTCACTCACTCACTCACTCACTCACTCACTCTCTGTCTCACTCTGTCTCTCCCACTATCACTCACTCACTCACTCACTCACTCACTCTCTGTCTCACTGTCTCTATCACTCACTCACTCACTCACTCACTCAGTCTCTCTCACTATCACTCACTCACTCACTCACTCACTCTGTCTCTCTCACTATCACTCACCCACTTTCTCTGTCTCACTCACTCTCACTCTCTCTCTGTTCCACTCACTCACTCACTCACTCACTCACTCACTCACTCACTCACTCACTCACTCACTCACTCACTCACTTGTTGTTAGAAGTTAGCAGCTGTGCAGTCATCTTGCTGTAGCCTTTAGCCGAGTCCTCTTCAAAGGCTGCTGCAGTTACAGAAAGCTTTCCAAACAAGCTGACCAGCCAGGTGAGGCGAGCGATGCCGCTGAATGCTGGGAAACCAGATCCACGCTTCAGAGGTTCACCTTGGGAACATTCAGAAAAATTTCATTTTAATGAACTGATGTGAGTTTTTGGGTGAAACATACAAACATGTTTCCAAAAAGAAACATACAAACAAAGTGATTCAAGAACATTTGTCCCAGTGAACGCATTTATATTCCTCCACCACCTTCATGTCTTTTCCGTGTTTGACATAATACAGACTTATGCTGTGCAACCTACTCAAAAATATCACAGCTAAATTGGTCTGGAAGAGTTGGTAGTATGGTCAGTAGGCGCTGTGAGCACGGTTAAAGATTTATTGTTTCACTCTAGGGATGTAAGAAAATGTCGATTATGGCAATATATCGTGATATTTTTTCTTGCAAAAATGTATCGATATTCAAAAGTCGCGTATCTAATTTTTGGAAGAATTTACATGGAAACATTTGTGTATTTTCTTTTCTTGTGGTGCAATTCAAATGCCAACCACTAGTTGGCAGCAGTGTGTAATGGGTTTTGTTTCTACCATTGAAATGTAAATCCCTCTGTTACGGTTAAACATGTTAAGTATCAGTTTGGACTATTTATTGAATTTTCCTATAATAAATTTAGTCTAAAAAATCGCCAGTATCGTCTGACTGAATGTATCGCGATATATCGTGATATATTGTATCGTCTCCCCTGTATCATAATACGTATTGTATCGCCAGAATTTCACCAATACACATCCCTATTTCACTCTAAAGTTTCTTCCTTTTCATGGCAAAAGAAAGAAGACATTTTGATCCAGTTTCACCCCACAGTTCTATTAAAACATGGCCATTAGCAGCAGATCCGTATTTGCTGCCCCCTTATTAGTGTAATCTTCAGTATGGGTTCCTAGTGGGCCATCCCAGGCTGACAACATGACAGCAGAGACTATTGGTCACTGATTGGCTATGGGTGGTTGCTCCAGATGGCTACACCTTGCTTCCTGCAACCATTACTGTCCAAAGAATAGCTGACTGGCACTGAACCAATTCACTCATGGACTGCTTCTGTAAGAGCCACACTCAGCCCAACACTCCAGCCCTCTACTGAGCTGTGTGCAGTACAAGTCTGGTAACATCTAAAGCATCTTGGCTTTAGGCATGGGGAGCCAACGACTTTCATCATTTGTATTTTCAGTAACTCTGAAGGACGCACAATGTTGAGTGACAAACAACTCCAACAGTGATGGTGTGTATTTTCCCCGGCGACAGGGGGCAGTATATACATAGATCATTGCAAGCAAATGGTGTCTTTGTGTTCAAATGAGACTTACCAACGGATGGGCATTAGGATCAAAAATCTCTGGCAGTGCAATGTTCAAAAGAGTACCTCGACAGATCATTCAACCTCCAGCAAAATGGCCCCCATAGAAGGAAACATGGCGTCTAATACGGCGCCCAGAGACTTAGGCCCACTCCCATTAGACCCAATTTTTATGGTTATTTGTTATGAAGCCGCCAATATTTTTCAACACTGGGCATCATTGAACCCTCCCACTGTCCCAATGGGTGTGACCCAGTGAGGAAAGTTGACCATTGAGCAGGATTGATGGTTTATCCCTTGAGGTCCATGTGGCAGGGGTGAGGTGGTGCTCACTCCTCACCCCTGCCACATGGTCAACTTTCCTTGCGGGGTCACCCATAAAGACAGTGGGAGGGTTAATTCATTTTTCAACAACCTTTTGATGGAGATTAATGATAAAAACAACAAATTGTCTCTTTAACTTCAATAATAACCAACGTGTCTTCGGTGTCTTACCAGTAAAATGAAGAGAGCCACCCTGCAGAACTTTCCCATCTAAATCCTTCTGTAGTTGTTTGTAATCCTCAGTCAGCAGCTCGATGTGTTCTTCATGTAGAATTAGGCCTGGTGGGTGCACGCACGCACGCACGCACGCACGCACGCACGCACACACACACACACACACACACACACACACACACACACACACACACACACACACACACACACACACACACACACACACACACACACACACACAATTTTAGACAAAGCAGCAATACATGTAAATTTATTTAAAATAACTGTTTGGCTGTTTGTTTAAAAGTTGTTAATAAAGGTTTTTGAAAAAAGTATCACAGCGACCAGCATCCCGGCATGCGTTGCGGTCGATGACGCAATGCTCCCTGTCTCAATTCTGCAATCATTTGCACACTTGAGTACTACGCACTCAAAATCTAAGTTTTTCTGTGAATATGTGGAGCGGTGTGTACAATGATGAGGAAAGAAATTAATTTAATTGAGTTTAGCGAATGGCTGCAATAAAGCAAAGTGTGAAAATTTGACAGGGGTTTGAATACTTTCCATACCCACTGTACATTTCTGTAGCAGACAATGACTATCTCTGACAGGCCACCTGTCTCCCAGTCTGGTGTGAGAGGTTCTCCTCGCAGTAACAGAGAAGGAGAAACAACCGGCTGCTACCACTTCACCTTTAGGAAAAACTACCAGTCCCAAAAAGAAAACCACCTTTTGAAGTCACGGACAACAAGAGTGTCACTCACTGCCGCATCCCCACCCTCTTGGTCTGCCTCATTGTGGTGCATTTTTCAGAATGGAAATGTGGATGCAGTAAGACTCTAGGACTGACATTACTTGCCCTTTAAGGTGTGGTCTTAAACTTTTGATCAGCTGTTAAAACAGCCTGCTTCAGTTGAAAGATATTGGCCAGACTCTGCATGAAAATTGTGGAAATTCTGTAAAACTACACTTTACCATCTGCAGTCAGTCAGGTAGCTATTCTGGTAAGCTATCATTGTAAAATTTTCCAGAGTTATATCAGTATATACTCGCAGCGGTAAAACACCCTTCCGTTGTCGGACAGTCTTGTGAAGAGAATGCTCAGGGTTGTCCATCATTTTCTTGATTCTCTGGAGAATCCTTCTTTGCATCATCTCCTCCAGCGGTTCCACAGTCGTCTCCAGAACAGAACCAGCCTTTTTTATTAGGCTGTTGAGCCTTTTCAGGTCCCTGCTTCTGATGCTGCTACCCCAACAGACGATGGCTGAAGAGATTACACTCTCAACAACAGACTTGTAGAAGATCTGCAGCATCTTGCTACAGACATTGAAGGACCTCTCCTCCCCTCTCCTGGAACTTCTTTTGATGATATAGATCTTCGTCCCCCCTTCCCCTGACACACCTGGTGTGGGGGGTTGTGCCTTGGTCTGCCTGAGTGTTCGTGGCAACCGGGTCTGGGGGTTTAAGATTTTGGCATCTGCCTGATCAATCCCGGTGGCTGCCTGGTGGGGTCTGGGTCCCTGGGCTCTGCTGGGTCCCCGGCGGGGGTGGTCGCCCCTGGGTCCCGGGTCGCTGGGTCCCGGGCTCGGCCGGCTAGGGGGGGGGGGCTGCTGCGGGCGGTCCTGTGGGCTTGCCGCTGATGTCTCCCGGGACTCTGCCGGCTGCTGGTTGTGGCCTCCTTGGGGTTCCTGTGCTCTGGGACAGCTCCTGGATCTCTGGGACTTGGAGCTCCCCCCGTCTCCTACGCATCTTTGGGGGGCAGATCTGTGGTCCCTCACACTCTCTGTTGGACGCTCCTAAAGAGAAACCTTACATAAACAAGCGCGTGTACACACACAGGTGCTCACATGGTGCTCTCATAAGTATGGACTTGGACACGTTCAACACAGGTCTTAAGACTATGGTGGGCACTTAATGCACTGTGATTTATTATTGTGATTCTTCAGTTAAGCAATGTTGATTTTATATTTTCATCAAGTTGACGCAGTGATAGCTTGATCTTGTTGTATAGTTGTTGTGTCCCTTTTTTTTTGTTCTTTTGCTTTTTTTGTCTTTTTCTGCAGGTCTAGAAGCAGACTCTTGTTCATTATTGTTTATTTTTGTGGAACCCCCCCATCTTTCGTCTCTTCCTTTCTCTTTCACCTCTGTCTCCGTGTCTGGTCGGAATTACAAATGCATTCAAAAACAGTAACAATAAAGTTTTAAGTATCAGGCGTGACATTAAAAGCAGACGCTTTGATGCTTCACCTGAGGGTAAATCTGTAAGGCTTGTCACCAGCATTCAGACATCAATTCTGTTTGCTTCACAGCCAGACAGGACACGGTTTAAAAAAAAAAAAAAAAGACATTGAAGGACCTAAGCGTCCTCAAGAAGTGCAGTCTGCTGTGTCCCTTCTTGTAAACGTCTTCGCTGTTCTTTCTCCAGTCCAGTCTGTTGTCCTGGTGAACTCCAAGGTATTTGTATTCCTCAACCACCTCCACTTCTTCTCCCATGATGGAAACACTGTTAGACTCCACCCGGTTTCTTCTGAAGTCTAAAATCATCTCGGCTCGCAGGTCTTCTGGGTCAAACATGTCTGCACCTCTGGCTTAACCAGCCAACGGGTGGTCGGAGTTCAGTTGAATTTCTCCGGCAATCCAATATTCATTCTTGTCGTTGTATCCCAGAGAAAAAAAATCTGACCGACTAGCAGAGGTTTCAGAAGCTACATCTGACACATTGTTGTCTGCTTTAACGCTAACACAGAAACACCGGAGAGCCGCTCCTGTTTACACTCGCTGTTTGTGGAGCGTTCCTGGCGTCACGTCATCAGCTGGTTTGGGTTCAGATTCTGTTTTGTGATTGCTATTTAAAAACACCGTATTTTCTTTCAAATCCAGCTGTGAAAATCCAAAAATCTTTTACAGCTGAGGTTTTAATACCTTTTTGCACATGCCATTCAAAGGAATTTTACCTCTGGCCAATTACTTAAAGCATTTTCAATCAATTGCTGCTCAGAAAATGTTATCTCTCTTCCATTTCTTCTTGCATGTTGAAGCTTTGAGTTACTTATCTTTACAAACATGCCATAGATTAAATCAGCAATATTTCCTCAAGGCCCCACTGAGATAAGCACATACAAAGAGAACAGATGTGATAAAAATGAGTACTACTTTGTACAAGTACCTTTTTTTTGGGCCAACTCCCAGAGCTCCTCAGCAGTATCGTAGGACATGGTCATTGGATACTCCACACAGACATGCTTTCCTGCCTGCAGAAACATCCTAATAAACAAGGAGAGGTGAAAAATTACATTACAAAAGTTTTAATGCAGGCCACATGCACCATTATACACTAACACATAGTAATGTATAATGACTGCTGAAACCTTATAACCATAGATCCTTATAGCCCCTTTTTTCTAGTAGCTATTTAGCATGTCTTGACACAGCTCAACTCTACTTAACATAGTTTGTGTGCTTTTACATGACAACTGACACACACTGGGTGGGGCAGTCATAGATGGGCGACCCCAGAATTAAAAAAGTAGCGCTAGGTCACATGTGTCAGACACAAGGCCCGCGGGCCAGAGCAAATTTATGTGGCCCGCAAGATAATTATCAAAAATATATTAAAACTGACCCGCCGACCGATTTTACTGCTAAGACTACAACTCCCATGATGCTTTGCGGCGTTAGCGCGGCGCCGAAGCGCCCCCTCCTTTGTGTTTTTTCCAGCGTCTGCTGCAGGTGTCTGCAGCTCCGCTGTCCCGGACGAACTAAACACTCCTCTCACTCAGCGCCGAGTTTACTCAGCTATTTACCGACGTTGAAGCCCAGAAACGGAGATTCTAGCCGCTCAGTAATGTGTTCACGACTGAATGAGAAAGTTTTCCAACTAACTTCCAGACAGAGCTGATATAACTCCAGCGAGCAGCGACACGCTCAAACCAGCACGACTCTGTGGCTGCTGTAGTTTTTATTTTTCCTCCCCGACACACAACAACGTGGTCAAGCTGCTCAGACATGTTCAGCAGCACAAGCCTATGTGAGCACCTGTTGTCATCTAATGTTGTCATTATTATGATGAAGATGAACAAAACAACAGGAGTCTCCTCCTCAGCTCAGATCAACCCCATGATGCAGGTATCTGGCTGGAACAGGTGAGCATCACAGTAAACCAGTGGAGCAAACTGAGCTTTAAATATGTTGGTTTTATGCTCTTTTTCTGCTCCAAAACATGAAAGTCAACAGGTGAGATGTTGCATTATCATTTAAGATAAAATGATATTTTTATTTTGTTGGTGGCCCGTGAGAAAAGATTTAACCTACAGTAAACAGGAAGTGGAAAGTTTTCATTTAAACTGCAGTACAACATAAGTGTGATCCAGGGCCTAAGTAGCCTGGCCTGCCAGACTCCTCCTCTGTTTAATTCTGCACAAAGAAGGGGTCTGGGAACTCTCCTATTCAAATTACCCCACCCCCTGAGAATTTGAACCGAGCCAATCAGCGCTGAGCAGCGTACGTCACACACCATAACGCCAAGTTTGTCATGAAGCGGAGTTCCCTGCGGCTCTTTCCTCGGTTCTAAATGACTTGAATGTCTTTAAAACCACAACAAGTAGAAGCGCTAAAAGCCTTTCTTCTAAAGAAAGATGTTTGCGCTGTCAACAGTCGCCATTTTTGACTACAGCTAAAAAAACTACAGCGCTGCGGACGTCACACACAGCGACGCTCAGTTTCTCATAAACAACGAAGACAGCGGTGAAGTTTGCTGCGGCTCTTTCCTCGGTTCTAAATGACTTGAATGTCTTTAAAACAACAAGTAGAAGCGCTAAAAGCCTTTCTTCTAAAAAAAAAAAAAATAGATGTTTGCGCCATTTGCCAGACATCTTTTCTTTTTTACTAGAGCTAACAAACTACAGCGGTACAGTCGGCATTTCCGTCTTTTTTCTGATTGGTTATTTTTGAGCTGCCTAGTCCCGCCCCTCATGTGCCTCTCTGCCTTTGAGTTATCAGACTCTTCCTCTGTGCAGAATTAAACAGCGAACGGGTCTGGCAGGCCAGGCTAGGGTCTAAAGCAAAGCGGATTAGAAAGAAGATTAGAAAATAGCTCTTTTAGCCCGTTGAGTTCTATTCATTTTTTCATTCTTCCGGGGACCTATGAGCCGACCGGATAGGAGGAGACTACGGTAAATATTGCTGTGCCCAAAAGGAACAGGAAATACGTCACAAGATTTCCGAGTCTTGGTAAAAGTCTGAGAACATTTTTAAACCACACCTAAATACAGACTATACGCAGCACTTATAGCCTATGATGTATAGAACGTTTAGTTTAATTTTTATGTTTTTTTTATCTTTTGTGATTGCTGTCATCCTGTGAGACTGGTGGGGCGCAGTGATGGGAATAACGCCGTTTAAAATAACGGCGTTCTTTTTTTGGGTAACGGAATAATCTAATTAATTACTTTTCCCACTGTTGCAACTCCGTTACCGTTACCGGGGACGGAAGGTTGTGCGTTACTATGTGCTTGTCGAACGTTGAGCAACAGTGTGAGGCTTTCTGACCGCCGCACTTCAGCTGCAGCCAGGGAGAGAGAGGTGTCTGTAACGCACTTACAAACACGATGATTGGCCGGGTGGGCGGAGACCCTCAGTGTCTCAGTCACTGCCTGCTGTAGACCCAACAGAGCAGTGATGGGAATAACGCCGTTTAAAATAACCGCGTTACTAAAAAAATATTTCTTTCAGTAACGAGCAAACTAATTAATTACCGTCTTCTTTTATCAAAACGTTTCTGTTACTGATAAGGAAATGCGTGCGTTAAGCAGCACGGTGTGTTGAAGCGGTCATCAGCTGATCAGGAGCTAAAGAGGCAGATGTTTTCATCCAAGCGCACCCAAAGCTTGGTTTAGCCAATAACATATAATTAGAGGCTGTTTATGTTTGTGAAAGTCAGTATGTTATCTTATTGTTTTAAAAAAGAAAAAAGGAAGATGTAATGATAACAGCAAATCATTATTTGCTTAGTATCATGGCTTATGTAGTTAATACTGCTAGACGGTAGGGGGAGCCAGGGGGGCGCAGATGACCCGCGGTCTGGGACGGTAGAAGGAAGCTTGGTTGTTGAATGTGAGCCTGAGTTCGATAAAGTACCTTCTCTTCAAGTAATGGTGTCGTTATTGAGAACCCACAATACAAGAAACAAGGCACCGCGGTTAAAAAAATGCATTCTACTATAATTGATTATGGCGTGCAGCAGGGAAACAATGGTGGTTGAAAGGGCAACATGAAAAACATGCAGGAATGTGGGTCCTGAGGACCAGGATTGGGAAACCCCGGGCCAGGACCTGATTTAGTGGACCAGCTACCAGGTTGACCTGTGAATAGTTGACTGGCAGGTAGTTTCCGCCTTTGTTCCCGATTGATTTTCTATGTATAGATTTTGTATTTATGCTGTGTATCAGAGTCACATACCTTATGTAGTCTTCATGGGACTCGTTCTCAGTGCAGATGAATGCAACATGAATGTCCTGTCTGCTTACAGCCTCCTCTAGTGAGATCTGACTGACCCCTTGGTGAGTATTCAGGTTTCTCCTGTTTAAAACACAATGAGGACATGAGCATCATTTTCAACAAAAGACAAGACTTTATTGAGCCCACAGTGGGGACATTTTTGCGTTACCACAGCTCAGACTGATATCAAAGTAGTAAAACCAGAAAAGAAAAACAAACTGGGAGCTGAGGTAACCAGCAGCACAGTGTGGCGCCATCTTGGGGGAAAAAAGTAACACCTTCAAAATTGTGGGTTTAGGTTGTAGCCTGTCCTGGGTGTACACCACCAGCTTGACTGAAAACTGCTGGAGATAGGCACCAGCCCCTTCCCCACAAACCCTGCGTGGCTAAGTGGATGATGACAGAGGAAGGAAGGAAGGAAGGAAGGAAGGAAGGAAGGAAGGAAGGAAGGAAGGAAGGAAGGAAGGAAGGAAGGAAGGAAGGAAGGAAGGAAGGAAGGAAGGAAGGAAGGAAGGAAGGAAGGAAGGAAGGAAGGAAGGAAGGAAGGAAGGAAGGAAGGAAGGAAGGAAGGAAGGAAGGAAGGAAGGAAGGAAGGAAGGAAGGAAGGAAGGAAGGAAGGAAGGAAGGAAGGAAGGAAGGAAGGAAGGAAGGAAGGAAGGAAGGAAGGAAGGAAGGAAGGAAGGAAGGAAGGAAGGAAGGAAGGAAGGAAGGAAGGAAGGAAGGAAGGAAGGAAGGAAGGAAGGAAGGATGGATGGATGGATGGATGGATGGATGGATGGATGGATGGATATTGCGAAGATTAAAAAACATTGTTTATCTCACATTTGTCTAAAAACCTCAGCCAATAACGTTTCAGACCAAAAGCAATGTTTGGACCATCCGGCCGAACCATCGCACTTCCACATTTAGCCATGTAGATAAAGGTGGCTACTACCACTTTAACTACAGGAAAAACTACCAGAGTCCTAAAAAGAAAAACACCAGTTGAAGTTGCGGATCACAAAATATGTTTGGGCCTAGAATACTGTAACTGGGGTTTAGCACTCTCGTTTTGTTGTGGCAATACAGGTTCTGGTATCGGGCGGATGTGGCCTAGGGTTGGTGGCTGATGGGAGAGGCGTGAATTCTGTGACGACGTTTGTGTTTAAAAGCTAGATTGTTTCGCAGATTTGCTACTGCAGCTTTAAGCGTGACTGAAGTCTGAACTCAAGTCAGAGTCCAGGACTAAAGTCCTCCATCACAGTCTTTTCCAATCTTGAATCACTAAGCCAAACAGCTAAACAGTGGATTTTCTAAGAGTGACTAACATTTTTGGAATGCAGCTTGCAAGATACATTTGTGCATTACCTGGAAACGAACCCTCGGATGGAAAGTTTCTCAGCAGAACTGCCAGGAAGAGGAGCCAACAGGTCTCTGATCCGAGCCTGACCTGCTAGTCCAATGCCCAAAACCACTGCCCCAAGCATACTCACTGGAAAGCAGAAAACATAATTCAAATAATTCAAGTACTTTTAAATAACACAACACCATCTGAGATAGAAATATCACCTATATGCAGATGACATTTTAAATATTTCATTAGACTCCTTAAACCCAAACCAGGTTCATACAACCAAGGTAACCCCATGATCTTTACAAACACGTCTTCATCCACGTGCTCAATCAATCAATCAATCAATCAGCCTTTATTTATAAAGCACCTTACAGGCATGAGCATGCCACCAAGGTGCTGTACAACAGAAGAATGAAACAATAAAACATATAGCGCCACAGACATAAATAAAACCACAAATAAGAATTACAAAATATAAAACATCAGCAATTGCTAACCCACAGAATTAAAAGCCAGATCGTAAAAGTAGGTTTTCAGCCTCATTTTAAAAACCGCTACCGATGGAGAGCCCCTAATAGTTAGGGGCAGTGCGTTCCACAGTTTCGGACCCGCAACAGAGAACGACCTGTCCCCTCTCAACTTCAGTCTGGCCTTAGGAGCCACAAGTAGCAGCTGGTTCTCAGAGCGGAGTGACTGGGCCGGAACATATGGCTGCAGCAACTCCATCTTCTACTAAATACTGAGCAAAGGGTCTGAATACTTAAGATCGTGTTACATTTCAATTTTTCACTTTTCAAAACATATTATTCACATCTTTTCAATCAATATTTACTTAAAAAGTTCATAACATATCCAAATGCTATTTTATAACTTCTTTGCTACCATAAATTTAGCATCTATCTTCTCTGTCCAGAATGTGGACTTTGTCATCTTCAAAGGAGTGTCCCTTGTCCTTCAGGTGAAGGCGGACTGAAGAGTTTTGACCTGAAGAGGTGGCTCTCCTGTGTTGTGTTATGTTCTTGTGTAATTGCTGTTTAGTTTCTCTAATGTAAACATCTGGACAGTCCTCACTACACTGGACTGCATAAACGACGCCACTGAGCTTCTGTTTGGGTGTTTTGTCTTCTGGATGGACCAGGTTCTGTCTGATGGTGCTGTTGGGTTTAAAGTTTACCGGGATGTTGTGTTTGGAGAAGATTCTTCTAAGTTTCTCTGCGACTCCTGCCACGTATGTGATGATGGCGCCTTTGTGTAAAGGGTGTTGTTGTTAGGTTGGTAGCAGAGCTCTCATGTTTAGTGTTAAGTTCAGTGAGATCATGGAATGGGATCAAGAATTTTCTACTGACAGGAAAAAGATCTCAGCTAACATAGCTGTAAATCACAATGGATAAGTCTCTGTGGTTGCATTTATTTTACTACCTCTTAGTAGAGCTGTCTTTAGTAGGCGCAAAATATATTTGGTTGTACACCTGTGCAATAGCAATAAATTATCTTCATTCCTGTTAAATGTACTTCCTAAATGAGTGACCTTTTCAGGCTAAAACAACAAAATGACAAATACAGACTGAAGGACAACTTCTTTCTTCTTTTATAATGCATTGCATCACCACCTGGTATCAGAACAGGACTCAGTATTGGAAGATAATCAAAAATCAAACAACTTGGACTCGGATCAAGGGCAAAAATGTGGTTGTAACACCTCTAGATATGTCAGCTTTAAAAACTAAAACTATTATTTATGAACTAACATTAACACTAATTGATATATTTTTATTATGTTGTTTGAACCCAAATTTCTCATCTGAATTTTCTAACTTGTTGGATTGCTCTAAAAGCGCCCCCCCCCCCCCTTTTTTTTTTTTTTTTTTTTTTTTTTACTTTGAGCACCAGCCCCGTCAAAGGTCTCTGCACGGCCCTGGTTCTGGGACTCGTTTAAAAACGAACATCAACTCCCTTAACCCGAAGCAGATAAAAGATGGTTTGAAACGGTCTAACCCCCAGAAGAAATTAGATGGGCTGCAACACCAACGCGAATGATACCAAAACAAACACTTTAAAAGATTAAAACAAAAATGTCAACCCAAGCAAGCGGACTTCTGTCTAACTGTTTTAAATATGCTCTCTGGGCGAAGCTGTTAACGGAGGTAAACGTAACTCCAAAAAAATGCTGAGTCACGGTTAGCTCAGCCGAGTCTTACCCTGGTCTTACCTTAGCTGCGGCTAAAGCGAAGAGTCGCCCTAAGAAGATAAAACTGACACTTCCAGCTGAAGTTCTGGGACACAACAGTGGTGAAGTCACCTGAACGTTAGCTCCCGACCACCAATGAACTATGTAAAAACTCTGTAAACATGGCGCCCCCCTCCACACACATAGACATGTACTCAATAGACGCTGCTTGAGTTATCGAAACGCACGTCGACGTCACCGCCATATTGTGGGTGTCACGAAACTGAAGTAGGTTCTAATTTCCGATTAGAAAAGAGCAATTTAAACCAAACTTTCCAGTCCTTGAGTACATTTAATCTACTCTTGTTATAAAACTAACACACATAAACTCTTCAAACAAGACTAGAGTGTTCTACGCTAATAGGACAATCTGTATAACACAGTTTGTGAAACCTTTATTTTATTTGTACTTTTTCATTTTGCTTTCCTTTCACCAGTGTGTGGAAAATGTGTTAAAATGTAAATACCAGTGAAGATGATCTTTTCTGGCTGGGCACCTCTGAGCCTAGAATCACACCTGCTTTGTTATCACGCAGCCTTGTCTGCCTCTTAGGCATTTAGTCATTCTTTCTCATTTTAAATTTGAAAAATGTTAATAGCAACAACTCAGTTCGATAAAATGCAAAAACACCTGCTAACAAAAGCACACATGTGCTGTGTGAGATTGAGGTGATGCAGCTGTCCCATCAGAGCACTGATTTTAAACGTATTTAAAATTGAATAGAACAGGCTGTAGTGGGAAAAGTCACTCGTTACAGCAGCACATACACTCAGGGAGAAGAAAGAAGAAAAATAATAACAAAAGTACAGGTGGATACAGATAGGCAGCTATTATTTTAACCTTCTACCAATAAAAACATGAATAAAAAGAGAAATTTATGTTTCAAGAACTATACAGCATTAGAGACACAGACATACTGATGCAAATCTGGTATTGCTCATACTGAATATTGCATTGATGTTATTGTGTAACGGGATAATGCTAGTACAGCTTAACCTGAGGAGTTATAAACTCTTACTGCAGAGAGGATGAATAACGTGTGGTAGCATTCTGTTTTACATCTTGGATGTCTCAGTCTGCCTCTGAAGGAGCTGTCCATGGTCTCCGCAGTGGAATGCAGTGAGTTGGAGGGGTTTTCAAAGATGGAGTTTATCTTCACCACCATCCTCCTTTCACACATTTCAACTGAATCTAATTGCAGCCCAGACCTGAGCTAGCTTTTTAACTAGCTTGTTCAGTCTCTTCTTCTATCCATCCATCCATCCATCCATCCATCCATCCATCCATCCACTTCCGCTTATCCGGAGTCGGGTCGCGGGGGCAGTAGCCTAAGTCGAGAGGCCCAGACTTCCCTCTCCCCAGCCACTTGGGCAAGCTCTTCTGGGGAAATCCCAAGGCATTCCCTGGCCAGGTGAAAGACATAGTCCCTCAAATGTGTCCTGGGTCTCCCTTTAAGCCTCCTCCTGGTTGGACATGCTTGGAAAACCTCACCAGGAAGGCATCCAGGAGGCATCCTGACCAGATGCCCGAGCCACCTCAACTGGCTCCTCTGGATGTGGAGGAGCAGCAAATCTACTCCGAGCCCCTCCCGGATGACTGAGCTTCTCACCTTTTTTCTTTTTTTAAAAAAAAAACTTTATTGTTATTATTTTTGAATGCTTTTTAATTCTGACCAGACACGGAGACAGAGGTGAAAGAGAAAGGATGAGACAAAAGATGGGGGGGTTCCACAAAAATAAACAATAATGAACAAGAATCTGCTTCAAGACCATAGTTCTAGACCTGAAGAAAGAGAGAAGAAAAAAAAAGAAAAAAATGGGACACAACAACAATACAACAGGAGCAAGCTATCACTGCTTCAACTTGATGAAGTAATATATAATCAACATTGTTTAACTGTAAAATCACATGATAATAAATCACAGTGCATTAAGTGCCAACCATAGCCTTAAGACATGTGTTGAACGTGCCCAAGTCCATACTTATGAGAGCACCATGTGAGCACCAGTGTGTGTACACGCACTTGTTTACGTAAGGTTTCTCTATAGGAGCGTCCAATAGAGAGTGTGAGGGGCCACAGATCTGCCCCCTAAAGATGTGCAGGAGATGGAGGGAGCTCCAAGTCCCAGAGATCCAGGAGTTGCCCCAGAGCACAGGAACTCCAGGGAGACTGCGACCAGAAAAGTCCCTGCCCCCCTCGAGAGGCACAGAGGATTGCCCTGGGGGGCCACAACCAGCAGCCGGCAGAGCCCCCGGAGATATCGGCGGCAAGCCCACAGGCCCACCCGCAGCCTCCCACCCCCTAGCCCGCCGAGCCCGGGACCCGATGACCCGGGACCCAGGGGCGATCACCCCCGCCGGGGACCCAGCAGAGCCCAGGGACACAGACCCACCTTGTTTCCAAGGGAGAGCCCAGCCACTCTGCAGAGAAAACTCATTTCGGCCGCTTGTATCCGCCGATCCTCAGGCCACCAAAATGGATGCCCTCAACACCTTGGCTGAGCCTAGAAATCCTGTCCATAAAGGTTATGAACAGACTCGACTAAAAGAATGTGTTATGTCTTTTTAACCCTACATGAAATGAGTCCTGTTGGAATCCTTAAAGTCAGACTTCTCATTTCTAAGATCATAATGAAGTAATTAATATTTTAATTTCACAGGTCGGTCACATCTTGTTATTGACTAACACTTTGATGGATTATCTTTATTAAAATAGAGTTCTTTGATTAATTAAAAGAAAAGAGTTCATTCTTCGTTCTTCTGTCTTCATTGCTGGAACGTAAACAGTTCAGAAGCAAATGCATGAACTTGAGGCTGTTTCATGCACTCTGGCAATGTGTCAAAAGGAAACAGCTGTTAGAGGGTAGAAATGGCTCCTTCATCACGTTACACAAAGAACAGATAAATATCGCAATGATTGGTTTGCTCAAATGTTTGCTACACATAATGCATTCTGTCAATCAAACGGAAGCATGATGTTTTCTTAACAAATCTAATAAAGCTCTTCACCCAATTGGCCAATTGGGTGGGTTCTCATAGGTTAGATGCCCACCCCTCAGGTGGACGGCACTTCATTTTGATGGTTAGCAAACACCTGAGTTAGCTTTGTTCTGCTCTTTCTGCTGATTCTGCTTTTTCCGGGATCCACTGATTGCCTTTTCTTTTTCCCTTTCCTCACATCTTTAGCTGTTCTCATTTTAATAAATTCTTTTTCTCTTTTTTCATATCTTTGTTTTTGATTATTTTTGTTCCTGAGTTAAGTTTTGATTTATCACAAGTAATATCGTCATCGCAATATTAATCACTGTTATTGCATATCGCAGGTTTTCCTAATATCGTGCAGCCCTAGTTTAATAGGTCAAGTTTATCGTCATGACAACTCAGAGGGGAGTTGTTTTTTTGTAAATCATCCATTTAGACATAATAAAAGTTTTAAATTACGAATTAGGGGTGTGTTGTTTTGATCGACAGGTTTCAGTGCTAGTGCTAGCAGCTTGACCCCTTGCTTGCTCCAGGGAAGGCCTCAGCCTCACAGTCCTACAGCGTAGAAGGCAGAGGGTAGCAGAGTCACTCAACCACTGTTTTCTGGCTGAATGCACCCGCTAACCTAGATTTGGATAGCCGAATTAGCTCATAGCTACATCGTCTCAGAGTGTATTTGGGTGTTAATCTTCTGCCCCCACCCTTTCAGCCCTTCTCTCAGGTCCATTTTTATATTTTCCAGGAGTGGCAAGGTGCATGACGGTGGTGGTGGGATCCTCCCACTGGCTTCAATTAACCTCTTAAGGAACTTATGGGTGAAGGTACTGAGGTCCAGAAATGTTTCCTACATAGAAGCAAGTAAAGATTTATAATCATGTTTTTCTGTGTAAGGAAGCTGAAGGAGGCAATCAAGAACACAAAGAAAAATAAAGTCATCAAACAGTTCAGTCAAAAAAAAAAACAAACAAAAAACTGTCAAAAAAGCTACAAACAAGACAATCATCAGAGGCAGGCAGCTGCTGGGTAAAGAAATGATGTGAATCTGATGGTGGTGGAAAGGTTTACAACGTCAAATTCCCTGCTGTGCTCCTGGTGATGGGTTGGGGTTAACCCAGTAACCAAGAGGTCGGTGAAGCCAAATGTGAAGATTTCCCACTTGCGTTACTATTGGAGCATGCCCACTAGATTCCCTACACCCTCTGCTATTCATTAGCACCATAGGCTAGCACTATTGTAGAGGCCAATTGTTAATTAAAGCAACTAATATACAAATTATTCTTGAACTACTGTTGTTTTGTGATGAGATGCTGCTTTAACTTGCCTGGCATCATTGTTCCATTTGATAATACTTGAAGATCAATTAGGTCTTCCTGATAAAGTCAGATTTGTTGTTATATTTTCATAGTGCATTGCTTGATGAAGTGAATTGACTCAAGAATTTATATTTTGTCCTAATCAACTCCAGGAAATTTGTACATTTTGCATCTTTGGGCCCCAATGTGTGTTTAACTGACCCCCAAATTATTGCTTGCAGATCCCAGGGGGTCCAGGAACTTCAGTTTGAGGGTCACTGGTGTAGACTAGCCATGAACAAGGACTAGGCCTTAAAGCAGACAAGCCCTTAGCTTGGCCTTGCTCTTATGTTGGATACCCATTAGCTTGAACAAGCTCTTACCGGCTAGTCTGCATTAGCTCAGACTAGTCATTAGTGGAAATCATTCAAATCCCTGTGTCTTGACTGGCAGTAAAACAATCAGAACTGTTGTCTGAGTGCCAAAAAGAGAACCAACACATACAAAATATGCTAAAAACCTGTGGATACCCAACATGGGCACTACAGAAAGAAAAACAACAAACAACAACAAAAAGAAAAAACAAACTATCAAGGAGAACCAGGACAACAGAGGGAGCAAAACCAAAACCAGCTATAACCCTTCCTTACATCAACGGCATAACGAAAAAAATAAAGGCAGTGATGAACAGACACAACATCAACACACCAACAAAGCTATACCTGACGGTCAAGAAAAGAGTGGTACACCCAAACCACATAATACCAGCTGGACAGAAATGCGGTGTCATCTGCAAAATGCCATGTAAACCCTACAGTAAAACACACATAGGAGAAACAGGACGCCAACTCAACACACGAAAAACAGAACATCAAAAAGAGAAAGAAACAAAACAAAGGCAAAAAAGAGCATCAAAACAGGAAGCGGAAAGTTCAATAAAAAATCTGCAGTAACGGACCATTGCGCAAAGGAAAATCACATAATGGATTGGGACAGCACACGGATCTTAAAAACGGAACAACAAAAATACAGAAGATGGCTTAAGGAAGCGATAGAGATAAGGAGACGCGGACACAACACCATGAACAGAGACAACAGTGTTTACACTTTTGATCACACATGGGATGGTGTTATCAGCATGAAGGATGCGGGCAGCAGAGGGCGACATCATCCTCTGCTGCCCACACATAAAAGGAAATGATGCCACGAACAGCTGGCGGTTCTGACGAAGGCGGAAGTTCCGGCCGAAACGTGCCAGCCGAAGGTAAAGAAACATCTACTGATGAAGATGATTATAAACCAACACACAGAACGAATATACAGAAGAGACAAAAAGATGCCTTACGAATTAACTCTCGGAAGTGGAATGTTACAGATTTTCGGCATAATTCTCCACCTGATAACTATTTTTAGATAAAAAACTTTATTAGGAATACAGGCACGGAGATGGAAAAGACAGAGAAATGGGAAATAAGAAAGGAAAAAAGGTGGGGAAAGGGTTAGCAAAATAGAAAGAATACAAGAGGTACAAGAAATCTCATTCCAAACAAGCAGAAAGGCAGACAAAACCCAAACCAAGATACCACAGCTACAAATATCACATTAGCTAAGTCCCTGAAAAGCACACAGTAATAATTGTGTATTTAGTGCCAACCACAGCCCAAGGTAATGTGTCTGAAAACATCTGAATCCATACTTGTGAGAATATCTTGTGAGTGCCTATGTGTGTACATGTGCTTGTCCATATCAGGTTTCTCCATAGGAGTGTCCATTAGTGAGTGTGAGGAGCAACAGACCCACTGCCCAAGAACCATGGAAGACATGGAGGAGATCCAAGCCCAGAAATCCCCCTATAGTATGGGAAAGCTTGAAGGACCACTGTAGGAACAGGCTCATTTTTTCACCCAACAGCCACTGTGCCAGAGTCCCAGAAGATTGATGCAACAAGGCAATAGGCCCCACCAGCAGCCAGCCATACCAGGGCAGATCCAGTGAGCTGAGACCTAGATTTCCACAGAAACAACCAAGTTTATTTTTATTCTAGCTACAGATTTTGGTGGTAAATAATAATACTTCAGGCAACGTGGCTCATAAGAAGGCATTCTAAATTGATTAGGGAAGTAACAATGTATCTGTTTCTTCTGTTGTTGTAAACCAAACCTGTTCAGCTAACAACCCAGACTGATGCCATAAGAGCCAGTCCAAAACGGGATGATGCAAGCATTCACATCAGTCCATAAATATCAAACCAATCTGCTGAACGTTAAAGTGACAATGTGTAGTTTTTACCATTAATCTCTGGAAATATCCATTTAAATGTTGTTGTAAATGAAACAAAGGATGTCCAGTTGTTTAAAAATATTGGCGGCTTTGTAACATATAACCATAAAAATCTGGTCTAAAATACATGAGAGCGGGTCTAAGGGTGTCTCTCAATGTCAAGGCACCTGGCCGTGTGAGGCGATGTCTTGTGAGCCCAGGCGCCTTGCTTACGAGGACACTGTCCTTCCTTGGTCAAACAAAACGGTTAAACGGAACAGACTTGCATCACGGGACCGTGCCTTCCACGGCGGTCACGTGACACGGGAGACAACATTATATTTTATACGTATATGTTTCAAAATGAATATATAACGAGACTTTTACTTTTTAAACAGTGTAAATATTTGTTAAATTAAATATATAAGCGAGTTACTACCTGCTAGTCACCGAGGCTGCAACTAATAACCAACTAACCAACCACAGATTACTTCTTTGGATATAAGAAGAAACATTTTAAATTAGTTGACTTACTGTACTTTTAAACTTGAAATTTGCTCCCAAAGAAGCTGTCGGCTTCTGATCCGCCATCCTTTTGAAAGTACTGTGGTGTATTCTGGGTAATTTTTGACCAAGGCTAGGCTACAAGACACCTCCTGTGTATCCTTGCTCAGCTAGCTAAACAGCTAACAAACGGAAAGCACACGATTCGGTAGAACATGAACACTGGAACACGTCTTGGCGGCTCCAGATGAAGTATCTCCTAGGCAACCGGGGCGAGGCCAAGACATCAAGGCAAGGTTCCTTGGCATTGAGAAACACCCTATGTCTCTGGGCGACTCCATATTGGATGCCATGTTTCTTGAAGCCCATGAGGACAGAAATAATTTTCTGATTTGTCACAAATGGTTACAAAACTTTCAGCATTAATAAACGTTGTTCTTTTATACATTCACACATTGCAAGTGATGAAAGGGAATCTGATGTTCTTGTAGTTTTGCTGGAGGTTGCACTCCCAGGGATTTTTGACCCTAATGGCCATCTGTTGGTAAGGTCTTATGCCCGGATCACACTGTGCGTTTTTTGGCCGTCTTTGTCAAATCGCTCGTCCTGAGCTGAATCGTGACAAAAAACGGTCAGCGTCAGGGTGATTTGCATACATGACCACCATGCTGTGAACGGACAGTGTGACCGGCTCTGCGACAGCTTTCTGAGCCGTCTCACGACCAAATCAGTCTCAAAAAGTCTCCAAGCACGGCTTGAAAACCCACGACTCCTGTCTGCAATTGACCAATGAAAACACACATTTGGGGTGCCGCAGCAGCAAGACTCCACCTCTCTGTGCTTCGGTTTCAATTTAACTACCTTATTTTGACCATCAGCTCAATTGTGAAAACCACGATTCTGTGATCTGTGAGAGCTGCGAGGAGATGAGCTCACAAACGTAAAAAAATTAAAACTCAAAAACATGAGATCCCTTTGCTGTTGGTGGAAATTTCACATATTCAACCGATAAGGATGATTCTGTGGCGTTTTGTTGCAGGGGAAGCTCCGAGACAGCGGGTGTGATCTGTCATAGCGGAGCAGTGAGACAGAATTCACGGCAAAAGTTATATCGCAGCGATCTGTGACAGATTGTTACTTATCTGTAGTTTAGTGGGTTCTTGTGTATAAAAAAGGAGAAGGACGAATGACTTGCCACCTCCGGGTCGGGGGAGAGGTCCTACCTCAAGTGGAGGAGTTTAAGTATCTCGGGGTCTTGTTCACGAGTGAGGGTAGGAGGGATCGGGAGATCGACAGGCGGATTGGTTCGGCGTCTGCAGTGAAGCGGACGCTGAGCCGATCTGTCGAGGTGAAGAGGGAGCTGAGCCAGAAAGCCAGGCTCTCGATTTACCGGTCGATCTACGTCCCAATCCTCACCTATGGTCATGAGCTTTGGATAATGACCGAAAGAACGAGATCGCGGATACAAGCGGCCGAAATGAGTTTCCTCCGTAGGGTGGCCGGGCTCAGCCTTAGAGATAGGGTGAGGAGCTCGGACATTCGGGAGGGACTCGGAGTAGAACCGCTGCTCCTCCGGATCGAAAGGAGCCAGTTGAGGTGGTTTGGGCATCTGGTCAGGATGCCTCCTGGACGCCTCCCCGGGGAGGTGTTTCGGGCATGTCCTGCCGGCAGAAGGCCCCCGGGTCGACCCAGGACACGTTGGAGAGGTTACATCTCCAATCTGGTCCGGGAACGCCTTGGGGTCCTGCCGGAGGAGCTGGTGGACAAGGCCGGGGAGAGGACGGCCTGGAGCTCCCTAGTTGGGATGCTGCCCCCGCGACCCGGACCCGGATAAGCGGAGGAAGACGAAGACGAAGACGAATGACCAGCTGACAGCTCTGCTGTTTAGCTGGAAGACGGGAAAAGGAGACCCGCAGCCGGAGTCTGATGCCAAAGCGAGGATTTTAAAAACGAAGCTTCCTCTTTGAGGAACAGGAGTTGGGTCATGAACTGACACTAAAACTGAGTGTTTTTATTTTTTCAGCTTAGTTGCGGTTAGCGATCTGCTTAGCGACGTATGCTTTGGGATGTGTGCTCATGACGCAGAGTGCCCTGCCGGAGAGAGACGTCGTGCAGTCTGCCTCACCAAAATCTTGCGCCGCACAGCATGACACCTCACTGGAGTTCTCACAGTGTGACATGAACAATCCTGTGCGACGGCCAAAAATCGCACAGTGGGTTCCGGGCATTACTTGAACACAAAAATAATGCTTGCTTGCAATGATTTAGGCATCTACTGCCCCCTATCGCCAGGAAAAAATACACACTGTCACTTTAAAATATTCACTTCTAGATCAAAAGTCTCATTTCATCAGGGTTGCTACAGACAAAATATTTATTCAGTTAAATTATATCTTAGTTTTTTACCATCAGTGCCATATTTGTCTAAAACACCAGCAAGTAAAAAGCTGACAATTAAAATTAAGTTAATGAAAAAATATATGATAAATAAATTGAATTACATTCCACTGAAATCTTATTCAGAGTGACAAAGGAAAAAAAATAAAATAAAATCTAAATGAGCCAACATCATTTTTCTCAATCTAAGGCTGGTCACTTTCTGAAGCTGTCCTGTGAAAGTGGTCCAACTCTGTTCTATAGCTCATGGACAGCACTGAGCAGAACTGGACCTGGGCCATAAAACACACTCAGCTACATTGTGTTGTCAAAGTGTGAAAATACATTTCTCAAATGTCCTCAAGGTTCCACAGCCGGTTACCTCACTAATGCTCATAAACAAAGAAAACAAGCTAAGTCCTGGTTTCAGTCTGTGACATTCTCCGAGGATTCAGATGAACCACTCCTTCTTGCTCTCATCAATTGTTTCGGTGAAGGCTGGGTCATTGACAATGATTGCTGCATCCGCACAATCAGCCGACTCTGCTCCCTTGGCCTCGTTAGTGTGGTACGATCCTTTATGACGAAACAGATGCCGGATCGCAAACACCAGGATGCACAGGACAGAGAAGATCACCACAGAGATTATGCCTGCAAACAAAACATCATCAGGTAGATTTAACTGCCTTTCAAGAAACCATTTGGGCACTAGTGACTGAACAATAGTTAATAGTTAAAGGAGCATTATGGAAGTTTGACAGCCAAAACATGTATAGAAATAATAAATGTCTTCTTCATACATTCTCCTGCAATGCCCTGGTCCTGTACAATGAGCCCTGGCATTTTTACTGTGATTGCCTGTTTTTCTGTAAAATCACAGAAAAAGAGAGATGCTCGGGTCGAGCAGGCTGCTTCATGCGCGTTCACGCTCAGGCATCGCCCGTAGCGTTTGCTATCCGTAGCTTTAGCAGCAGAGAGAGAGGCAGTGCCACTTTGTCGCTGTTCCTAACGCCTAGTGACAAAGCTAGCTACATTTCTGAGGACCCTTAGCTACTTTCTGTCGAACTTTCTTCTAGATATTTCCTGCAAATTAGCAACAAAATAGCCATTTTCGCTCCAAACCGCTCTTTGAACGTTGTTTCAGCTGTCATCAAGGATGTAAATGTTACAGATACAATAGAAATCACTGGCGCTTTAGCTCACCTAGTAAGATGTCGGACTCTCGTGCAGAAGACCTGGGTTCGATTCTGGATGTGTACATAGTTAATTTAGAGTTTCTTTTTTACATTAATGGTATATTTTCTTACAGTAAGATGCCCAAATTTTTATTTGAGACTCGCCGAACGGCATTGAATTCACAGATAAAAAAGATGTGGGTTCAACTTTCATTTTGGAACAAATTTTCAAGCAAGGGAAGGGAATGATCTGAGCATGCAGGAGGACTGACCCATCATAAACCTTTGTCGGCTGTGCTGAAGAGAAAGGTACAGAACCACATTATTTAATTAATTAGCTGCATGTTATCCTGTCCTCTGGACCACACACACACACACACACACACACACACACACACACACACACACACACACACACACACACACACACACACACACACACACACACACACACACACACACACACACACACACACACACACACACACCAGAACCATCAGCGGAGCGGCAGCGGAAAGGTTTACTCGCAACAATCGCTGCACTCCAGCACACACTGGGAGAGTCTTAGCCGCTGGATTAAGGTGTTAAAAGATGAATGCAAAGCGAAGCAGTTTCATTTTCGATTTAACCACAGTGAGTTAGTAACGGACACTAGGGGGTGCTAAAAGCAAGCAAAACTGCCTAATATTCCTTTAAAATCTATGTAGCATTCAAAGCAGAACAAATTCACTTCTGTTTTCTACCTAGCTTCAGAGGTGCTGTCTGGAGGATACACTGTGGCTACTAGTCCAAACAGAGTATTCGGATGACATTTTGAGACATGACAACAAACACAGCTGACTAGAGAAACAGGATAGCATAGTGGGACCCCTAAATCTTCTGCCGGAAACAAACCTGCGGACGGGTAGGGAGATAAACTCTGATCAGATTTTAGTTCTCAGGCTCCTCTCTTATTACAACTAGCCTGCAGTTTCACTGGTGAGGCACACACACCTTTTCCACATTTGGGACTAGGCTTCGTATTTCCTTTTTGATTTGGGGTTAGGTTATCCTGACTCTAAGCTTTATTTATGTATGCTTTAACACCATGTTATGCTATGCTTTTTCCTTGCTTTAAGTAGGCTTCTTTGTTACTACAAAGACTACAATTGAGGTATGGAATGTTTGAACTTCAGGAGTTATTGCTTGGAGCAGTATTTTATTGTAAATTATTGGTAAATTAAATAAGATTTACCTCCAATTATGGCAAAATTGCGGTCCGCATCATCACTACTCCTGTTTTCCTCTTTGAAGGGGAAAACGGCTCCAGCTGTAAAAAAGCAGACATATGTCAGCCATCTAGTTTAGACAAACTGTGCTTTTGAATTTTTAAGATTTTATTTTGTAAAATTGTGTCAGTGTGTGTGTGTGTGTGTGTGTGTGTGTGTGTGTGTGTGTGTGTGTGTGTGTGTGTGTGTGTACCAGCTTCTATGTGCCAGGGGTCATTGGCAGAGATCATGGGAGAGATGGTGAGCGGGGAGGCTCCACAGTTGGATGGGACCAGTATCCCATGGGTGCTAACAGGTACCGTCATACTCGAGCGAAGTGCAGCTTTCAGAGGCGCCACACTGTTCAGCTGAACTCTGGACAAGCATCCCACAAAACCTGGAGTGTTGTAGCGCTCAATCAGGATTGGGTCGATCTGTCCTGTTTCTATAAGAGTCAAGAGACACAGGAATTTAATCTTTAACCCCTTGATAGGCTATCCTTAGGGACTTTTGTGGTCTTGAAAAAACCGCCTCAAATCTTTAGGTGTTAACACTACCATGCTAAATAGGGTTTGAATTTGAACAATTCCATTTCCAATTCCAGTTCCTTGTTTCGATTCCGGTTCTTGGCAAGTTTCAATTCCAATTCTTTCAAGGGCCATGTTTCAAATGAACCAGCTAACCAAATACAGTGGGGGAAACAAGTATTCAGTAAGCTTCCAATTGTGCAAGTTCTCCCCGTCCCCAAGCATTTTCCTCCTCCTGCTCCCTTACATCATCACAAACATGCACATAGGACCTTGGGGGGTGGGCAAGTCAGGGGGTGCGGGTATGGATCCCATTTCCACATTCCTGTGGCAGCCTGCCCCCCAATTTTTTTTTTGCACATTAAACACTTCCACCAATGACATTCCACGCAAACACACACTCAGGGCCTTGAGAGTGAGCACACTCAACGGCATTTGGCAGGGGGATCTTTCAGCCCCCTGACTTCCCCACCCCCCAAGGTCCTATGTGCATGTTTGTGATGTTGTGAGGGAGCAGGAGGAGGAAAATGTCTGGAGATGGGGAGGAATGGCTGGAGGGCCTAAGCCCTCCAAGGAGCCAGCTCCCCCGCTGGCCCCAATAGGCACATCCGTTCCCAAAATACCACCCAGGGCATGGAGACCCCAGCCCATCTAGCCAGGGCCCAAAACAGCAGAATATCTACTTCCATCCCTGCATTTGTCCAAGTGAGGCTGGGTCCACCCCCTTCTGGACATCCTCCTCCCCCATAATGGAACAGAATTGTTACCATTATTTCAGAGGAGCCAATGTCCACCTGGGGCCCCATGAGTCTGGGCCTGGCTCTGCCACATGTTCCCGCTTTCCCCCCGGCAGCCTTCAAGCTCTCGAGATCTTCAAGCAGATCTATAAACTTTCTAAACTGAACCCACACTTATAAGTGCCTCTGCACATTTTCCAAGATTGTGTGATCATGCAAACAATTCCAGCAAATTCTTCTCTGTTGGCATATTGCAGCTTCTTATTTTAGTTGGCGAACTAGGTATCGAAACTCAGGGGCACAGATAGGATTTTCAAACTGAGGGGGACAAAGTTCCTATGTACCCTCCCCCAAACACACACACACACACACGCATGTACACATACACAAACTATTGCAAGAGCCTTAACTAGAGCTCAGTCAGTTTGTGTAATTTCATCCAATGGTTTACAAAAACTAACACTATTATATACGTGTTTGAAACCATTATGCAATGGAACGCTGGCAACAAAGGTCAGTCATTCAGGTCTGTCAAATCAGTCATTTATTCTCCCAATCAATTACTAACCAAAACCTCATGCTTTAAGCAAAACATTAAATGATTTTCAGCATACCGATCTTTACAGAAAACATAAAAACCCTAAAAAACTGCACATCCAGTAATCGGAAGGTTGCAGGTTCGATCCCAGCTCCGGACAGAGAATTCTGCTGTTGTCTCCTTGGGCAAGACACTTAACCCACCTTGCCTGCTGGTGGTGGTCGGAGGGACCGGTGGCGCCAGTGCTCAGCAGCCTCGCCTCTGTCAGTGCGCCCCAGGGCAGCTGTGGCTACATCGTAGCTCATCACCATCAGTGTGTGTGAATGGATGAATGATACACTGTAGTGTAAAGCGCTTTGGAGTCCTTACTCTGAGAGGCGCTACACAAGTGCGGATCATTTATTACTTATCACTTAGAGCAGTGGTTCCCAAACTTTTCAGCCTGACCAACAGATGTCCCTTCGTATTTTTACGTTATTTAGAAATTTTCATTATATTTGGAAAGTTTTAATTTATATATAAATAAATAAAGCGCTTTTTAAATTTTACTTTTTTTTATGATTATGTGGCACACTTTGACTTCCATACCTAACGCATCAGCATCTACCTCTTTTTACGGCTTTTTTTCACATTGTCGCTACGTCTGTCACGTTAACGGTGTTTTCCCATCATTTCTACATCCATCACGTCCCAGAGAAGGTTAAACCAACATCAAACCCAACGTTTGGAGCTTGTAAACTCCACACACCTCTCGTGCAGCACCAGCTGTCTGATGCAGCAGCAGCGTCAATCGTCCCGGCTGGATGAGTGAATTTCTTCATCAGAGTCAATAATCTGCTTCATAATCGGAGTCAGTCATGACCAGACAAAGTGATCAGTCAACAAAGACCACACCTGCCGGCAGTTATACATTTTATCTAATATTTGCGCTCTTCATGCTGCATGCATCTCCTCCTCTCCCCGACTGGGAGCCTCTCAGCAGGAGGCGATTTTCAAACTCAAAACTCCCAAACTTTGCTCAGCCTGAAGGTTACACATCTCCACTATCTTCTTGTGTAAAGTAGTAACTTCATGAGGGATCATATTTGTAGATGAGACTTGTTAAAGTCAGCAATGAGGCTTTGGCGCTTTTAACGAGTAAGTCCCAACACTGACAACAATGTACTGAACCTATAACCAACATGCATAAACAGACAGATCGGTCCCGCCTGCTTACACTGTTGGTCTTTTTTAAATACGCAGTAATCGCTGCTTGCCTTTTTGGCTTCATCCTGCATCCTAGCAGCAACCACTTTGGCGCCTCTGGAGTCGGTGTTTGTTTACGTCATGCTGCATTCAATGTAATTGGAAAAAGGAGCTTCAAGAGCTTAACTTCCGATTTTGTTTTCTTTCTGGTCTTAGTGCGGGGGACGGATCGGGGTCGATCTGAATCTGGGGGGGACAGATCCCCCCCCATCCCTCACCCTATCTGCGCGCCTGTCGAAACTAGGAATCGGAATAAAAAAACTTTCTACAATTCCAGGAAAAACTGAAAATTAGTCCTGGTTCTTGATGTCCAACCCCAATGTTTAAGGTCAACTTCTTTTGACCGACACCTCTTTTGATGAGCTGGGTGAAACTTTGGTCTCTCCAGAGCCAATAATATTTACCAAGGGTCAACCTCTGTGAAAGGACAGATCCCCACTGTTTTCCATACAAATGATAATGAATGATAAATGACCCGCACTTGTATAGCGCCTCTCAGAGTAAGGACTCCAAAGCGCTTTACACTACAGTGTATCATTCATCCATTCACACACACATTCACACACTGGTGGGGATGAGCTACGATGTAGCCACAGCTGCCCTGGGGCGCACTGACAGAGGCGAGGCGAGGCTGCCGAGCACTGGCGCCACCAGTCCCTCCGACCACCACCAGCAGGCAACGTGGGTTAAGTGTCTTGCCCAAGGACACAACAGCAGAATTCTCTGTTCGGAGCCGGGATTGAACCGGCAACCTTTCGATTACTGGACAACCCGCTCAACCTGTTGAACTACTGCTGCCCAATATGTAACATCAGCACTGACGCAGATTGTGAGTGAAGAAGCAAATAGCCAATAAATTTCCACAGCATATTACTTGCATTCTGGCCAGTTTGTCCACATATAGGTGGGCCTGGATGGTGTTGAGGGCATTAAATAAATAAAAAAAATCAAGAAATATAAGCTTCACTACATTGGTTTCTTTAAAAAAGACTCATTTAACTTTGAGTTTACATTTTCCAGTTGTATTATGTCAACAGAAAACATAGGAAACAAGATGTCATGGGCGTGACTTTAGTATTAAATAGATTTGATCTTTCTGGTTTTACAGGCAAGTTAAGAGTCTGTCATAATGGCAAGATAAGAATACCATTTTCCCATCGTCCCAAGAGGAAATAACAGCTATAATTAAGCAAATCCCTATCTCAGACTCTACAGCAGCAAGACAAACAGACATAGGTGGCTGGTGATCCAACCAAATAGCTTTGTGATGGAATTATCAATGCATTTCCTTAGCTGTGGATGAATTTATTACATGGGTTTTGTTTTTACTTTCTTGTAAGTATTCATTTGAATTTGTTACTAAATGGAAATTGCTTTGTATGCTTGTTGCTGTTTTGATTGAAGAAGACAAGTTGTGTTTAAGCTAATTTTACTAGAGAGCGTTGATTGACGGACCGTTGACTCACTGATCAATTTTATTGTTGCCCTTTGAGACTGTATTTGTGTACCCCTGGTTCAGGGCATCGGTTTGTTTTTAAAGTAGCACTTTCTAGAGAGGATCAGGATCACAGAACATTACGTAACACATTTAGTACTCACCAAAAACCTTTCCAAGAAAGATACTTTTGACTAAGTTGAAGTGAGTGTCAGACGACTCAGGCAGATTGTATGTAGCCAGAGGGTAGTGGTCCAGCTGGGGAAGCAGAAAATAAAACACAAGAAAAGATTTAGCCAGGCTTTAGTTTGTTGCTTGTAGCTAATTATGGCTAGCAGAAACCTAGATCATTTAAACGTGGTTCTAGTCCATGTTCATACACACCTGTACCGCATATGCAGTGACCAGTATGCTACCTCTATTAGAAATTAGTTTCATGGTGCATCATTCTTTTAACTTGCATCCATCCATAGCTTTTTGTCGGCCTATCCAGAGTCGGGTCGTGGGGGCAGCAGCCTAAGCAGAGTGACCTAAACTTCCCTCTCCCCAGCTACCTGGGCCAGCTCCTCCAAGGCTAATTTAGGCATTCCCTGGTGAGCCGAGAAACATTGTCCCTCCAGTATGTCCTGTGTTTTCCATTAGGTCTACTCCCAATAGGACGTGCCCAGAAAACCTCATCAGGTAGCCATCCAGGAGGAATCCTGATCAGATGCCTGAGCCACCTCAACTGGCTCTTCTCGATGTGGAGGAGCAGCAGATCTACTCCGATCCCCTACTGACTGCTTTTCATTCCATCGGTCCCAGCGTGCTCTCTATCATTAATGCTTCTCTGGTTTCTGGTCAGGTCCCTGCTTACTTTAAGAACACTGTAGTCCACCCGCTTCTTAAAAAACGAGTCTTGACCCCTCTCTCCATAGCAGCTTCAGACCCATCTCTAAACTTCTGTTCATCTCCAAGATCTTGGAAAAGGTTGTGGCTAAACAACTCACAGCTGCTCTTGATGAACATAACATCTATGATTGCTTACAGTCAGGTTTTCGTAGAGCTCATTCTACTGAAACAGCTCTTCTTAGGGTCTCTAATGACCTTCTGACTCACAGTGATGCAGGGACTGTTCTGTTCTGGTCCTGCTGGACCTGACTGCAGCCTTTGACACTGTTGACCATCACCTGCTACTGGAGAGGCTGAGAGACTGGGTAGGCCTATCAGGATCTGCTCTGGAGTGGTTCTCCTCTTATCTTTCTGAGCGCTCCTTTTCTGTGGCCGTCTCCACCACCTCTCTTACCCATGGTGTCCCACAAGGTTCTGTGCTGGGGCCTCTGCTCTTCCTCCTCTATCTGCTTCCTCTTCAGCACATGCTGAGCTCCTTCAAAGGAATCTCCTACCATCTTTATGCAGAAGACATCCAACTGTACATCTCCTTTAAGCCCCATGAGATGTCTAAGCTGCAGCTGTTACACACCTGCTTAGACTCTATCAAAACCTGGATGGTGGGAGCTTTCTTCAGCTGAATGAAGATAAGACTGAGATCCTCATCTGTGCCCCAGACAAGCTGGTTCCCAAAGTCAGAGACTCTTGGTCAGCTTGCTTCTCACACCAAACCTTCTGTCAGGAATCTTGGCATGACCTTTGACCCAGCTCACACCCTGGATTCTCATGTCAGTTCTCTTGTTCGCTCTTCCTTCTTCCATCTCAGGAACATTGCTAAGCTGAGTCCCATTCTGTCCCACTCTGAACTTGAGACAGTTCTCCACACCTTCATCTCCTCATGCTTAAGACTACTGCAACTCTCTTTTCACGTGTCTGAGCAGAACCTCCCTGAACCATCTACAGGTGGTTCCGAATGTGAGTGGTCTCCTTTAAAAAGCAGCTGAAAACTCACCTGTTCACACAGGCTTTTGCATGACTTTTGTCACCACCCTCTCCTTATTCTGATCTTTCTATTTATTCAGCCTTTTCCGCAATCCACTGATTTCCCTTGTTGCTATTCATTTTCTGTCTCCCATTACTTACATAATTTTTTATCACCTTTTTTCATATTTTAAACATTTTTAATCATTAAAAAAATCTTTTAATGCTTTAATTGTTTTGGGGGGTTTTTATTTAAGGGAAGTGTCTTGTGATTTTTATCTTGAGAGGCGCTATATAAAAGATCTTTCTTTGAATGATCGAGCTATCCCTATCTCTACGGGAGAGCCCAGGGCAGCTGTGGCTACATTGTAGCTCATCGCCACCAGCGTGTGAATGGATGAGTTATACACTGTAGGGTAAAGCAGTTTGGAGTCCTCTGACTCTGAAAGGTGCTAAACAAGTGCGGCCATTTATCATTTGTTATTCTATCAATTCAGACAGAATATTTTCATATTAGTGAGCCATCCTCTTAATTTTCTAAATAAGGGGTGTCCAACTCCGGTACTCGTGAGCCTCTAGTATGTTTTAGTTTTTTCTCTGCTCCAAAACACCTCATTCAATGGTTAAACTACCTGTTCACCAGGTCATCAAGTTCTGCAGAAGTCTGTTGATCACCCACTGTCTACAATGAGGTGTTTTGAAGCAGAGAAACAACTCAATCTTGATCCTGGAGGACCGGTATCAAGTATGTTTTTGTTGCTTCCCTGCTCCAACACACTTGATTCAGTGAGTGAATCACTTGTTTAGAATCCCTTGAGGTTCTGCAGACACCTGTTAACCACCTGTTGACTGAATTCAGGTGTGTTGAAGCAGGGAAACAACTAACACATGCTGGATACTGTCCCTCCAGGACCAGGATTGAGACACCACTGGTCTTAGATCTTTTACAAGGCGTAGTAACTTTATCATTTTTTTGAATGGTGGCCAGTGGCTGCACAAACACATCGGTTGTCCCTTCAAGCATTGCACCCCGATCCTCAACCTCATCCATGCACGTACTCAAAGCATTGAGTTTTAGTGTCCTTCTTGATCTTGTTAGTCAGCATGGGAATTGCCCTTAACTCAGCAGCCGTCACGTTCAATGTTTCTTTCTCATAATATTCTTCATTTGGTGACTAAATTAACCAACGGCCTGCAAACATTAGCATCTATTTTCTTGCTGTCTTAGCTTGGTGATCAGATGGATGGTTCTTTTGGACACTACTTATTTGCTCGATGATTAGATATAGATTCAGTTGTTAAATATTAACTTACCACGCAGGGTTCGAACAGCAGCGAGCCCGGCTCACCTGTAAGGGTGACGGGTTCCACTTGAACCCCTCAACTTACACACCCATGGGGAGCCCGAAAAAAGATACAGCTTCTACCTATATTAAACTAAGCATAGGGTCTCTCAGCACACCAGGGATTTTTTAGCAAAGTGGACACAAAGCGCTGATCGCTGATGCGCTCCAGGTAGCTGCGTCCTGCGCACGACAATGGTAACATTCTCAAAGTGGCGCCATCAAAAAGTATAATTAACACACAATCGTTCATGTCCGTTCAGATTCTTTCTGGTACTTTCTGTGTTTTATTTGTGCCTGACACACTCGGCTGCAGCAGAACTCATCACCCGTGGTCCGGTGACTTCACCTCACTGGCGCAGCCGTGAATGAAAGGACATTTCTGAACATGTTGTTGGGCAGGTATGTGAGGGTATGTCCAGGAGTTTTTTTAATTAACCTTTCTGGAGTCTCTGGTGACCAAAATTACGGTATTAAGGCGACAACTTTTGTCTGAAATTTATCCTTTGACAAAACTAGGAACGTTTCAACCTTAGTTAAAGGTGTGGTTCACCAGTTTATTCAATATATTTGCAGAGGTGTCTAGTAGGATTGAATGTATTGTATGTTGTTCTTGGGGGGGGGGGGGGGGAGGAGAATATACTGGTGCACCATTTCCAGGAACGAGTAATGACCCAATAATTTCAGCATCAATAAAGCCAGAGAAGGAGAAACAGCCGGCTGCTACAACTTCTACTTTAGGAAAAACTACTAGAGTCTCAAAAAGACAAACAGAAGTTGCGGAAATCAAACTGTGTTTAACGTAGAAAACGGCACTCTCTCGTTTACTGTGTCTGTTCCTACACCAGGGGGCGTGGCCAAGGGATGATAGCCAACAGGAGGGGGGAGAGTTCTGTTTGCGTTTAAAAGCTAACTTGTTTTGCAGATTTGTCATTGCAGCTCTCAGAACACCCACCTGCAGTTTGATCTCTCTCAAACTCCTTGTAATGTTGACAGAGTGTGGTTGTCCATTAGCCATGTTACGATGGTCAACATCTATGGTGTAAGGTTCTGACAATCCTCCAAGACTGTAACGGATCTGGAGAGTCCCTAGAAACCCAAGAGAACCCATTTCAAAGATTTTGTGTTTGATTTATTTACAAGCACAGCCTAATAATAATAATACTCTAACTGGGCAATGACCGTCCCCATTGGGCTAAAGCCAAACAGAAACATACTTTCTTTCATTAACCACTGGTCAGAAGATTTAGACAATTAAATCTATAAAAAACTTCAAATTTTTTCCTACCAATTTATAAACTGCAGAGAAATAACAAAAAAAATACTGTGTCCACCATTTGCCTCCAAGGCAGTAACATTTCCTATGAGTTCACCTGGTGGTGGAAGACTGTCCTAAAGTTTAGGTCAGACACAAGGACACTGTGGTCAGCAATCAAAGACTGATTTTACTCCACCAGTACGGTCACTTCCAGGAGTACCTGTTTGTTTTCCGGCGTATGAAGGAGTCAGCCAAAGAAGTTCTGTTATAACATCATATAAAATGTCATAGCATCTGATCTGATCTTGGACTGACGGGATAATCCTAAACACTACAGCTAACAAGCTGACTGTTCCAGTCCACTAGGATGCTGCTGCTGCATCTCGTCTCCAAAAAGTGTCAGTCACCCCCCCTACCAGAGTCTTACTCCTCCCTAGGGCTGGGCGATATATCGATATTTTAAAAATATCGATATAATTTTTAAACAAGATATAAGATGACTTTATATCTTTATATCGATATAACTGGTCAAACTGCTATGCTAGCGACATGCTGCTCCGTCTCTAAGCGGTTATTACATATATTCTTACAAGTTCGCTCAATCTGAGAGCTTCTGGGTTAATGTGCTGCTCTAAACTTTGCATTTGGCGTCCTGGTTTTTTATATTTGGGGACGCTCAACGCCAACGGAGTTCTGTTTATCGATCCTGCTCGTGTGGAGAGACGAGCCAAACCCCTCCCTCCCCTGTGTAATCAGGAAACGTCTACAGGTAGCCGGAGTGGCCAAATTACTTGAAACATATTGTAAGAGTTTGAATAGTAAACTATAGGGTTAACGTTTTATTTTGAAGGCGAGCTCAATGGGTGAGAAATGTTGTTCCGGTTCTGTTTTTTCCGCTCTGGTTTGCTATGCTAGTAAATACTCCGTTACGAGCGATTCTGTTGAAAAAGTTAAGAGTGTGTAAGGCGTGGGTTACGGCGACAGTAGCCCGAAAATAGTACTCATGTAAGAGCTTCTAGAGACTCTGGGTCCTTACAGTATAATCGCTGATATGAGCCAAAGATTCCGGCCATGTTTTCCCTAATAACTAATGACTCCACGGTGCATGACCCATGTGACCTTCAGTAGATGCAATTACATCATCATACATTTAGCTTAACTTGATAGATTTTTTTTTCTCTGGACAAGAAATAAATAATATGGCCCACCTCTAGATGAAATTTAAATTATTTTACATTAATTATACATATAATTAAAAAGTGCCTGTGGGATATTTAATACACCTCTAGCTCTCAACTGTGTGTGTGTGTGTGTGTGTGTGTGTGTGTGTGTGTGTGTGTGTGTGTGTGTGTGTGTGTGTGTGTGTGTGTGTGTGTGTGTGTGTGTGTTAGCAGGCAGCTATACCAGTGTTTCTAAAGCTCAGACTGGTAGAGAATATGCACTAAGTTTAAAGTTTGACAAGAATCAATACATTTTTATGCATTTAATCTACTGATTTATGTTTATAATTTCTCAAGACGGCTTGAAGTGAGTTAACTTGTAAATATTTTACAGGAGGAAAAATATCGAGATATATATCGTATATCGGAATTCAGCTAAAAGATATCGAGTTATATGTTTTGGTCCATATCGCCCAGCCCTACTCCTCCCGCATTTCCAGTTTGAAAAATGTGCCAAAAGGAGTTGCCTGGTATACGGGGAAGGTGGGTCTGCAGCAGTGAGTGACACAGACTTGCTAACCCCAATCCATGCTTTCGTTCTTTTTTAAACACAGAAACAGTTTTGTTTACCTGTTTGTAGCTACAGTTTCGCCGACGGCTGCCGGCTTCTTCAGGCTGACGCTGAGCCGGCAGCCGTCGGCGAAACTGTAGCTACAAACAGGTAAACAAAACTGTTTCTGTGTTTAAAAAAGAACGAAAGCATGGATTTAGAAAGACACAGCAAGAACACACCTAAGAAGTTGCTAACCCCAAATATTCAGGAAGTCAGGAGTCTGGCATTGTCAGAAGTGACAGTGTAGAAAGCATAGGGAGAAGGTCAGAAAGAGAGAGCAGCTGAGTAGGAAAATGAAAGTGCGGGGTAGGAGCTAGTCTAAAAGATGCTCTCTGAGGACCTGGAACTTGTATCCTGTTGTTGGTAGGTCATTCCGACACCATGGAACAACAAAGTAAAACAGTCTGGAGTGTCTGAGTGTGGTGTAGGCACTGCTAGCCGACAACCCTTTGACCTAAACCTTTGCAAGATCATTGAAGTAGAACTGTCTGAGTGAGATCACGAAGAGCGTATCCTTTCATGATAATTTTAAAAAATGTGTATTAACTTCATTTCTTCAATTGTCAAACTTTCAGCCAGGTGAGAAGCTGGGGAAGTGAGTTGGGAGCTGCTACAAAACAAGTGGTAACGATAAAAACAGAAGAATAATAATAATAAACTAAATAATAAAAAAGTAATAAACTCCTCGCATAAAACACAATAAAATCACAGATAAATCTCATTGTCAGGCTCTTTTTTTATGTGAATGCTATGTGTAACAAAACGAGTAGCCTTACCATTGTGTCTGAGCACCACAGCCATGTAGTCCTGGGTCCGTGAACTGATGTAGACCAGGATGCTGGGAGCACTGTAAGTGCTGAAGCTGAACACCAGTTCCTCCTTGGTCAGGTTGGATTCAACTGGGACAGAAGCACCAGGTGTGGGTTTGACCTCCCCGAGCAAAGACGGTCCTGCCTGAGACAGGAAGTCATAACGCACCACAGTCCCTGTCTCAAAGTAGCCTCCTACATCTGGCTCAAACAAACACACACACAGGGGCAGAATGAACACACTACTGGACACAGCTGAGGTGCACTGGATTCAGGTCTGTTGAGGTGTACCATTAGTGCAGAAAGGTCCGTCATAGGCAGTGAGGCTGCAGTCACAGGAATAGGCATTATACAGCTCCACACACCTCCCTCCATTTTTGCAGTGCATCCCAAAGTTCTTACAGTGGCCCTGACAGCCTGGAGTTACCCCTGAAGTCACCTTTGCCCTTTCTTCCAGGTCAAAGGTCACACCGTTTATCCTCAGAGCACGAATACAGCCCAGGAAACCCCTCTGACCACTTGAAGCTCCTGGCACATGGGACAGAATTATTAGTTACATTACATTAGTTACATTACATTAGTTACATTACATTAGTTACGTTGGACTTTGTTTTTGCTTGCTTTGCAAAATGACATTTATTCTCACATCTGTTTAGTGACTGGTGTTCTTGTTGATCTTCTTAACCACAAGAACAACCATTGTTGTCTTTTTGACTGTTTTGCAATTTGCATTTGTAATAAATTCATCAAATTAAACAATGTTTACGTCCTGTAACCCCAGATTGAGTAAAAGCATAGCCCTCTAAGGCCTCGCTATTGAGTAATTTCTCCAGTTAACCACAAATCACTAAAGACCTTTTAGTGTAGACCCGCCTACAGGGCAAGCCCCAGTGCAGTATAAAATGGATTGGGGACAGTTAAACGTCTCCAAAGGCTAATAAAATGCGTGGAACCAGTGAGGCACGCCGCCTTTAAGGGCAACGAGGAGAAGGCATTCTACCCTCTTCTGACTCAAGACCAAGGTCATGGATTTAGAGGAGCTGATTCTCATCCCAGCTGCTTCACACTCGGCTGCGAAACGCTCCAGCGAAGGAGAGAGATCACGTTCTGATGAAGCCAACAGGACCACATCATCTGTAAAATGCAGAGGCTTGATCCTTAGGACACCAAAACGGATCCCCTCAACACCTTGGCTGTGTTTACAAATCAGTGTTGTTTTTGGCGGGCATCTTATTTTCGGTCTTGATGACGACAATGCATTTTAGTCTTAGTCAGTTTTAGTCGACAAAGGGTTAGGGTTAGGTACATCGTACTCCCGGAGAACCTTCCACCGGCCCCACCGGGGTCGAACACCTTCTCCAAATCCACAAAACACATGTAGATTGGTTGGGCAAACTCCCACGCACCCTGCAGACCCCCCCTAAGGGTATAGAGCTGGACCAGTGTACCACGGCCGGGATGAAAACCACATAGTTCCTGCCAATCCAGTGGAACATCCCCCGATGGCCATGTGATATTGCAGAGCTGCGTCAATCAAGACAACCCTACAACATCCAGAGGCCTGTAGTCCCTCTTTTTTAAGAAACAACATCCTTTTGCCAAACACAAGAGGAATTACCCCCCGAAAAACTGCTGCATGGGCGTCAGAAGGAAAAATGGAGCAGCCGAGGCGAGGGAGTGAAGTGTGAGAAATGGCCACAATGGGTATTGACTCAGAAGGGGAAGCGTTGGCGAGAAAAGCCCAGCACACGCCTCCCCTTCTATCCGGTCGATGGCTCCCGGATGTCGACTGCCGGTTCATGGAGAACCAATTACAACAGATCGCCCGGAAAAGTGTTAAGGGCTGAGAGCAGGGGAATGAACCGCCGGATGGGAGTGGTTTACTTATGCTTGCACTTTGATACATTTAGAAAAAAAAACCCACCTTCCTTCAAATGGCACAAAGAAAAGCTTCTTCATTGTATTTTTAACTGATAAAATGATAAAGTTGTAAAAAAAAAAAGGTGTGGTCCTGTCCAGTCTCATCAATATAAATACTCAAAGAATTCCCTCTGTACTTTACCCAGGATCCGCTAACCCCACCAAACCAAACTGTAGGACTTCTGAGCAGTTCTCACATGGGTCCACCAGGACTTGGTAGATACAGAGGACTGTGTTGGAGGAGATTTGTTTCTTACCAATGAACAGATCCCCATTGGCCTGTGGTTTCCCGTGCCCTTCTGGTGGAAGGGCTTTTACGTCTTGGTACAGGCTGTCTAGTTTCAGCACTGCCTCTTTGATGTTCTTCTCAGCTTCCACGTGGTGCCACTGGTCATCATTCAGCAGGTTTGGTGAGCGGACGCTAAGCTCCACCCTCTCTCCACCCACATCAAGGGAGAACAGGATCACAGACCCTCCTAACAAAACAGGGAATGTCAATAAAGGTTCTCAAATATTTCAACCTCCAGCTTTGATTTCTCGTTTCGATTTACTTAGAACCCAGAGGATCTTCTCTGGGATAAAGCATGTAAAGATCTAGGACTCTACAGGGTGCTTTATCATTACAGGACATTTACCATTTTAGAATAATTGGTTGTGATATTCGTCGTCGGTATTGGGTTGGATTTTTAGATACGGAAAAGTTCTTGATCGTTTAGTAATGTTTTTATTTTTAGGCTCAGACTGTTATCGTCAGCTTGTGTTATACTTCAGTTGTAACTATTTCAATCATGCATGAATAAAATAGTTAAAAAAGGAAACACACTTCACTAGGGATGTAAGAAAATATCGATATGGCAATATATCGTGATTTTTCCCCCCAGCAATATTATATCAATATTCAAAAGCCGTGTATCGGAAATATCGATATGGCAATATATCGTGATTTTTTCTCTGTGATTATTACATCGATATTCAAAAGCCATGTATCTGATCTTTGAAAGAATTTACATGCAAACATTTGGGTATTTTCTTTTCGTTTTGTGCAATTCAATCGCCACCCGCTAGTTGGCAGCAGTGTGCAACGGGTTTTGTTTCCACCATTTAAAATGTAAATCCCTCCATCATGGGTCAGATACCTCATGTTAAACATGTTACGTATCAGTTTGGACAGTTTATTGAACATTCTTACAATAAATTCAGTAAAAAAAATAGCTTGTAACGTCTGACTGAATGTATTGCAATATATCGTGATATATCGTTTCGTCTCCCCTGTATCGTAATATGTATCGTATCGCCGGAATTTCAACAATACACATCCCTGCACTTCACCATAGCTGACACTTCCCTTAATTTTATTCCGAGCCTGCCGGTTGTGCACGATGTTTGGTACCAGTGAACTGAACCCAGAGTACACTCACAAATGCATGAAAAGATCAGTACTGTATGAATACACACAGTGTGTATTCATACTGACCATACAGTACTGTGTGTAACACACCTCTGAGTTCGATGTGAAAAAAGCTGTTGGTGCCCAGGTTCTCCACAAAGACTCCATAAGTGGAGGAGGTCTTAAAGTAGAAGGAGATGTCGGTGCTGGTTTGCTGAGAGACAGACTGGAAGTGCAGAGAGGAAGCAGGGCTGCCAAAGGAGGCCATGTTCCAGTAGTCCCCTTAAAAAAAACCCGACAAAGGCTGAGTTAAAGGCCAAAGACTAATGTGTTCATGTGCATACGAGAAAAGAGCAAGGAAAACTCACGGTCTCCCTGGCATTTAAGAGGCCCAACAGTCAATTTGGCCTCAGATCCACTTCTGCTAGTATCACCAACCACAACCTCACTTACTGGCAAGTGGTCTTTATAAATGAGCAGGCCTGCATCCTCCTTCCTGAACACAACCCAAACATGGAAATAAGCTAAAGGATGCAAACGCAAGCACCTACGCAAAGCACTGACTAATTACCGATAACGAACTTACCAGGACCGCAGGTCAGCATCACAGTTACAGTAGCGTCTTGGGTCAGTACAGTTGTTTTCAATCCCACAGGTGCACTTTTGGATCCCAGGTCCAGAACCTCCCCAGTAGGAATGTTTCTTGTTGGCTCTTCCCACCCACCAGGTGAATGGATTCCCATCTGGGAGTCAAACCAGCAATTTTTACAAAGCTGGCCTTCACTCTCAGAAGAGGGATTTTTAAGGTAGGCTAAAGTTCTGCAGAAACGTTAATGCACGTCTGGAGTGTCTGTCTAAACACGTGGTTGGAGTTATGCTTCAGCCTGAAATCTTCTGAAATCGATACTGTGAATGTTTTCGAAGGATCAGTAAGGCTGAGGAAATGTTTGTTTAGGGTTCTACCAGATTCTCACCCCACTCTACATAGTAAAATGTGCCACAAGGAGGCGTGGAACACCAGAGGGCGGTGCTGTGGCAATGCCGATTTGGGGTTGACTTGCTCTAGACCACGTCCACATGTTTTTCAACACATTTGCAGTGATCTCTAGTATCAATGAATGCCTTGTGAGTCGATCTACGTGGTTAGGGTTGACAGTGTGATGTAGCTAATACAGTAAATAGGGCTAGAAGACTACATTTAGCCTGCGTGCTAAAGTCAGAGTCCCATTAAAGCAGAGTGAACGTGAGCTAGCATTAGCCTCACTTTCATAAACTTACAATCGGAAAAGATGATCAACTTTGTTAAGACTGTTTATATGGAACAAGATGTTCTGCTGTATAAAAATAAAGCGATATATATTCAAGCCTTACAATAATAAATAACAAGAACAAAATTTTCATGAAATTTAGAATATTTTTCTGATGAACTGTGGAAATTTTCTCTATCTACTTTAGGCACTTTTTAGGAACACGTGGTTAACTATGATGAATGAATATATGATTTTTTTTTACAGAATTGTGCAACTCTATGCATCAGTACACTCCAAGATGCCTCCAAAGCCCCGTTCACACAACAGGATTTTTAAATTGTTGCACGATTTTCCAAATTAGAGAAAACACATGATGATATTAAAAAAAATCCAGATAAATCAGTTTTGGTCTACACAAACCAATTTCATATACAAAAATGATCTGGTCTTTTAGGGAAAGCATGAACAAACGTGACTTTGGAGAAAACAAACATGGTGGACGAGGAGTGGGCAGCATGCTTCCATCAATTCACTTTCTGATTTGACTACACGCCATGGCACGCTTATTTCCCCCCAAAAGTCTGACCAAGGCAATCCAACAAGTTTGAAAGTCCGACTTTACCATGTGAGAGGTCCCCACATGCTTCTGAGGAGACAGGAGCATTCATAACACAGAACCAGTAGAACCCTTACAGTAATCACGTGAGTCCATAAGATTGTCAGGAGTGAAGGATCAGGTCAGACATTGACACGATCATCCTGTCATATGAACCAGGCTTTCAGAGGGGTTCACTTTGATCAAATCCAGAACTGAACACTAGCTGTGTTTAGTTAGACAAAAGAACAATTACAGGAAGTCAAAGCTGAATAGAATACACCTTTTTTGGGAACGGGAGGCGTCGTCGATAGAAAATGAAACGCACGTTAACACCTGTGTCAAAGTGAGAAAAACAAAACCTGAGGAATACTTTACCTGGACTGTTGAAAAGCCGAGACATTCGGCAGGTGTAAGCTACAAACTGTTCACATTTGTCTGCTCTGTGGGTGACTGTCAACACCTGGAAACACAGAGGTGGGAGGAATCACAGGACTGAAAGAGTCCTCTTAAAGGGGCATTATGGAAGTTTGACAGCCAAAACATGTATAGAAATAATACATTTCTTCTTCATACATTCTCCTGCAATGCCCTGGTCCTGTAGAATGAGCCCTGGCATTTTTACTGTGATTGCCTGTTTTTCTGTAAAATCACAGAAAAAGAGAGCTGCTCGGGTCGAGCAGGCTGCTTCATGCGCGTTCACGCTCAGGCATCGCCCGTAGCATTTGCTATCCATAGCTTTAGCAGCAGAGAGAGAGGTAGTGCCACTTTGTCGCTGTTCCTAACGCCTAGTGACAAAGCTAGCTACATTTCTGAAGACCCTTAGCTACTTTCTGTAGAACTTTCTTCTAGATATTTCCTGCAAATTAGCAACAAAATAGCCATTTTAGCTCCAAACCGTTCTTTGAACATTGTTTCAGCTGTCATCAAGGATATAAATTTTACAGATACATAGAACGTCACTGGCACTTTAGGTCATTTAGTAAGATGTCTGACTCTCATGTAGGAGACCTGGTTTCGAGTCCAGGTGTGAATAAAAATTGTTATTTTGAGATTCTTTTTTTACATTAATGGTATATTTTTTAATAATAATAAGACGCCCAAATTTTTATTTGAGACTCGCCGAACGGCATTGAATTCACAGATAAAAAAGATGTGGGTTCAACTTTCATTTTGGAACAATTTTTCAAGCAAGTGAATGGAATGATCTGAGCATGCAGGAGGACTGACCCATCATAAACCTCTGTCGGCTGTGCTGAAGAGAAAGGTACAGAACCAAATTATTTACTGCCATTACGCTTTTGGCCTGAGGGGGCAATTGCGAGCATAAAAATTCAAAAGTCCGAAAAGTCCCTATAAAACATCGCAGACAAAATGTCTTTGTCTGTTTTCTATCTCAGGACTCAGATCAGTCACCTTTATTAATAATCTCGCTAAGGGTCAGATTCGTCCATTTATAAAACTTTGTGCAAAATTCTTACAAAAAGCCTGCGCATAAAATAAAGCAAAGATAGTTTCAGACTTAAAAAACAACGCCATACCCATAAATTCACCATTTCACTGGCCGTGCTGCACGTTTCCTCGTATCCATAACGTGGTTGCACACGGGTCAGGGTTTATGCAAAGTAGGGATACCCAGATCCGATCACGTGATTGGAAATTGGTCCAGATCACGTGGTTTCAGTCCCGATCGGGATCGGCCGTTACTTCCTAATCCGGACTCGGATACAGGGTTCAAATTACAGGAGAGCTAAGGGGAACCGGGTTCTCCTGAAACGCTGTTGGGCTTCCCTGAAGCCCTCAACTTACACACCCAGAGGGAGCCCGAAAAAAAGATCCGGTTTCTGCCTGTATTACATTATTTAAATGGACTCTCAGCGTAGCGGGATTCTTTTGAGCACAGAAAGCGAGAGTTCTTGAAAAAGAAAACGTAGGTAGATTTATCCCACTACACGTCTTTACCTTTATAAATCCATTATTTATCAGCATGTAACATTTATTTATTTAATGCAGTTCAGATCACCTTCAAAACTCTGTCCCATACCCAGGGCCGTATCAAGGCATTTTGGGGGCAGAGGCAAACAAGACCCCTGCCAGTATTTTGAGTTGAGGTGCTAGTTGTTTTTATATTAGACTTTTTTTATATTTGGACTAAAGTCCAAAAGTGAAGAATTTATGTTATTTATTATTTGATCGTTCAACCTATCTCACCTTGTTTGTTAACGGAGTTGTTAAATGTTAAAGTAAAGCTAATTAAATACAAAATAAGGAACATTCTGGATCTGTTTCTTTTCTTTCTTTATTATTTTGTTTATGTATCAAAAGTATGAGATCGGGACTCGGTATCGGCACATTCTCAAAATCAAATGACTCGGACTCAAGGGCAAAAAAACCTGATCTGGTCACCCCAACGCAAAGCTTTGCACATTTTCCTATCATGGCTTTGGTTTGCGTGAAAAACGACATACACAACTTTCGGACCCCGCTTTGTGCGTAAGCAAACTTTATACGCGAGGCCACAGATCAGGAAAACGACTATGACTCAGAGTAGAATGACTAAAGTCTGTATACAAAGCTGGCACTCCTTCCTCGAGTGTAAGGTGGCAAACATACTGAACGGTGCCTCCTACTTATTTGAGCACCTTTCTTCGGAGAACTGTAAGCCAGCAAACCCCACACTCTAATGAAATTTTGCATTTCCGCTGGTATTGTTCGGATTGAAAGCCGAAATTGCTGCCGTTACTGTTGGGTATTTTTATAATTGTAACTTTTTGAGGCCTAAAAGATGCCCATTTTGTGTTATTAACACTTCATGAATCTCTGTGTTTGCCAACTGTGGTTGTTCATGAAAGGTTGAGCAGAGAAGCTCGTTTGCAGTCTAGGATGTTGATTGTAGATTTCCAAGGAAACCTCTGTACCTCTGTAACCTGAGAAGGCCCCGCCTTCTCCCCCATCCTTTGCTGAATAAAGCCCCTGGGAAACTGAGAATTGGGAGTGATGGGGGAAAAGCCTCGGAGGAGGTTTTTCCCTGCGTTAACTCTCCTTTATTTTGGGGACTCAGGGTAAAATGTCTTCCATGTTGTCAAGAGTGATTATTTCAGGTTCCAGGGTTATGGAGATTAAATATTACCCCACATGTAATTACTTAACATTTTGGTGGAGATGGTGGGCATGCAGAGCTGGTGACCTGAAGGCTTTCCCCAGGAGCAGAGGGGGCCTGGTTAGCTCCATGGATGGGTTTCCGCCCAGCTCTCGCATGACGATTCACGGACATTACAAATAATCTCTCTCTCTCTCTCTCTGTGTGTCGTCCTTTAAGATAATATGGGATGAATCTAAAATTACCTATCAGTTACAGTAACTCCTGCGCTTTAGTTGTCAAAGCTCTCACACTTTTTGCTTTAGCCATTTTAGTCCAAATGTCTTGTTTTCTATGAAGTCAGTCGTTTGTGCAGAGTAATGAAGTAATAATACCTGTTCCTGTGAGGCGTGACGACTGAGCCTCAAATCTATGATTGGCCTTTAATTTTCTTGGTTTGTGGTTACCCGTTTACTATACGTTCAGCCACATGATGATGAAAACAGTCTTGAGCTGATAGAGGCTGCCGTCTACCTGTTCATTAGTAAGATTGTAGGAGATCTGCAGCACTGCCTTCCCTTCCTTGTCTGGATTGGAGACGGATGTCTGTGAAGACAAGTTGTTCCTCAGCGTCGTCCAAACAATGTCCTCTAGCACAAGAGTGAAAGCAAAGTTATTAAGATCCAGCTTCACTTAGTCTTACACAATACCTGCATGCGTGTTCATCTGAACTGCCCAGCAAGCGCCACAAAAGCTCCTATCTTCAGACGTTGTGCTCGGACAGTATTACGGTAATACCGTGTAACGCCAATGTGTCAGTTCCAATACCGTCATGAAAAAAGCAGTGCATGTAGGAGACAAGGATTACCATAATAAATAAAAAAGGTAAATAAAAGTCATTTAGTGTGTAAAACGGAAGCGTGGTTCCATTTTCTGTTCTACTTTAGTTTAAAATGTTTTGTCCAACTTTAGGAGACGTTAAGTTTATGAGCGTGATGTCATCACGTGACAGCGCGGAGGAGACACACCAAGAGAGACGGGGAGAAAAATGGCAACTTGAGCACCAAGTGACTTGGTGTCTAAAAATAACACAACTTCTGCAGTTTGGGAGAATTTCAGGTTGGAAGCAAACAATAATGGAGAACCGTTACGTTTCCCTGCACCAAATTTCCCTGATCCAAATCTTGGTTGATCGGAAATTCCAAATCTCTGTTTCCATGGACACTGACTGAAATGATCTTGTCATGCCGTGAGTTTATATGCACCAAACACTCAATCTGATTAAACAAGTTGAGCGTGTGCAGTTTTCTTTCCCGGAAAAAAAATTGTAAACAAACGTCATGCAACGAAATGAAAAAAATAAAAACCGAAAAAACAATTCTTCCTGCTTTCCTGATTCATTTAATCAATTTAATGTGTTTAGTTTGCTCACAGAAGTTATGTTTTATTCATTGAATAACTGCAGATTTATGCTGTGCTGCGTTTTATTGTTGACAATAGTAAAATAAAGGAGGGTTTTCCTTGTCTCTGCCTCTTGATCAGCTGGTCCGCAGGACTGGGTTTGTGTGTGTGTGTGTGTGTGTGGGGGGGGGTCAGACTCATGTTTTATTACTGAGCTCTGTTGTGGCTTATTATTAATAAAATGTGGCCATCAGCTGAAACTGTTGTGGAAAAATTGGTTCAAACTAAATAACAGGAGATGTTCAGGAAGTTTGGAAGCCTGTGTTCATCATGTGTTCATGATGTGTTCATGATGTGTTCATAAACAAACCACATCTCATCTCATCTGCGTTAACGTAGGACTTTATTGTTGCTAAAAATATTTAACTGAGGATGTATTTCTACTCAAAATCAGCCTCCTTAAACTCAAACCAGGTGCGATGTTACCCTGTCTTCTTTACGAGCACGTCTCCATCCACCTGCTGCAGAAACAGCTGCTGCGTTGGGGACTAGTGCTGCAACCCCTGCAATGAATCTGCGTGTTTCCAGTACAGACTTGAATATATTTGTGGAAGGATTTGTGCAATAAGAGGCTCGTTGGCTAATACTACGTTGCACACATGTGCAGAGGGCGTTATTTTACTCCAACAATCTAAATGGGTGTATGGACACCAATCGGAATGAAATTTCATTCTGATCGGGCCACGTCAGATCCGAATATTCCGATTGACATGTTTACATGAAGAATTTTTGATCTGATAGGGCATGCCGATTACTTGTGCCCATGTAAACGCAGCTAGTGACGAGGTAGCTTGTGCAAACAAAAGATGACCGCGAAAGCTGCAGGCCCCATCGGCGCAGGAGCGAGCCGGAGCTGAAATAGCGGACTTTCTTTTGGAGCCTTTTCTGGGTTTGCCAGTCTTCCCCAGATGCTGCGACAAGCACCAGAGTACCCGGGTGCCTGTGCCACAAGCTCACTGAAGCGGGTTTTCAGCAGTCGGCCCACAACATTCTATGTTGAGACTGGAAAAGGTAAACATGCTGGTAAATCTGCCTTTTTAAAAGTAATTAATATAATGTGTGTTATGTTGTTAATGTTTTAGTAATAGAGTTTGTTATTCAGTTTGTGAACGGTGAGGGTCCAAACCAACTATTTGATCATTCAACTTGAGGCTTACATCATCAGTTTTAAATTTGCCTGGTAACACCATAGGGGCAGCAGTAGCTCAACAGGTTGAGCGGGTTGTCCAGTAATCGGAAGGTTGCAGGTTCGATCCCGGCTCCGAACAGAGAATTCTGCTGTCGTGTCCTTGGGCAAGACACTCAACCCACCTTGCCTGCTGGTGGTGGTCGGAGGGTTCGGTGGCGCCTGTGCTCGGCAGCCTCGCCTCTGTCAGCGCGCAGCTGTGGCTACATCGTAGCTCATCCCTACCAGTGTGTGAATGTGTGTGAATGTAGTGTAAAGCGCTTTGGAGTCCTTACTCTGAGAGGCGCTATACAAGTGCGGGTCATTTATCATTTATCATACACCATGCAGGGTATCCAGCACATTTTAGTGGTTTCTCTGCTCCAACACACTTGATTCAGTGCAGAAGCCTGTTAACCACCTGCTGATTGAAATCAGGTGTGCTGAAGCAGGGTTAAAACTAAAACGTGCTGGATGATTGAATAGCCCTGCCATACACTGTGATCAAATGTGGAGGAAGTTGGACGGTATTAAAATTTCAATTCCACCCATGTCTAATTTGAAGTTTTCGGTTAAACGACGCATGCATAAAGAATACGGACACTTGAACAGAAATTTCTCACCTATTATGTCACAGGTGACTCTGAATGGGGCGATGGAGCCACTGCCGTCTGGGTCAATTAGGTAGTTACCTGAACTCTTGCCCTGATGCTTGTACTCCTCACATGACTGTGGATACAGGGCTACACAGAAAATCCATCACACAACATTTGAGTTAGATGAGACTTCTACGGAGGTCACAGTCCAACACACTCTATCCTTGGAAAATTACTGTCCTACAAACTGCATCTATTATTTAAGGCAAGATCTTTCTGTAAGGAGTTTTTGCGTGTGGACTTACAGCTATGACATGTAGCTCCAGTGTAGCCAGTCCCACTGCAGTTGCAGCTGAAAGCGTCCCAGGTCTGTGAGCAACGCCCACCATGTTCACAGTGGTTAGGAACACATCTGCCGTCATTTGAAGCGGCAAGAACAAAACAAAAACAATTGTATTTCAGGTGGATAAACCCTTTGTTTTAATGTGGTTCGTTTCAAGATTGACTTATTTGTGATTAAACAGGCAAGTACAAACAAGGGCCGTTTCTCAATCCTCAAGGACGCTAGTACGTTCTGGTGCACTAGACACGTTTGTTCTTGGCAAGGACACCAGAAAGTCTGTTCCACCAGTACGGGAGGACGAGGACGGCATTTGTAACAGAACCGTACTCCGTTGTGTCCTGGCAACAAGCGCTGCTTCTTGCTACGTTTAAAAAAATGACCTGACATAAAAATAAAAGACTAGTTTGTTCCTTAAATAACAAAATAACACCAAACGCGTATTATTTGTGTTATGCTTGGCCCACGTTTGATCAAAACTATTAAAATACTAGCATTTCCTGCTCTTTAATGGATAAAAAAAGTTTATTTTTCATCATAACGGACCTATGGTGCTTTTACTTTGATAGTGGGTTAGCTAATTAGCATTTTGAAGGATTGTGAAGAATAAAACTCAAACACCCACAGCAAAACTTGCAGTTTACACACGATTATTTACAATAACATGCAACTTTAGATTATTTTATTTATATTTCTAATATAAAACATTACAGTTATTAGCTTTCTCCTCTGACGTTCGGAGTTTAACGGTTTGCGATGCAATGCAATATGGGAAAATTTGCTGTCCCAAGTCCGCAGAAAGATGCATTGATGCACCCTCGATACAATGGATGGTGCAAGAACACATCCGGGAACTTTGAGCGAACTTGCCGTTATGTATACTTAGGATTGGAACAGTCCTGGGGCCATCGATGATGACGTTTCACAAGGACACGAGTACACAAGTATTGAGAAATGGCCATGCTGTAGAGCGAAGCACCTTTCACAGTTCTGACTTATACCTGTCTACGATGGCACACATATCCAGGCTGACGTTTTCATATGTTCCAATGAGACCCTGCTCCACATCCCTGAGGTCCACCAGATGGTTGTCGATGTGGATCATCTGCATGCAGCCTTGAAAGGAGCGCTGCAGCGACCGGCTGTTTGAGTGTAAGAAGTTACCTGAGGACATGTAGAGAAGTGCTCTTAGGCAATAACTGATTAGACTGTGTGAATTTTGTCTGAAGCACTAAAGTCACAGAGGCACTTGTTTGCTTTGTTTTAAATTTTGATTCCACATTAACAAACCAAATAAAATGTGTTCTGCGGTACGTCCGCCCATTTTCATCTGCTTATTTGGATCCGGGTCAGTGGGTAGCAGCCCTAGCAGAAAGGCTCCCATCAGCTCCACTGGTGGGATCTCAGCATTTACAGTGGGATGAGAATGTTAGGGCAGTTATCTTAATCTTCATCATTTCCTTGTATAAATCATTGGTTTTTATGATATAATTTTCAGTTAAATGCATCTTATGGGAGACAGAGTGATGTTTGAGAAGTGAAACAAAGTTTATAGGATTTACAGAAAGTGTCCAAAAATTGTTTAAACAAAATTTGGCAGGTGCATAAATTTGGGTAATTTTGTCATTTTATTGATTCCAAAATCTTAAAAACTAATTATTGGAACAGTTAGGAACATATTGAGAAAATGGAAGACCACAGACGCAGTTCAAGTTAAGGTTCGAAGTGGCAGAACAATAACAATCTCAGACAAACATAAGAGAAGAAATGTGAGAACAGTCGGAGTCAACCCACAGACCAGCACCGAAGACCTACAGCATCATCTTGCTGCAGATGGAGTCTCTGTGCATCATTTCAACTATCCGGTGCACTTTACACAAGGAGATGCTGCATGTGAGAGTGATGCAGAGGAAGAAGAAGAAAAGATCTTTTCTATAGCGCCTCTCAAGATAAAAATCACGAGGCGCTTCACAAAAACAAAAAATGTAAAATATAGATTTTTTTTTTGAAAATTATTAAAAATATATTTCAAAGGAGCAAAACATAGACAATTGTAATTAAAAAATGTAAAGAAAGAGAGAGAGTGAATAGGAAAGAGGGAAATCAGTGGATCCTGAGGAAGGTGGAATTGGAGGGGAGAGCAGAATAAAGAGAGAGTGGTGATGAAGGTCATACAAAAACCAGCTTGAACAAGTGAGTTTTAGCTGCTTTTTAAAGGAGACCACTGAGTCCACTGATCTCAGGCTCAGGGGGAGAGAGTTCCAGAGTCTGGGGGCCACAGCAGCACATGATCTGTCACCTTTGGTCTTTAGCCTGGTGCTGCACAACCAGTAGGCTTTGATCACTGGACCTCAGGGACCTGCTGGGGGTGTAGGGACTGAGAAGATCACAAATGTACGATGGTGCTTGTCCATGTAAGGCTCTATAGACCAGAACCAGGATCTTGAAATGAACCCTGAAGTTGACTGGCAGCCAGTGAAGCTGGAGGAGAAGCGGGGTGATGTGGGTGTGTTTGGAGGACTTGGTCAGAAGCTGAGCACAGGCGTTCTGAACCACCTGTAGACGGTTCAGGGAGGTTCTGCTCAGACACGTGAAAAGAGAGTTACAGTAGTCTAAGCGTGAGGAGATGAAGGTGTGGAGAACTGTCTCAAGTTCAGAGTGGGACAGAATGGGACTCAGCTTAGCAATGTTCCTGAGATGGAAGAAGGAAGAGCGAACAAGAGAACTGACATGAGAATCCAGGGTGAGAGCTGGGTCAAAGGTCACGCCAAGATTCCTGACGGAGGGTTTTGTGTGAGAAGCAAGCTGACCAAGAGAGTCTCTGACTTAAGCCTTCTACCACTGCAAGGGGTTGAAGCCGCAGCGCATAATCAGTCTTTGGCAGGCTGACTCTGTCGCTGATTGGTCAAATGATGATGTGTGACATGCTACAATAAAGATGGTTTATGAATGAGATTCCCTTCTCTCAAAATTGATTCATAGAGAGACCGACTGAACCCCGACCGGCGACCCACCCCATAAAAAATTAAATAAAACCGGATGTATAGGATTCACATGAAAACCATGTTTGGTGTCAAAAATAGCAATTTTGGCCAAAAAGCGAGAACTTTGCAGGTATGTAAGGTCCCATAGTTTACAATGCATGTCAGAGCATAAGCCAAGCTCGAGTCAAAGAAAATGTCGGCAGATCTCTGAGACAGGATTGTCTTGAGACACAACTCTAGGGAAGGTTACAGGAAAAATTCTGTTTTGAAGGTCCTTGTGAGTGATTTGGTCTCCATGATCTGTAAATGGAAGAAGCTGGAAACCACCTAGTCTTCCTAGAGCTGGCTGGCCTTCTAAACAGAGAGATTGGGAGTCATGGAGGTGACCAAGAACCCGCTGGTCACTCTGTCTGAGCTCCAGTGCTCTTCTGTGGAGAGACAAGAATCTTTCCGATAGACAACCATCTCTACAGAAATTCACCCATCAGGCCTCTTTTATAGAGTAGTGAGACGGAAGACATTCCTTGGTAAGAGGGTCATGTCAGCCCACCTGGAGTTTGACAAAAGGCACCTGAAGAACTCTCAGACCAAGAGACAAAAGTCTTTGTCTGAAGAGACAAATACTGAACTCTATGGTGTGAAAGCTAGGAGTCACGTTTGGAGGAAACCCGGTTGAAACAATCACCACATGAGGCATGGTAGTGGCTACATCATGCTGTGGGGATGTACAAAGACAACCTGAAATCATACTCCAGAGCACTCTTGAGCTCAGCCTGGGGGCAAAACTTCATCTTTCAGCAGGACAACGACCCTAGGCACACAGCCGAGATATCAAAGAGCTTCAGGCCAACTCTGTGAATGTCCTTGTGTGTCCCGGTCCGAGCTCAGACTCGAATGTCTGAGAGATCTAGGAGTGGCTGCACCAACGCTTCCCATCCAGTCAGATGTTGCTTGGGAGATGCTGCAAAGACGAACATCGGTGTGCCAAGCTTGTGGCATCGTAGTCAAAAAAGACTTGCGGATGTAATTTGTTTCCGATGGCATATCCACAAAGTATTGAGCAGAGCTTGTGAATGCTTATGTACATTTGATTTATCTGTTTTATTTTTTTTTTTAATTATTTCTAATAAATGTGCTAAATCTCCCCCCAAAACTGTTGTCACGTTTTCCTTAAGGGGTGCTGTGTGTGTAATTTGTTTAGAATTATAACATGTTAGGAAGGAAAACTTTAGGCTTCTCCCGTAAGCCCGGTTCTCCGAGTAACACGAGTGAGATGTCTCACCAGACAACTCTTCTAGCTGGGCGAAGCGAGGAGAGATGTTCACCTTGAATGATACATGCATCTAGATGCTTGCTGTGACCTGGGCGTCACGATCACTGGCCAATCAGGGTTAGCGTATTTGAATAGGTGCTTCTGAGGAATCCACGGAGGGTGTATCCCATAGTGAGACATTTTACTCAAAGAACTGGGGCCATGAGAGTAATCTAAAGATTTGAAGACAAGGTTCCTAGTTTATACATTCAATTTTACTTTGATGGATAGCGTTTGAGCAATTACCTCCAAAGTAGTAAGTTCCTCCAGTCTGGATCTGGTTAGGGATCGCAGTTCTCACTGTTGATGCTTCATCTCCATCTATTGTCAGCATAGCGTGATTCTCCAATGCATTTAGATGGACGCTGTGCCACTGGCCATCATTTAAACCAGAGCCTGCAAGGGACAAGATCTGACTTCATTCAAATGAAAAAACACCGCCTCTTTAAAAGTGTAGGTGCATCCATATGTAGCATCAGGTTTCAATCACTTATGCCAAAACGGATCATTAAAGGGACTTTATGGAGTTTTGAATTTTTATGCTCGTGATTGCCCCCTCAGGCCAAAAGCATAACAGCAGCTTCAATAGTAGGCTCGTGCACGAGGCACGCATGCTGTACGTGCACACTCCTTAACGAAAATAACAGCTGAGACAGTCCCTTGTGTGTGTGTGTGTGTGTGTGTGTGTGTGTGTGTGTGTGTGTGTGTGTGTGTGTGTGGTCCAGAGGACAGGATAACGTGCAGCTAATTAATTAAATAATTTGGTTCTGTAGCTTTCTCTTCAGCACAGCCAACAAAGGTTTAAGATGGGTCAGTCCTCCTGCATGCTCAGATCATTCCCTTCCCTTGCTTGAAAAATTGTTCCAAAATGAAAGTTGAACCCACATCTTTTTTTATCTGTGAATTCAATGCCGTTCGGCGAGTCTCAAATAAAAATTTGGGCATTTTACTGTAAAAAAAACATACCATTAATGTAAAAAAGAAACTCTAAATAAACTATGTTCACATCCAGAATCAAACCCAGGACTTCAGTACCGGAGTCAGACGTCTTACTAGGTGAGCTAAAGGGCCAGTCCTATGTATCTGTAACGTTTATATCCTTGATGACAGCTGAAACAACGTTCAAAGAATGGTTCGGGGTGAAAATGGCTATTTTGTTGCTAATTTGCAGGAAATATCTAGAAGAAAGTTCTACAGAAAGTAGCTAAGGGTCCTCAGAAATGTAGCTAGCTTTGTCACTAGGCGTTAGGAACAGCGACAAAGTGGCACTGCCTCTCTCTCTGCTGCTAAAGCTACGGATAGCAAACGCTACGGGCTATGCCTGAGCGTGAACGCGCATGAAGCAGCCTGCTCGACCCGAGCAGCTCTCTTTTTCTGTGATTTTACAGAAAAACAGGCAATCACAGTAAAAATGCCAGGGCTCATTCTACAGGACCAGGGCATTGCAGGAGAATGTATGAAGAAGACATTTATTATTTCTATACATGTTTTGGCTGTCAAACTTCCATAATGTCCCTTTAAATGAAAACACCAGAGTGAAATCCACACTCACCTGATGAAATGCCAATTCGTGTGTTCTTCAGTGTCATGTTCATGAAGATGGTGACCTTGCCCTCAGTCAGCCCCAACTCCACCCATCCATCAGCCAGCTGTGTGAACATCAGCAACCCACTGGGGTTCCATGTCCTGAAAGACAGACTCACTGACAGTGTGTCGCTATCACTCTGACCTGGCAGCTGCAGGAAGGATGTGGAGTTAAAGAAGACAGGGAAGGAGTTGGACTCAGAACAGGAGAAGGTGAGGTTCCGCTGAGGTGGAAGACAAACAGGGACAGCAAAAACAGGAGATTTAGAAAAACAGGAGGAATAGGAGATCTAGAGGAAGAGAGGCCACACAACAACACTACTGTAAGGTTCACCTGATATATACATACACAGAAAGAAAATAGGGAGGGGAGAGATACATAAATTGTTGTTGTTTACATGGCCATCAGTGGAGCTTTCCCCACAATATTTAAAAAAACAAAGATCTATCTATAGTTGTTGTCCAACCCCCCATCCACAGTTCTTTTATTCCCAGGGGCAGGTTGATCAGTACGCACTTTAATATCATCACAAATAAACGTCAGCAAGGATTATGACTCAGTAACTTCAGTTTACTTGAATGTATTTATCAACAAGCAGAGAAATGGTACAAAAACACACCTGGACCCCTGAAGCACCACTAGTAGTGCACCCCCTCCTGTATACCTTCCCTACGCTGGACACTTCCCACTCAGTGGACAGGGCCTTCCTCTCCATTGTATCAGTCATCAAAAGGACTATGTGAGAGGCCTACTGCCAACGTCTTAAAGAGACAATGTGTAGTTTTTACCATTCATTTCCGGAAATATCCATCAAAATGTTGTTGAAAATTAATTAAATGATGCCCAGTTGTTGAAAGACATTTTCGAGTTTGTAACATATAACCATAAAAATCTAGTCTAAAATACATGTGCGGGTCTAAGTCTCTGGATGATGCCATGTTTCCTTCTACGGAAGCCCATGAGGTCAAAATGCATTTACTGATCTGTAATTAATGGTTACAAAACTTTTGCCATTCTTAAATGTTGTTGTTTTACACATTTACTTCATCACTTGTTGCCACTGATGAAAGAGAGTTTGATGTGCTCGTTATTTTGCTAAAGTTTGCGCTCCCCAGAGCTTTTTGGCCCTAATGGGCATCCATTGGTAAGGTTTCACTTAGGTTTTATTTAGGTATCTACTGCCCCCTATCGCCAGGAAAAATACACACTGTCACTTTGAATGTTTGAGTTTAATCAAAAGTACGTGTGGCAGAGAGCGGACAAACAACCTCCACATTATTCAGACAGGTGGACAGAAAATTCCCATGGAATAGGGCTGGGCGATATGGCCTAAAATCAATATCACGGTTTATATAGGGTTTCGCCTCGTTAACAATAACTATGCACAGAAAGAAAAGATGTCCACTAGATGGGGTGGTCACGTGTCTTACGATGAGTCACATGACAATGTGACTGGAGGCGGCACAGCTTCTTAAAGGGTCATGAACGTCACCAACGTTTATAATTTTTTAATTATCAAATTTATTGGCATGGAAAAAATTATATCAGTGTCATGTTCCCGAGCCGAGGTGAGTGGCACCCTCTCCAATCTAACCGTTATTGAGCTAATTTCCCACAGGTGAGGCGCAGAGGGGGCTGCAGCTGCAGAAGATTCCCAATCAGGAACTCGGGTATAAAAGGAGGATGGAGACACCCCACTACGCCGGATGATTGCTCCAGTTTACGTCGCCCCAGCCACTCGTACTTGTACTTGTTTGTTCCCTTTGACTCGTTTTGGATTACTCGGATTTTTGAACTCGGCCTGTATTTGGATTACCCTCACATCTGGTGTTGTTTGCCTCCTTTCAGGATCTCCTCACACCTGCCTCGCCCTCGCCGTTTGAACTCTGGATTACATGCACCCCGTCCCATCCTCCTCCGTTGTTCCTGTCTGGTCCCTCTCTGCCACCTCACCCATCCCGGATCGCTCACCCTCTGCCCAGCACTCCCCTCGGCTTCCCCGCCTCCCTCGTTCACCACGAGCGCTATATGGACAAGAGCTATACAGCTCACGCCCCACAGGACTTCCCTGTGCTATTTTTGTTCTCGTTTTCCAATAAAGAACTTTTCTTTTACTCTACCAGCTCGTCGAGTTTGATTCTGCATGTCTTGGGTTAGACACCTCGAGTCATGACAATCAGTTAGAGTCAGAAATGTAAATTGTTGATGTATTGCCCAGCCCTACCATGGCCAGCATTCTGAAATTACCCTAATCATCTAATCGATGGGAAGAGAAACGAGGAACGTTCTCCCTAAGCTAAATTTCATACTCAAACATGATTCTGACTCTAGCAGTTATGCAAAAATGTCCTGTCAGCTAGTCTCACCTGAGACTATAAATGTAGATTATTAGGCTCCAGGATTGAATTTTATACACTCATTTTGGAAAAAGCACATAAACTTGTACAACAAGCCAAATATGCAATTCAGCATCTAATCTAGTGATCAAATAGGGAATTAAGTAATTTTCACTGGTAGGAATTAGCACCGAAGTTAGGAAATGTACAAATTGTCTAGCTGAAAACTGACTACCTATTAAACAAATTTACAACGCTGATTTTCTGTATTATTCTGATATTTTCAGACATTAGTTTAAACAAAAGCTTAAAAGTTTCACCAAAAACATTCACAAACCCAAAGAGAGTTTCTTCACCTTGTGTCAAAATCAAACCAATCTACTTAGTCCTGTGACTGAAAACACTGTTAACTGACATTTTCTCCTTGCAATCACAGAGTTCAACACATAATAAAACATATGCATGCAGATGTCTTACAAAGCTGGAGGTGTCAACCCTCTTCCTGCGCACCAAGCTGGTGATGTTCTCCCCATTGTAGGTGATTCCTTCCATGCAGCCAACAAAATTCTCTCTGCCACCTGAACTAAGCTTTGTAGATTCGGGAAGTCCTCCGAAGCTGATCTGATGACACACACGACAAAACATTATCACAAAAACTACTACTACTACTACTACTAATACATTTATCGGAGCCTTTCAGGACCCAAGATCACCTCACAAAAACATGATAAAACTTACAAGTAAATAAACTATAAGATCAGATTATACCACAGCATTACAGAGAACATGAGAATGAGTTGGTAGACGAGAGAGTTGTAAGGGGTTAATTTGCATCTATTGAATGACCTATAAGACATGAGATTCCATAATGAATATGGAATCAATCTTGTGGATCTTTGGGTACTTTTAACCAGAAGATTGGAACTTTTTATTGCAGGGATTATGTGACACTTCGTATTAACTGAGAGACAAGAGAAGAGAGAGTCACCTTTAAAACGTTTAAGAAGATTTATTTCTAAACAATTTTAAACAATTTAACTCTAAATTCTAAATGATGAATGGATCTGGTGTGAATGAGACGTGAGATGAATGGTGTATGTGAGTGATTTTGACATCAGAACTCTCGTATCCGGAGAAGCAAGTCTGAATGATGTTGTGATGTTTTGCTTTTAAGCTATGATCGGAGTTTCATAAACACATGAGACGCCATGTTGTCGCTCCACACATACCCTTCAGGATGAGACCTCGGTACAGATCCAGACTGCCAGGTCCTCGAACCCCCCTTTCGGTACCGGAGCCAGTGAAACAGCGTCAGCAGTACGGCAGACTAGTCTTTGGATTGTCTCCAGGTAAAAAGCGACAGTTGGTTGACAGCGTCAGATGGACCCCCTTTGGGTCAGTGATTTCAGCTTTTATTCTGAAAGGAACCATTGCTTGGCTGATAAAATGCAACAGATTTTATCCAGCTTGTTGGTTCTTTGCTTAAAAGGAAGTCCGGGTGGCCGGTCCGATACTCCTCTTAGCATGCGGTGAACTGAAATGAACTGTAGAGAACTCAGAGAACTGAACTAAGATGGCGTGGGGACTGGTTTAATTAATCTGGATGTTTTGATTTCCTGGTCGAATCAAAGTTGGACAGATTTATAAACACCACAGAGACTATGCCACGCTTCAGAAAGGAAGGTTCTGATTGGATGAGTAAAAGCAATGTGTCATGCGTTTCCATTACATGTCGTCAGAATGTCTAGTGCAGCTAGATTAAAGTCATATTACTTAATAAAGCATATTAATCATAACATTGTCATTTCACAGATTGATCAACATTATATTATTGACTAACACTTAGTTTGATTAGCTTTATTAAAAATAGAGTTCTTTGATTTATTAAAAGGAAAGAGTCCTTTATCTTCATTCTTCTCTTGGGCTGGAAAGGAAGCAGTTTAGAAGCAAATGCATGACCTTGAGGCAGTCTCATGCAGATTAGTACTGTGTCAGAGGCATCTGTGGAGAGAGGGTAAATAACCTTCGGTGGAATAGCTCCTTCATCACGTTACAGAGTGTAAGCCAGTTTGAACAGATGGATTTTGAGTTTGGGTTTGAAGTAGACTGAAAGCTCTGTTTCCACCGGTGGCGAGGCGAGTGGGAACCGTGAGGTGAATGGCAGAGGAAGACCTGAGGGAGCGAGACGGGACAGCAACGTGGATGAGATAATTTTGTTCAATGGTAAGTTTACACTGAAGGAGATGAGCTTGTGGTCAGAGAGTGGGAATGGATTTGCTTTCAAGCTAGAGGGGGTCACCCCAGAGCAGCAGGCCAGGTCCAAAATGTGACTTTTAGAGGAGGTGGGAGAGCAAATGTACAGTTGGAGGTCTTAACTACCCAGGACAGAAAGTTTCTGGTCAGGTGGTTATAGCCGTTGTCAATATGGATGTTAAAATCATGTGATGTTGGGAGAGAGTAGGAATAAATGAGTGAGGAATAGGGATGGGTACCTTTGACATTTGAATCGATTCAGTACTAATTACCGGTACCTACAAATCAATACCGGTACTTAACGGTACCAATTTTCGATACTTTTGAATGTTTAATATTTTAATTCTCTTTTATAATTAAATATATGTTTTTCTCAATATATAACAATATTTGATAAATATCACGATAAATAACATACAACTGTTTGTATTTTAACATCGTCCTTGTAGTTTTATAAACTGATAATTAAACTGAAGCAAACATCTTTACTGTGAACTAAATTTACTGTGTATCTTCATTCCTCTTGCTGTCCTTTTTCATTTGATTTTTCCTACTGGGAAGTTAGAATTTCCGAGGAGAAAGCGAACGCACCATTAGCTGATAACAACGGTGGCAATGGAAGCTAATTTTTCAAGCTAACGTTATCTTAAACAGTTTATTTAACTGCTGGAGCAGATTAAAACGACAATGCCTCACACTTAGATCGTTGTCGCTGGTTTCATCTTCACACAATCACCCGTCACATTTAGTAAAGTGAAGCCAAACTTTAGAGCGCGTTCATGTTCTTTTAGTCGGAAATTCGGAGTTCCGAGGAGAAGGCGAACGCACCATTAGTGAAACGGAAGCTAACATATCAAGCTAACGTTATCTTAAACATTTTATTTACCTACCGGAGCAGATTAAGATGAGGATGTTTCACTTAGATCGTTGTCTGTCGCTGGTTTCATCATCACCCAGTTACCCATCACATTTAGTGAAGTGGACCCAAGCTTTAGCGTGCGTTCTTTCTACCATGCTGCTCTGTTTACAACTGGCTCGCAGCGACCGACGACATAACGCTCTTGCGCATGCGCAGCTGTCTAGGCAAGTTCTCGTTAAGAAGGACGGGTACCGAAACGAGGCACCGTTTCAAATGAAGTGAATCGGTGCTCAGTCGGTACTGTGGAATTCGGTCGGTACCTAAGAAAGTACTGAATTCGGTACCCATCCCTAGCTGAGGAATGCAGTAAATTCTTCCATAAAGTCCTAGTTTGGCTTAGGAGGTCAGTACACACTGCAGATGATGAAGGGGGTGGGGCCAGAGATCTAAGAAGCGCTGTATTCAAATGACAGGGAGGATGGAGCGGACACCAGGAGGACCTCCAGCTGTTTTCGGTGAATCATCGAGACCCCCGCCCCTACCAGTGGAGCGAGGCTGTGAGATGTAAACAAGATGGAGTAGATTCATTAAGATTTATAAAGTCATTAGGCTGCTGCCACATTTCAATAAGACAGAAAAAGTCCAGGTTGTTTTGCTATGGGGTTAGCCGGGATAGCGAGACGGGTTAGCAAGTTGTGATGGACAGCCTCAGAGTTACGAGAGCTGGAGTTGTGTTGAGAACGACGGGATGTGGACCAGATGGACCTTATTGAGTGGGTGCCATCGTAGATAAAATGACGCCGAGACCCCCGATGGATGTATTTGTTGCGGGGTTTGACAGCAATGTCCGGGATGAAACGGAGAGCTGCAGGTGGGGGGACGGCCTGGTGAGAGTGGAGCCGGAGAAGCTCAGATGATAGGTACTGGATCAGCGCCGATGAAGGCAGATGGAGAGGATAGCCCAGGTGAGAACGAACCAGCCAAGCAGTCTGCTAATTAACGTCTTAGCCGAGGGTAAATGTGTCGAGGTGGCAAATTGCAGATGTAAGGTAAGTCCAGCCATATGCAGGAGGTACAGGGAACAAGAGGCCGCTGGTTCTCATGAATTTATTTAAGAAAAATACTAAAAAATACTAAGATTCAGATAAAAGATTAAAACCATAAAAACAGATAAAAACGTCTAATCAGATAATCCAGAGAGCAGCGGCAACTAAACGCGTCAGCGTCCACTCTCTGAAGTTAATCCTCACCAACATGTTTTTCCAGAATGTCTCCATCTACACTAGCAGGTCAAAGTAACTGTGGTTATGGACTAAATAGACAATACAAATGTTTGCCTTTTGATGGTCATTTGATGCAATCATCTGACATCATAACACAATGATTAGTCACAGTCAGGGTTTCATTTGAGCTGGAACAAGATCCGGGAACTGTCTTATTTTGAAAGGACCGTTCTGGCAACTGTCTGCTAGGTTCCGGTGTCTTGCCAATGCACCCCACCAAAATTTGTTTCCCCTGCGTTGGGCGCCAGTGTTGTGTCGATTTGAGTTCCCCCTCACACAAAAAAAATAACCCTCACCCTGATGCCTACTCTAGCCATAACCACTCAAAAATGTATGGTTGTGCACAATTATAATTTATGAAAGCACTCTGCGTGGGACGATTTTTATGTTTGTTATAGGGTTATGGTTAGGGTAAGGATTAGAACACGCTTTTTTTTTTTTTGGCTTGTTGGAGCCGAAACAGATCTCCAGGAGTAACTGAATTTGGCATAACACCTGTACGCGCTCCCGACACAGGGGAAACAAATTCTGGTGGGGATAACTACATTGGCACAACACCGACATCTGCTTGCCTTCAGTGAACTTTGGTTTGACATCAGCATTTGCGTTCCGGGAACGTTTGCTTTACAAATTAAGCACTGGTCACAGTACATATGATGACCTCTTGGGATTTGAATTCTGCTTTCTAGTCTTGACCCTGACCTAAAACGGGAAACCCTTTAAAGCCATCACAGGGCCACATCAGAATCAGAATCAGAATCAGAATAGGTTTATTGCCATTGTCAGTGAACAAACAATTCACAAACTAGGAACTTGCTTAGGTACTAATGTGCTACATATAACATGAATAATAAGATTAAAAATAGAATAAAATAGAATAAAATATAATAAAAAAAACTAGATTAAAACTTTCAGCTATAAAAAATGGCAGGTAATGGTAACATGGCCGATAACGTGACTTTGTGTCGAGTACAGAAGACGAGCATGGTTGTGTGTTTATAATCTATTCACAAGTCTGAATTAAAATTTAAATTCAGTTTAGTTCATTTCATTTATTTAGAGCCAATTCACAACATGTCATCCCAATTCAGGCACTTTACCAAGCAAACATTCCAAATGAGCCTACCCATCAGTGCATTGAGTTCAGTTCATTATGCCAGTTAGTTAACGGTTTTCTGTCTCCAGAAAGCCAGCAGATTGCTGAAAGTGAAGTACTAAACGACCAATTCAAATGGAACTTGTTCCCCTTCTAGTATTTAAATTAAAGAGGAAAACTGTGGGAGGCAGGGAACAAAAAGAGCACGAGTCATTTCACCTCTAAATCAAGGTCCAGGTGGTCGAACTCCCCATTGGTCCTGAACCGCTGAGTGTGGTGGTCCAGTGTGAAGTTGACATTCCTCCGGTAACGCTCAATGAGAACCGAGTGCCAGTAGCCATCGTCCAGTAAGCTCCCACTGCTCACAGTTGTGTGGCCCTGAATGGAGCCATAGTGACTGCTGCCTGGAGAAGCCACACAAACCTGACATTATTCAGGACATTTCTGATGGTCAGGAGTAAATCAAATATTTTGAAACTATTCGACTGAATGAAAAACTACCCAAGTTGATGCTAAGCTGCAACTTTGCCCTTCGGAGCTCCAAGGTGATGTAGTCTCCCTGCTGTCCTTCCCCGTGGAGCAGCACACCATCTCTAGCTTGGGTTTTAAACTTCAGAGAGATGACATCCCTCGCAACCTTAATCTTCTTACTCTTAAAGCGGTAGGAGACGATGCCAATGCCATCGAAACTGATCACATCAGCCCCTGGAAAACACAACAAAAACTGCTTGAAATAAAATGCCTAAATAACAACATAACAGAAGAGCGATGCAAGAGCTGAAACTGCCCGCTATCTCTCTCAAAGCAGACAACTTTTGTTTTTAAAGACATTGAAAAGTACTCAATGCTCTGCAGAACTGTAGCACTTTGTTATAATTGTAAAAGTTAAAAAACAGTCATTACATTTTGAATTCTGTGGCTGCCGATTTGTTGGATTATTTTTCACTCAGTGCCACAGAATTCAATTCAATTCAATTCAAGTTTATTTATATAGCGCCAAATCACGACAAGAGTCGTCTCAAGGCACTTCACATAATAAACATTCCAATTCAGGTCAGTTCATTAAGCCAATCAGAAATAATGTTTCCTATATAAGGAACCCAGCAAATTGCATCAATTCACTGACTAGTGTCAGTGACTATACAGCAATCCTCATACTAAGCAAGCATGCAGTGACAGTGGAGAGGAAAACTCCCTTTTAACAGGAAGAAACCTCCAGAGAATCCTGGCTCAGTATAAGCAGCCATCCTCCACGACTCACTGGGGATCGAGAAGAAGATATGTTTGGAGCCCCCAAAGGTATTTTCTTACAATGGGTATTAGAGTTCCAGTGTCAATGCATTGGCACACCACTCTTGTGTTTCTTGTGAAGGTAGCCACGTTTCAACTTTTGGAAAACAGTTTCATAACCCCACTTTTTTATCCCTGACTCCAGCTCGCCAGATATGATAACAGATTGCCCGTTTGTGCTGTAGATACCACAGATCAGTGTGATGGTCATGAACCAGATGGGGAAATGGGAGACATCTTTGGGTAAGACTGGCAGTGGAACAACTTCCTTAATGGTATTATGCCCCTCACTGGTACTGGGCCTGAAAAAAACGTCAGCTATTTCCAAGTATTTGGACCAGCACAACTCCTAGTCACCACTGTCCTTCTGTAGTCTCTAATTTAATTCTGGACTCAGTTAACGCCTGTTTTGGGAAGTACAAGTCAGCCGGAGGAAGAAGTCGCTTCAGACGGCAGGATTTGGACTCTTATTGCCTGATTTTCGTACATCTCGTCTCTGATTGGCTAACAGCAATGCAAATTTACAAAGGACTCAGTTTGCTTGTGTAACGTCATGAAATGGCCTGATTTTGAGACCCACAGTTCAAATCCACAGCCAGGTCAACCTACCCTGGCTATGACACAACCTACAATATTTTCCCCTCATAGGAGACTGAAAGCTGGACGCCCTGAAAGAGATAATAAAATCAAACAATAACATTCTCTCCTACCAAGGTCCCTTTACAGAGGAACTGAACTCCTCGATTCACAGAAAAAAGAAGAAAGAAGATTTGAAAATTAAAGATAATCATTAAATAAACATTTGTTTATTGCTATTTATAATAATTATAAAACAATGAAACATTTCATTAATCTGTGCTTAATGATATATGTTTAGCATGTTTACTTGACGAGGCCATCACCATCTGCACTCACACAAAAACAAAGCAAAGTTAAGTGAACGCTTGACACGTAGTTAACCTTTTGCCCAGTTCAGAGACTCCGGATCAAAGAGGGTGTGTCTCTGAGATTCTTGGTAATATTCCTCAAACGTGTCAACTTTTGGTTGGCTATTCAATCATAATATCGTTCCATTAAAACTAGACCACTCTGGTTCCTCTCCAGTTCGAGAAAAAGCTTCAGACCGGCCATCTGAGCAAAACCTCTTTAACCATCAAGGATTTTGACACGTCGTCAAAACCTTTTCAAACCTTTTTCGCACCTGCGAAGCTGATAGCAACAAGATAGTTTCCTGCAGAACAAAGCTGATATTGTTACAACTCCTTAAGAGTTATCCCTGAGACACAAACTAGTTCCAACTGTCGTTACCTGGAAGATGACCCTGGACTGACCTGGTCGTACGAGGAGTTAGTCTACGGACCCCGATACCGGGGTCTCCGACCCCCGCCCCGGACATCTCGGATCCAAAAGGGCGTCTCCACTTGGGTACGTGGAACACAGTGAGGTTGCGTCTGAATGCGGTTTTGATAATAATCTATTTATAGCTTAAACAAACCAAAATCTTTTAAATCCAGAACTCAGCTCTCTGAGGTACGGAGATTCTGACTACATTATTCACACATAGGTTCCAGACACACCTTTAGTTCCATCCATCACAGTAAATGCTTAGTTAGTCTGTCAAGTTTCAGTTGTTTCTAACCCTCTTCTGACTAAAGCACATAAGACCAGGCAAGGTGATATTCCATATTTAAATCGAGTATCACAGCTTAATGGTCTCAAGAGCATCAAGTGAGGTGTGTTCTAAGGTCAGTGAATCCCAGGAAGGCGGCAGGTCCTGATGGAATACATGGAAGGTGCTCAGGGCATGTGCTGACGAACTGACCGGAGTCTTCACTAAAATCTTCAACCTTTCCTTGTCACTAAACACCGTCCCGCCCTGTCTCAAAACCTCCCCCATCATCCCCATTGCTAAAAAGTCAGCAGTGGTCAGCCCAAATGACTACAGGCCTGTTGCACTTACGCCTGTAGTGATGAAGTACCTGGAGAGGCTGGTCTGTCAGTACATCAGGGCCAGTCTGCCTCCCACTTTGGACCCCCATCAATTTGCCTACAGGACAAATAGATCCACCGAGGATGCTATCACCATAGCGCTCCACACTGCACTGAGTCACCTGGAGCACAGAGGAAGCTATGTGAGAATGCTCTTCCTGGACTTCAGCTCAGCATTCAATCACATAATCCCTGAGATCTTGGCCCAGAAAATGTCTCACCTGGGACTCTCCACCCCCATCTGCCTCTGGATTAAGGACTTTCTGACAAATAGATCACAGTCTGTAAGACTCGGGCCACACCAGTCCAGCACCATCACACTCAGCACTGGGGCTCCACAAGGATGTGTTTCGAACACCATTATAAAGTTTGCGGATGATACCACCATGGTCGGACTCATCTCGAAGGAGGATGAGAAGGACTACAGAGATGAGGTCAACAGACTGACGGAGTGGTGTTCAGTAAATAACCTCCAACTGAACACCACGAAAACTAAAGAAATTATCTTCGACTTCAGGAAGGGCAGAGCAGACCCGGCCCCACTGTACATTCATGGGAACTGTGTGGAGAGGGTGCACTCCATGAGGTTTCTGGGCGTGCAGATCTCTGAGGATCTCTCCTGGACAGCAAATACCACGGCAGTGGTAAAAAAGGCGCAGCAGCGTCTCCACTTTCTGAGAGTGCTCAGGAGGAACAACCTGGAGGAGAGGCTGCTGGTTACTTTCTACAGAGCCACCACAGAAAGCATCATAATGTACTGCATAACAGCATGGTACGCAGGGTGCTCAGCTGCAGACAGGAAAGTACTGCAGAGGGTCGTCAACACAGCCCAGAAGATCACTGGCTGCTCTCTGTCCAGCCTGGAGGTCATTGCAAACTCTCGGTACCTCAGCAGAGCGAGCAATATCATCAAGGACCAATCTCACCACAGCAATCACGTCTTTCAACTATTACCATCAGGTCGACGGTACAGGTCACATAAAACCAGGTCAAGCAGATTCAGGGATAGCTTCTTTCCCAGGGCGATCTCTATAGCGAATAAGCATAAAAACAATTAAAACTGCTTAGCTACTGTCAAGGTCACCGTCAACTATTATTCTGCTATTCTAATGCCATTTTTTTTCACATGATATGGTAGCTGCTATTCTGTATATAGTGTGCTATTCGGCATATATTGTACTTACTATTGTTTTGTTTTAGGGGACCTTTATATTTAGAAGTATTATTGTATTGTGCACCAAGGTAGTGGCACTCCAATTTCGTTGTATCCTGTACAATGACAATAAAGGCTATTATTATTATTATTATTATTATTATTATTATTATTAATAAGTGGTGTTAATAATATAAATAGCTCTTAAAGCAATTTCCATAACCCAACATACTATTTATTAACATTACACTTATCAACACTGACATTTTATTTCCCCACATTACACAGGCCTGAAGGTGTTCTGATGTGGTGGAGTTGCTAATGCTAACAGTTAGCTTCTACTAGTCAAGATGTTCTCTGCTGTTTACTGGACGCTAAACAAACAACGGCCTCCCCCGTCGTGAGTGAAGATGGGCAAGTCCATGACAGTGTGACGTAGATCTGTCAAGATTTTCAAGTCCTAGAGTTTCATCGTCTATTTTCTATCAGTAGATAATGCAGCAGATAGGTGTAGGAGACTATTGTCATGTTCAGCCTGCACGACAAACTCAGAGTGACAAATTATAATCAGAAATAATATTTAAAATAAGGATTTTCAGTGAACCACAGCTTTAAGAACAAAGAGTAGTAGTAGTACATAATACATGGTACTTATCATATAAAGCATGTACTACCCAGATGTCGCTGAAAGCCCCCAGTACAAGCCTAGTTGGAGAGCTCAGAATATCGTGCTTTTCAGGTTGAAATAAGAAAGCATTGTAGAGGGGAAGTGAAAAAGCATCAAAAACAAAAATACGTGTCCACTTGCATTAAATGAAGTGAGGACAGTAACACCAGATTTGGACAATGTGGAAACACCAGGATACAGCAGAGACTCACTGCAACAGGAGGACAGTTTGGGTCGCTCCCACCTTACGCCCAGTTCACAGCAGGATTTTAAAATCATCGTCCAATTTTCAAACCATAAGAGACCACACATTAGCTGGCACCCAAACTGTGTATTTGGTGTATAGATAAAGAAAGCTCAAGACAAGAGTCAAAAAGAGTCAAAATAAAAACATACATACTAAGAAATCTTTAAAAAATGCAGCTATGTTCAAAAAGCTTTGTTGCAGCTGTAGCAACGTTGTTTAAGTAGCAATAACGGGTTTATTGCACTGAAGAAGGTTCAACAGAGTTTTTGTTTATTTACGCCGGGGACACACCGGCCGCCAAAGCGCCGGGAGGCGAAGCGCTCATGAAATTCGGCCGCTGCTCGCTGCTCCTCAGTTCAGACCAGACGCTTGTTTCTCCGCTCCGGTCGAGGCGCGCCTCGTAGTTTTTCTTTTAACCACTTGGTGTCCTCCATTTCCTCTCTGCCTTTTCTCTGCTCTTTTCCTCTACACCCCCCTCCCCCTTGCTGTTTGTGTGTGTGTGTGTGTGTGTGTGCGTGCGTGCGTGCGTACGTGCGTGCGTGTGTGTGTGTGTGTGTGTGTGTGTGTGTGTGTGTGTGTGTGTGTGTGTGTGTGTGTGTGAACCTATGGTGTGAACCAGTTGTTAATAGCTGGCCTACGACTTTCTGCCTCTCTGTCCTGTTTGCTCCGGTTGAAAGACACCCAAAACCACACCCCCTTCACGTGGTCTCACACACACACACACACACACACACACACACACACACACACACACACACACACACACACACACACACACACACACACACACACACACACACACACAAGTTCGCTGTGTGTGTGTGTGTGTGTGTGTGTGTGTGTGTGTGTGTGTGTGTGTGTGTGTGTGTGTGTGTGTGGTTTTTATGCAGTATCTGTTTACGAAAACATTTGACTATCGCGGAATTGTATTTTGAAATGCTTTATTTTGTTAAATTTACCGGCCTGCCTCTTATGTCCAGGTTTGACTTCCTGCCAGAACTGACGCGGTTCACCCGCGGCTCGCGAAAAAAACAGAGCAGACACCGAAACGATCGCTGCGTGGCGGGGGCAGGAGCGCCGGCGCGCGGCGCTTCGGCGGCCCATGTGGTCTATAGAATAGGATAACAAGGGCGCCGAAAGAAGGCGGTCCCCTTTTTGCGGCGCTTCGGCGGCCGGTGTGCCCCAGCGTTATTGTTCCGATGACCGTGGGAAAGAAGCTGTCCCTCTTTCAGCTGGTCCTCACCAGTTCTGGCCATACAGCGTGTGAGGTGCAGCAAATACTACACACCACACACAAACTGCTTTCACACACTGACATGCCTCACTCAGACGGGAAATGGTAAGGTAAAACATGACTTAGAAGTAAACAAACACTGTGAAGGAGGAACATTCTGTCTCCTCGCTTTCTGATTGGCTAGACATCACATTCAAACAGGAAGCATGTCTCTGAGAATCAGACCAAAACAATCCAACAGGTTTTAAATCCTCCCCGAAATGGACCAGAGTGCTTATAACACACCACAAAAGGCAGGATAATCTGATAAGATTATCTTTAGAGCCTTTATGATTATCATGCTTATCCCGAAGATCGTCGGGAGGGGACGAGCAGGTAAAAAGTCAGCATGACAATCCTGCCGAGTGCACCGGGCTTAGAGACCAAGCTGTGGGCCGGGTCTTCCCCCTGGTACTTACAGTGTGAGCAGCCATAGAGCTCCAGACGAACGCCGATGCGTCCTTCCCTGTTCCAGTCCAGCGGTACGAAGCGGATGTAACGAGCCAGGATGGCGTGCTCCAGTTGATGGCGAGTGACATCCTCACTGTTAGTGTTTCCTTTAAAGCTCTGAAACATTTGGAGCACAAATGTTAAAATTCACTGCATTTATAAACAGCTTTTCTCGACATTTCTGACCACTCAGTGCTCTGCAAGTTGGCAGGCGACAGCTCATCTGTGGATGAACGTTGTCTTAGCGACGTTTGGAGACCGTCACATCCAACAGTAACCCAAGAATACACACTTTTCAACAGTATATCAATCATTTCTCTGGAATAGATTATTTGTTAAATTATCAAACACTTTATTTTAGATACAACAATGCACCTAGTTTAAAAAAGTTAGCACACACTGAACATTAAATATCAGAGAAAATTCTAAGCGTTCCACTTGATGGGCCTAAAGACTTTATTACCAAAAAACCCAGAATTTATAGTCATGACCCAGAGGGAGGAGTCATCCATCATGGAAATAAATGACTCTCAATGTCTGAATTAACGTGGTGGGAAACATGAGGCAGTACTCTGAGGGAATAACGCATAAAAAGAAAAAAATATTCAAATTTGAAAACTGCTTTGAAACGGAGATTAAAGAACGATCACATAAAGCTTCTAAAAACTCCAACAACACAGAAATAGCAGAGCTCAGAAGTAGGGTTGTCACGGTGTGAAAATGTAACCTCACGGTTATTGTGACCAAAATTTTCACGGTTTTCGGTATTACCGCGGTATTTTTTTAAACGTGTTACATTTTCAGACAATTAAATAAACCCTGTATATCAGGACAATATATTCCTCAGTTTGTGTCTAAATTTTGCCTACAATTTGTTATTTTGTAATTATGTTGTTTATTTGTTTACATTTTTCCCCTTTAGTCTTTAAAATACCAATATTTGCCCATAAATTCTTATTTTTTGTCTGTTTGATGTCATCATTTTAAAAATATTAGACCAGATGATACTCAGTACTCAAGTAGCCTTCTAATCAGATACTTTTTTACCCTTACTTGAGTAATAAACCCTACATCAGGAAAATATCGTCCTCGGTTTGTGTCCTTCCAGTGAGCTTTGCAGATGTGGGAAAATGTCATCAGGCAGTAATCGTTGTTAAATTCATAATTATTCTCGGAGAGAGACCAACTCTTATCTGCCCCTGGGAGCCCCATAATGCATAGCGTCATTTCAACATGGCGGTGTCCGCGACACGGTTTATATGCAGGTAGCGGTGCTGCGGCTGCTTTATATAGCCACTCGTTGCTTTCTCCCTCAACCCAAATCCTCGGATCACGCATTTTAGCTACAACGCTAACGTTAGCTTGCCTTGCGTTGACTGTAGAGTTGTGGGTGATGGTCACGCAGATGTGTCATGAGATTTGAAGCGTTGCTGCCTTTCACAGACACTTTTTCTGCACGTGCTGCAAACAGGATAGCCGTCCGTCTTCTATCAGCTGTCCCTCGACATTCTTCAGATATCCAAAAAATGCCCGTACTTCCCACTTTGTCTTCTTTGAGGGATAATAAATGTCCTGAGCGCTGCCGTCTCCTCCTTTGACCATTATTTCAGCTTTAGCTTCAAGAAAGTTTTGGTTGTAAACAACAAAGTGCGCATGTGCTGCTGGCAACTTCAGCAGATGATACGGTGGCTGGTAAGGGTCACCGCGCCTACACCGCAGCCACGGTAATCCACCGAGATAATACAGTATTTAAAAAACAAGACGGTTATTACTATTGTCAACATTTTTACCGGGGTTTACCGCTACACTGGTTACCGTGACAACCCTACTCAAATAACAAACTACAGTTGGAAGAAATGATGTGCAACAAAACACAATTCTTTAAACAGCAAAGGAAGCATCAAAAACGTTCTGAAGAAGCACCTTGAAGGAGACATTAACGATCCTGCATCGGTGCAGGAGCAGAACATTCCAGGCTCAACAAAACCAAACAAGTAAATAATCTACTGAGCTTCAATAAAAGTTGCTTCGAACACCTGGACCTCAGCTTGAAGAGGTGCAGATGTTTTACACATCACCCTCTCTTTGGTCTCTGTCACTTCTTCTTGGGTCTCAAAGGGAAAAGCCTAAACTTCTATCTGTACAGACACCACGAAGGGAACACTGGCGAAGAAGCATCTCCCTACTAAACGCTGGTGAAAATTCTCAGTAAGGTCATACTAGTCCAGATGATAGCAAATGGACTTCTTTGGTTTCTTGAAGATGTTTTGCTTCACATCTGAGTCTTTGTTAATTTTTATGGGAATATGGGTTCCCTCTTACAGCCTCCTGACAGATTAACAGCATTAACTAGTATAAATAATCAAAACTTCTTACCCAGATGTTCCCATCCTGCAAATAAGGTCTCCAGTTGTTCTTTGTATCACTGTAGAGCAGCCGGAACCGAGTGCTGAAGTCGGGGCTGCTGTAACGTCCCTGTGTTTCTATGGCAACTACCTGTTTCTTAGATCCCATGTCGATCTGCAACCACTGGTACTGGTCTGACTGCAGAGGGGACCAGCCTCCGGCACCTGAATCCATGGACGGTGAAGAGAGAGAACATTATATGTAGTTATCAGATGGTGTTTGGGTCTCTCCAAAAACAAATTTGATGTGGTCTGGTTCAGAGTCTGGAAGGGCAACCCCTTCAGAATCCTCAGGAGAGTTAGCCGTTTCTGCTTATTGACAATTCTCTTTCATCGAGGATGCTTTTCTAATGTCATCATATCTTTTTTGAATAAAATGAATTAGTTAAGTAAGGTGATCTGTGTAGCCATTCCATTAGTAGGCTACCCTGTCTGTAATCTGCTCAACATGTGAGGGGTGTGGTTCCATAAAAACGAGAGAGTTGAACAACACAAAGGGTATGCTAGCAATCTTCAACACTTGGCTCACTCCGACTCTGGTGAACAGAGATTGAAGAGAGATTGAAGAGAACAAGACAGGGCCAGCAGAAGATTAGGAGAGTGAGGGAAACCTCCGAGTGATACGTGGAAGACATGATATGGTTTAGGTTATGACATGTGATGCTAATGTTAATGTTTGCCTGCAATAGTGGGGAGTGAATAAGCAAAAGGTCCAGCGTTAAACACCGTTAATGTCAGTGAAGTATTATTTAGCGATATGCATGTTGTGTGTTTCTGGTGACTCTCTTGTGGTGTTAACGCAGCAAACATCAATCAGGGCTCTCTCCCTCCTGTTGCTCAGGTAAAATGTCCAGAAATTTCCTCCATTTGGTCAAAACACTTTCAGTTTTTGTGGTTTGATTCAGTCCTTGTGTTGAGGTTTTTTATTGAGCGGTAACCACTCTTTACCTTTGTGTTTATTGCTGACGGTGTTGTTTCGGTGTGCACCGGTAGCCGTGAGAGGCCATCAGTAAAAACGCTTTTTAAAACCATTTTCATTACAAGTTGCTCTAGCTTCCTCTGTATTCCTTCATCCGCCGCTAAGCACAAAAACATCTGCACCTCCTTGTTGGTTCACGGTTCAGAAGATCCTGGAAACCTGGTACCCAATATGGAATAGATGTCCAACCTGACTGATCCTATTAGAGCCAAGCAGAGTGTACTAATGTAATGTAGGCATATGTGACACAAACACTGTGAGCGGTGATCTTCATGTGACACAGAAAAACAAGGCAAAACGGTGATGTTGAACATTCTGCACCATCACTGGCTTCCTATCGGGCCCAGAACACGAAAGAGACCGCCGGCAGCAGAGAAGAAGGTGGAGCAGCCAGTAACGCAATCAGTGACTGACTGTCTTCTGAATTTGCATTTTCTCCACAACTCTACAGTTGGAACAACATATGGGCCATTCCCATCTGTACCGGGTCGGCCCGGGCCGGGTAGCGTAGGTTGTTTACATATCTGGGTGGCCTGGTATTTTTCCGGGCCAACCAAGGCTCATTCTCAGCCCTCTTCTCGAGGGGGTCTGCTTCAGGCCGACCAGGACCAACACACCCACTGCTGACAGCAAATTCACACCTTCCATTAGAGCAAGCCTCTGATTGGTGGGTAGAACCAGCCCACATGGGCTTAAGGCAAGGATGTGTGGAATCAACCGGGCCAGGCTGGGGCCGACTGGGGCTACCCGGCCCGGGCCGACCCGGTACAGATGGGAGTGGCCCAATAGACGCTGATACTGACAAAGGGGTGGCAGCCTGGTACCTGTTGTTAATGGAAATGCTGCAAAACTGCAACAAACCAATTGGAGCCGTGATGAATCCTAATGGGCCAAACGAAGTCAAGGCTTTGAGGCGTGTACCAAAACCAAAAGGGGGAATGTCGGTGAGCCTCGATTTGAAGCTTGCTTCGTTTAAGAGAAAACCGTGTTACTGGGGACAAACAAGGGCCCTTTTTTTTTTTACCTGGGTCACATGACTAGTTCATGGGTCGCTCATCAAACACAAGCAGCAAAAACCCACGGTGCTTTGTGGGTTGTTTTAGTTTGGTTCACGTGTCCGGGAGGTTTGGATAGTTAAGATTGTAGGGAAAAAGGCATTATGGTCTGTGTTTGTGAACACAAGCACAAACCTTTAGCTACATGCAAAGCAACAGCATGGCTACGCTAGGTGAGAATCAGAAATGATAGCCGAGTCCTAAAACATACAGTCCACTTATATTGTAGAGCGGTTAGACGTGGTGTTAGCTATTTATGATGACTTGGCTGTTTGTTTCAACTCCACCAGCAGATGTTGCAACATAAAACAGATTGACTGAAGCACGAGATAAAGCTTTGAGCAGAACAATGAGCTGGAAAGCCTCATTGCATCCTGAGACTTCATTTGACCATCACCAGCGCTGAGTAGGTGCAAATGGAATCACGCCTTTAGAGTCATACCTTGATTCCTGTTGAGTTTAGCATATCCAGCCCCATACTTTGAGCCATATACTGATGAGCTGGTGAAGGCGCTGTAGGGGAGAGGAGTTACCAAGGTGTCCTCGCACCTGCCTGAACCAAAAACAAAAAAGTTAAAACAATTCTTCTGTGATTTCTCAAGTTTTTTTATTTGTAATATATTTGGAACAACTTCAAAGACGCTTTTTTCACGTGGTAATTACGGGGTGTTGTGTGTTGAATTTATGTGCAAAATTAATTTAATCCATTTTGGAATGAGGCTGTAACATAAACAAAAAAGTGGAATAAGTGAAGCGCTATGAATGCTCACCGGATGCACTGTACACACACACACACACACACACACACACACACACACACATATGGACATACATGAATTTATTGAGTAAAATTTCACATATAGACCTTGGAATTTCTCAACACGCATGTTTATATTTATAGATTGCTTGAATCAGTGTACTGCTGCTGGTTTAGTTTTTCATTCTATTGTTTTTAAACCTTTTCTGCTTTTTATCTGTGATTTTTTTTACTCATTCTGCCATGACAATGCAAATTTTCCACTTGAAGGCCTAATAAAGGATGATCTTCTCTTATCTTGATACAGGTAAGGTGTGGAGGATAGAAGAGCTTCTTGAAGAAGTCTGTGAGGGCCAGAATTCTTGCTTATTTAGGTGTTAAATATTTATTTACTGCACCATTTATATAAATTATAATATATAAAAATCTTACAACGTGGTTTCCTGTATTTTTTACATTCAGTCTCTCACAGTTAAAGTGTACCTATGATGAAAATTACAGACCTCTCTCATCTTAAGCGGGACAACTTGCACAAATACTTTTTGCCCTTATGTAAGTCAATCTCCCTGCACCAACAGATAATTTAAACGACACAAATGTTGGAGCTTGTTCCTCACGGAAACATTTCACTTATTGTCGTTGGAATTAAAATAGGTGGAGCTGCTCCCTTTTCCTTGTATTAAGGCCTAATTCTATAGCAAGCACTCTCCAACTAATAGTTTCAAAGTCATTTGCTTAAACTACCGTGAGATTATTAATGCAAAGATCGTGCCAACATTAAAGGTGAAACGAACACAGCAGGTGAGTAAGACAGGACAGGAAGTGGCCCCACAGAAAGTAGTCTCTAGGCAATGAAAATGATCTTATCGAAAGTGCTCGGTGCATCATCCACGTTTAAGTGATCCATGATTCGTCCTTCGAACTCGTACATTAAACCTGGATATGGTTCGTTATTTAGGCTATCATACTTTTTATTTTATTATTATTTCTTTTTGTCAATTTAAGTTGAATTCAGGACACTTTCCATCAGATGAAATTGCCTTGAATCCAGCTGCTGAGATGATTTAGGATTACAACAAAAGTGTTTTTGATTCCATTTACACCTAAAATGGTTTTATGCGGGACAGAGCTCCAGAAAATGATCATGTCGGTGGCTTGGTCGGCCTCGGGACTTTCTTTGTGAACATCTACCGTACTAGACAAAATAAGGGCGCAACCAAAGCTTGTGCAAGGAGCTGATTCGGTCCTGCTCCGTGTGATGCTGATCTGTGGCCTCTTATCACTCTGGTTCAGGGGCAGAACCACCCGAACCTCAAAGCCCAACAACAATAAACCTCCAGATTATCACTCGTGTGTGTGTGTGTGTGTGTGTGTGTGTGTGTGTGTGTGTGTGTGTGTGTGTGTTTGCGCGCGCGCTACTTACGGATCGCTGATGCTGCGGCTCTGCAGGTGCTGATGATGCTAACGAGCAGCAGCAGTCTCGCGGTCAGAACATCCATTTCACCCTAAAATCCGCACACAGAAACCATGAGAGCCGATGAGGATGGTACTGGTTCGGTTTGGCGATGTTTTCCAGCTACACCTAAGCCAACGCTGCTGTCTTTCTTGTAGATAGAAAACGCGGCGCACATCTACTCGGCTTTTTACGGCAGCGCGCACCGTCCCTTGCGATGCATTCAGGAACAACTGGTAAAGGCCACAATTCCCGAAGAGCGTTTTAAGCTGGGGCTGAGATATGGAGCATGTAAAAGGGGCGTGTATATAAAATTGATTTGTTGGGCGGAAAACCACGTGACCAGCCAGTTTTATTCGCAGTGTGCAACCCCCCCACCCCCCCAACCCCCCCGAGCATCAAAGCTTCTGCTTTAATGTCATGCCTGACGCTTAAAACTTTATTGTTATTGTTTTTTGAATGCTTTATAATTCCGACCAGACACTGAGACAGAGGTGAAAGAGAAAGGAAGGGAAAAAAGGAGGGGGGGTCCACAAAAATAAACATTTAATGACGAACAACAGTCTGCTTCTACACTTGCAGAAAGAGAAAAACAAACAAAAAGGGGACACACAACAATACAAGATCAAGCTATCACTGCGTCAACTTGATGAGGAAATATAAAATCAACATTGTTTTAGATTCAGATTCAGATTTCAGATTTATTGGCCAAGTAAAATTACATTTACAAGGAATTTGTCTTCGGTAGATGTTCGCTCTCTAAAACATACAACAACCACAATAAATGAGAATAAAAATACCTAAAAACACATAAGAACATGTACACCCACACACATGTTCATTTACACACACACCTATATACATATATACATACACACACACGCACACACACACACACACACACACACACACACACACACACACACACACACACACACACACACACACACACACACACACACACACATATCATAAGCATACTGAATATTAAAAACTATAGTAAAAGGATGGTAAAAGAATCTACAGATTCAGGAGAGAAATAGCTGAAGGAAAGAAACTGTTCTTGTGTCTGGTAGTTTTTGTGTACAGTGATCTTGTGTTCAGTGTTTTACTGAACAATCACACGATAATAAATCACAGTGCATTTAGTGCCCACCATAGCCTTAACACCTGTGTTGAACGTGCTCAAGTCAATACTTATGAGAGCACCATGTGAGCACCTGTGTGTGTACACGCGCTTGTTTATGTAAGGTTTCTCTATAGGAGCGTCCAATAGAGAGTGTGAGGGGCCACAGATCTGCCCCCCAAAGATGTGTAGATGGAGGGAGCTCCAAGTCCCAGAGATCCAGGAGCTGCCCCAGACCGCAGGGACCCCAGGGAGACTGTAACCAGAAAAGCCCCAGCCCCCTCTCGAGAGGCGGAGGACTGCCCCGGGGGGCCACAACCAGCAGCCGGCAGAGTCCCGGGAGATAACGGTGGCAAGCCCACAGGCCCGCCTGCAGCCTCCCACCCCCAAGCCGGCTGAGCCCAGAACCCAGTGACCAGCCCCGCTGGGGATTCAACAGAGCCCAGGGACCCATATCCCACCAGGCAGCCACCGGGATCGATCAGGCAGACGCCAAAAATCTTAAACCCCCTCACTCGGGAGCCTCGAATACGCAGGCAGACCAAGGCACCACACTCCACACCAAATGTGGCAGGGGGAGGGGAGGCGAAGATGTGTAGCAGCACAAGAAGTCCCAGGAGAGGGGAGGAGTCCAAGACCCCACCTGACATGTACAGCCATACACAGACACAGTCACACACTCCCTCCCTCATGCTCACACATACACATACAACCAAAGACTTACAAAAATCAATGCTAGACACCCACTCATGCTCCCCACACACACACCATTCACTCTGGTTCTGGTACTGCTGCACAAAGTGTGACAAGCAGTGCTTAATTATTTAGTTTGTGACTTTAGTCAAGACTTAACAGAAAAGAACTGTTAAGTTTCATTGACTGGTGAAAGTATGCTGACAAACAGTTCTCATAATGGTTTAATGGATCCTATCTTCTAACAACAAATATTGTCCACAGCTATATTTATCACTCTGCTGTGGTCTGTTGGGGTGCAGACAGCTCTGACCGAGACAGGAAGAGACGGAACAACCTAAATAACAAAGCTAGCTCGTTTCTGGGCTGCCCGCTGGATTCAGCTGAGAAGATGTGGGAAAGGAGGATGATGGTGAAGATGACCTCCACCTTAAAATTCCCCTCCCACCCACTGCATTCCACTGTGGAGACCATGGACAGCTCCTTCAGAGACATGCCAGATGCAAAACAGAACACTGTCTTAGGTCATTCATCCCCTCTGCAGTAACAGTGCATAACTCCACAGTTGAACTGGTACTGGCACTATCCCATTACACAATAACATCCATACAATACTCAGTATGTGTTCAATACTTGTGAAATACCGGATTTACATAGTACGTCTGTGTCCCTTACAGTGTGCTGGAACCCAAGTTTTTAAATTTTATTTGTGGTTTTTAGCGGTCGAAGGTTTCAGCTTACTGCCTATATGTGTACATATATATTCATGTACTTTTGTTATTATTTATCTTCAAATTATTCTTTAAAGTGTTGCTGCTGCTGTACCAAGTGAGCTTCCGCACTGTGGGACCGATAGTCTGTTCCCGGCTCTGGACAGAGAATTCTGCTGTTGTGTCCTTGGGCAAGACACTTAACCCACCTTGCCTGCTGGTGGTGGTCGGAGGGACCGGTGGCGCCAGTGCTCGGCAGCCTCGCCTCTGTCAGTGCGCCCCAGGGCAGCTGTGGCTACATCGTAGCTCATCCCCACCAGTGTAAGAATGTGTGTGTGAATGGATGAATGATGCACTGTAGCGTAAAGCGCTTTGGAGTCCTTACTCTGAGAGGCGCTATACAAGTGCGGGTCATTTATCATTTCTATTCTGACAGCATACCATAAGGATGAGCCCTGGTTTGTCACATGACTATTGATGTTTCTGATGTTTCTGAAATGGTAAATGGTCTGTGTTTGATATGGCACCTTCTGGAGTCCTTCTAGAGTCCTGTTGGGTCTGCTGGTCTGTGGGGCTTCTAGTTGGTTTCACCTTAAAACACCTCTGAGGAGCAAATTTCCTTTTGAAGATTATTAAACAGACTTTTTGTGACAGCTGAACGTGTCTGTGACTCGACCGAGCTGTTGGGCTGCTCTTCCACTTTCATCTACAAAAGCAGTACACAGCTTTTTAAACGGACTGTCTAAACGAGAAGAACTGATGTTGGTGCAGCAATGATTTGAGTAACGCTTCCCATGAAGTCATGTGATCAGGCGTCTGCCCCTTTTCTCAGTTGGGTGTTTGATTGTGAGCAATTTAAATAAATAAACAAGAACAAAGTAAAAGGATCCGGCAGAACAAACGTCTCAGTCGTTCAGTGCAGGTTGCTGTTAGCTTGACTGGTTTCCAGACTGGTTTGCTTTTGCACTAAAATAATTGGATTATTGGATGTACTGTATTGTAAATAGATTGAATTGAAATAATTGATTGTGTTTTTATGAAGAAAGTCGAAGACTATTAGGAATTCCTTAGATGTTTATTCTGGTTAAAGATTTCCAGCTACCCAAAGAAACAATAAAATCATTTCCTTAATGAGATTAGAGGTTCGGGGAATGAATTTTATACAAAAACTTGACAAAAAAAACCACTTCCACTTTACACACTCACCCACACACACCCACACACACACATACACACACACATAACTCTTTAACCAGTAAAGCTTGTAGTCACTCAGAACTATTTAGTGTCGACATCTTTCCACCTCAGAGCTGCACTGGTGAGTTCATCCTGCAACTTTTTCATCCTTTCAACAAATCCTCATTATAAATTATTGATGCAGATGTAGAATTGACACAACTGAAGGGTATGATTGTATCTCACTCATCTCTGACGCCTTTTTATTCAGAGGATTTTGCTCCCTGATTTGGATCTTTTCTGTATTTAATTAAACGAAGGCTAAACTGTATTATTGAAAGACAGCTGAGCAAAACTGTGTCACAATAAAAAAAAAAACTCCAATAATAAAAACGTTTTCTGGAAAACTTGGCCTCGGTACAGAAAATGTATGAATCATTTAAACATTTAAATCAGCACCAAACTAATTTAAACATCTGTCCAGTTATCCTCGCGGATCTCATCATCAGTCATTACCGCTGGTTTAACATGTTTTATTCAGTAACGTTCTCAGTGAGGCGTCGTTGTAAACAGCAGAGGAGGTAGAGCAGGTTGACCAGCAATCAGAGGGTTGTGGGTTCAATCCCGGCTTGCGGCAGAGAATGCTGCTGTTGTGTCCTTAAGCAAGACCTTCTTGCCTGCTGGTGGTGGTTGGGGAGACCGGCGGCACTTGTGTTTGACAGTCTCGCCTCAGTCGGTGCGTCCCAGGAAAGCTGTGGCTACGCTGCAGCTCACCATCGCCATTGTGTGAATGGGTGAATGACTGTGCTGTAAAGTGCCTTGGGGGGTTGTAGAACCCTAGAAGACGTTAGACAGTTAGGCAGATGGATAAGGAGGCATTTCTGGGAGCAAGGATGACACATTTGTTACAAAAGATGGGGCTTGTGAAACGCTTCATCAACACTTTCTGTTCCCATTTTGGAGACAAAAACAGCTTTATGTGGCAGATTCTTCATGAATCATGAGGGTGACAGGGAACAAGCACTGAGATACAGCAGCTTAAAAACCACTAAACTAATTCGTTACTTAAGAGCTCACAACAAACAGAAAATGTGCGGCCTGAGCTGCCTCGACATCAACAGATAACTCCCATCAGCAATAGTTATGTAGATGTTCAACAACACATGTAGAACATAATCTGGGTTCTCTGTGGCGACGTGTGCACCCTGACCCAGGATGCACTGCAGCATGAGGCCGGCTGAGTGTTTGGGTCTTTATGCAGGTGAGGATCCGACAGAGCAGGGGTTGGTGGGCAGGTAGAGACTTCCAAACAAAGGGAAGGACATCTTCAAGTCCAACAAAACATTTTCTGTTAATGAAACGTGAAGCGTGTACGGACAGAGAAGCAGTGGGCTCCTGAGATAATCTACGTCAAAAAAAAGAAAAATTAACAGGAAAACTTGTGTTTGTCAGGAAGGAATAAAACGGGTGAAGCTGTGACTACAGCTGTTTTGGTCTAAGGCTACAGAGAGAGCTAAAAACACCAATTCAGCACTTTCTCAATTCAATATTTTAAGGAAGGTCACTACAGCTCACCAAAAATACGTTGGCGACCACAATGAGTGTGAAAAAGGAAGAGGAGCAGAAGCTGGGTGGTACTGGAGCTTCTGTAGGATGGAAGGCAAGTGAGATGATGTCTCAGCCTGATGGGCTGAGAGGAGATGAGAAGTGTGTCACAGACTCAGGACAAGGAGATCTAAAAAGGAACGACAGACAAGCGAGCAGGTTTCAGCTCCTTCACATTAAGCCACGATTCTGTTAGGAACATACAATCTGAATGGGTGTTGTGTCTTCCTCTGCAGGACTGTCTTCAGCCATGGAGGATGACGATGACTATCAGTACTGGCTCTTCCAGAAGCTGTTGAATGAAACAGAAAACACCACAGACCCGAGCTATGTGGTTAGTAAAACTGTCCAGCTCTGTGAGAAAAACACCGTCAATCAGTTCGGTGCCACAGTCATCCCAGCGTTCTACTGTGTCAGCTTCATTCTGAGCTCCATAGGTAACGGGCTGGTCCTCCTCATCATCTACAAGTTCGAGAAGCTCAACACCGTGACCAACATCTTCCTGCTCAACCTGGTCCTCTCCAACATCCTGTTTGCCTCCAGCATGCCATTCTGGGCCGTCTACCACATGTCCGAGTGGATCTTTGGCACAGCTCTGTGCAAAATTGTCAGTAGTGCCTACTTCATCGGTTTCTATAGCTCCATCCTCTTCCTCACTCTCATGACGTTTGACCGGTACTTAGCAGTGGTGCACGCGGTGGCAGCTGCCAAGAGCAGGAAGAAGGTGTATGCCATCATTTCTTCCGTGGTGGTTTGGTGCCTTAGTATCGCAGCAAGTGTGAAGGAGCTGGTTCTTCGGAACGTGTGGAAGAACACGCTACACGGACTGATGTGTGAGGAGTCGGGATTGCCCGCTAGCACCATGGAGCAGTGGCGCCTGTTCAGCTACTATCAGCAGTTCCTGCTCTTCTTCCTCCTCCCTCTGATAATGGTGATGTATTGCTACATCAGCATCACACTGCGCATCCTCAACACGCGCATGAAGGGGAAGTGCCGCGCCATCAAGCTGATTTTTGTTATCATCTTGACCTTCTTTGGCTGCTGGACTCCCTACAACGTGGTCAGCCTCCTTCGAGTGATTCAGATTTCTCAAAGTCGCAGGGAAGAGGGTTTGTGTTCTGATTCGGACGGCTTAGACTTCGCCTTTTACGTGACCAGGAACGTCGCTTACTTGTATTGCTGCATTAGCCCGGTGTTCTACACGTTTCTAGGGAAGAAGTTCCAGAGTCATTTGAAAAGGCTTTTGGGTAAAAATGTCCCCTGTCTGAAGGGACAAGTGAGCCTGAACAGCCACAGCACCAGAACCATGTCACAGCGGAGCCCACATTCAGTTTACGAATAAAGAACCGAGCCTGCTGGACTCCTGATTATAGTAAACATCAGTCTAATCACAATTAGCTGTACTTAGGCCCTGTCCACACGTAGCCGGGGATCTGCCAAAACGTAGATATTTTTCTACGTTTTGGCCTGTCATCCACACGAAAACGGAGTTTTTTCACACGAAAACGGATCTTTTTAAAAACTCCGGCCAAAGTGAAGATCTGCGTTTTCTCCGTTTTGGGTGTCTGCGTGTGGACAGACAAAACCGGACTTTTAAGGTCCGCAACGTCACTTTCCGCGACAAAAAATGCTGACATCACGTGTGCGACCTGTGTTTACACTAGCCGACAGCATGGAAGCCCTCAGAGCTGCGCTCGCTTTATCAATTGTCCAAGCGCTTTTTGCTTGTTTGTTTATGCAAGCGGAATTACTGCTCCTTGCGGAAGACCACAGACGAAGGACGAGGTTAAGAACGGGGGAAGTACTGCCGCCTACAGGTCTGGCATGTCCTTAACAACGTATTTATCCAGGTACGTGTGGACAGAGTTTTGTTTTAAAACGAGGTGGTGTGGATGGATGCAAGTTTTTGGAGGGGCGGATATTCGTTTTCAAAAACCCCGGCTACGTGTGGACTAGGCCTTAATCAGCTTTGATTCATTTCAAAAGCCTTAAATCCTGAAGTAATTGTCCCAGATCCTTCTGCTGTAGCCATCCTGGAGCCTCTGATCAACTGTGTATGACATCATCAATCCAGTCATTTACCCTGATGTGTTCAACTGTGTCTGGATTTAATCAATGTGTACTTTTTATGATTTATTATGAAAGAAGAAAATGTTCTTTAACATGTAAAATTTAAATATATGGATGCTTTGAAAGCTTTTTTTAAAATCCTGTCATAGAAAAGTTTCTCAATTTAAACATTTCAATAAAATGTAGAATGGCAGTAATCATCTGAGCGGCTGATTTGTGTTTGAACATTAAAAATGATTTTCACGTTCACCGAACATCTGGAGGGGTTTCCTGCCCGTTTTTTTAATCTTATAGCTTATTCCAAAACGGTGCTGTTCAGTAAATTCACGTTCACCAATTAAAAAAAAGCTGTGGACCCCAGGCGTTTTGGTCAGAGGGAGCGGTGGCGCCTCACCTCATACCCCAGAGCTCATCCCCACCAGGGTGTGAGCGTGCGTGCACGAGTGGCTGTGTTGCAAAGCCCCTTCGACTCTACAAGGCGTTGCTTTGACTTTAGTGTAAGAACACGTCACTCGGCTTGTTTCCACTGTTAGACTAATCCAGAAATATTTTTTTTTATTAAACAAATATTAAGTTTACGTTGCGTTGTCCTTTAAAAACTCACCACTGCCGTATGTATGAACGCTTCTCCTTAAAAGCTAGCCTGTCATTTCTTTCCAGTGTTGGGCAAGTTACTTCAAAACTGTAATGCATTATTTATTACTTGTTACCCTCATTTTAAAGTAATTAATTACTTACAATATTACTGATTATAAAATGTAAGGCATTACACTACTTTTGCATTACTTTAAGTTACTTTCACCAAAACAACTTCAATATGAATCTGGTAATCTGACGCTCAGTGAGCTCATGACATATATGTGGAAGGTGATGTGGTGCCTGAGCTAGGATTGCTGTTAAAAACAGTCATATATGCTTTAAAATGATTGTTTATTAAATAAAAGCAACAACAATCTGTACTCTCAGCACGCTGCCATCTTATATTAACTGAGCAGGGAGTGAGGTGGTGGGGGCTCCAAGCCTATATTTGCCTTGGTCCCCAAATGCCTTGATACGGCCCTGGATGTGGGACTGACTTCTGGGGTGATCTGATTCTTTCACAAGTATAAATATTAAATGCTTATATACTATTGCTTTTCACTGGTAAAAATGTGTATTGGGGATAAATCTACCTACTTTTTTTTCTTTTCAAGCACTTTTTGTTTTCTTGATTTTATTTGAATAATTTCCTGCCCTGTCTCTCTCTAACCTTCCTGCATGCTGCATGTTTTCTCCGTCTTCCAGAAAAACTGTTTCCTAGATTTCCTACTTTCTAACTAATCAGCCAAAGGGATCTACTGAACGCAAGCTTAATATGTGCTGCGCTCCAGCAGCAATGAGTTGAAATCACCGGGGCACAGATTACGAACTCAGCTGAAAAGTACATGAAGTACCAGAGAATATGGGCTGATAGAAACGATCGCAAACGAATGACTTTGTTTTGGTGGAGCGATTTTGTGAATATAACAGCGGCCGCGCGCAGGACGCAGCTGGAGTATTCGAGCCGTTACCGCTGCGTCATCTCTGCTCATAGAATGCCCGCAAAGCTGAGTCCATAAATGACGTCATATATGTGGATACTGGATCTTTTTTCAGGCTTCCTGCAATTAGAATTTTTAGAAAACCCACATCTTGATTCTGGGTTTAAAAATGCGTTGTAATTACCGCGTTACTGACAATTGTACCGAGTAAATATTACCAGTTTCTTTCCCTGTAATGCCTTACATTACCACATTACAGCAAAAAGCAATGCATTACAGTAAATATTTACTTTTGTACCGCGTTACAACACTGCTTATTTCTGATTTTCCATCCTGTATGAAAAGATAGAGCCCTTCATATTTCTGTCTCGTACTTGACTCACTGACCAGCTTTCTTTGTTGACTCCTCTGGACTGGAATAAGCAGATTTAAGGTCGATTTCATCCTTTTGCTTATTTAGTGATCCATTTATGATTATGTTATGCAGACTTGGAATTGCTTCAACTCCACTGCTCAACAGCATGAACGTTCCTTAGGTATTAGCAATGCCATTTTGCAATACTTGCTTGTGTGTATGTGTGTGTTGATAGGCTATATATATGGATCTATGTTTTATACACACCACAAAATGTATATTTTTTTGCTTTTTAGTTTGTGATTAGTGTTTTAGATTTGTCATTTTCTTTATACTGTTATTGGTTGTAATGTAGGAAAACAAGATGGCTCATCTCAAGCGGTTTTATATTCTCCAGTTAATAAACATGAAAAACAGGCCATTTACCTTTTTTTTCCCTCTCAACACACCCATGTTCCAAACGGGGCCCAGTGGACCCCAGGTGTTTTCTTTAATTGTTGAGCAAGCACCACCTGACCACAGTCACGTGGACCCCAAGGGATAAATCATCAATCTTGCTCTTTATGTTTACAGGCAGATCTTGAGGAGTTACTTGAAGAAAATGTGAACTCATCGCTATAATAAACATTCTGTCATTTCTGGCAACAAACCATTTTCAGCTTCTTTTAGAGAAGAACCTGAAAAACGTCGCGAGGTTGTAATAAATCTTGTCGCATTTTATTACACTAGACTGACTTTGTCCGTTGGCTCTACTGGGGTTATCTTATAAGTTAATTATTAGGCTGTCTTATTGTAACGCCTGCAGGTCAGCCCCCACGATGTTACATGAAGTGAATCTGACTAACCAGCATTAATGTGGGCAATGAAGCACAGAATCGGATCGCTTCAAAAATAGATAATTAAAAATGGGAACCACCAGTAAAAACACATTTCTCTTTATGGCTTATATAGTTGTCATCATCAACGTAACGTGATCTACAGAATACATGTGACCAACTAACATTTCATGTTCTACCACCAGATGTTTGGATCAAAATATGAACCAATCAGATCTTAGATCAGGCGTCCTGGAGGGGTCGCCCAGCTGCCTGGTTAAAACTGCACAGACTTAAACCAGGGCCTGGTGATAAGGACAAGTTGGACTAACTCTGTAGTCCAGATTTTACCTCATTAACTGAAGATAAACTGAATAAAAGCCTTTAATGGTCTAAGAAGTAAAAAAGCAATCACATCTTAATGATAAATGTTAGTAACAAATACACTAGAGACAAAATAAATCAACTACAGTAGAAGCCTTTAGTCACGAGACACAATCAGGTTCCCAAAGTAAGCAGTCACAGTCTTCAGCTTGTTGTTCAGAAGGTTCTGCTCCACCTCCACCCTCCCCCCTGGACCTGCCAGAGATGCTATCTGGAATAAAGAGGAAAACGGGACAACTCATGAGTGATCAAACACAGCGGCATCTTCTGTTTCTGCTGCTCTACAAGAGGTCTCTGTCTACTGCAGCATCTTCAGGAGGACCTGTGAACAAACTGTTCGCTAACATGTTCTCATATGTTGTAATAAGACCTATCAATGTCACTGTAAAACGTACAGATGGTGCAAAAGTTCAGTTAAAAGGTGAAACTAATACAGCACATAATAACTGTGACGATTGTGGGTTACAGCTGATGAAAACCCCACATTCACAATCTCAGATAGAACCCTAACCCTAGAATATAGTGAAAATGTTCAATATTCTAGACTCAAAGAGTCAAATCAGCTGATGAATCCAGAACACCTGCAGAGGGTTCCTGAGCCCTTCGACTGGACTACACAAGAGCACTTTTGCAGCATCATGTTTTCAGTTGCAGCTGTAAGTAAATCCTCTCTCTGCTCCCATTGGCTGTTCATTCATCTGATAGAAGACTGAACAGAGTCTCAGAGCCCACCAGGCTGCTGAACTCCTCTTCCAACCCTTTAACTTATAAATGAATAACTGCGTCAACCGGGGGTGGGGGGGCAGAAATGTAGCTAGCTTTGTCACTAGGCGTTAGGAACAGCGACAAAGTGGCACTGCCTCTCTCTCTGCTGCTAAAGCTACGGATAGCAAATGCTACGGGCGATGCCTGAGCGTGAACGCGCATGAAGCAGCCTGCTCGACCCGAGCATCTCTCTTTTTCTGTGATTTTACAGAAAAACAGGCAATCACAGTAAAAATGCCAGGGCTCATTCTACAGGACCAGGGCATTGCAGGAGAATGTATGAAGAAGACATTTATTATTTCTATACATGTTTTGGCTGTCAACCTTCCATAATGTCCCTTTAAAACTACACTAAAACAGTTTAGACGGAAAATGAAGCCATTTTAAATATTAATGAATTAAGATACAATAATACATTGTTTATTAGAGCATCTGGCCCTTGAACACATTTTGTAGGAACGCTGCCCTAGAGGATGAGGGGGGGAACTGCAACATTTTTTCACTTCCATGTTGGTTCCACCTCTGGTGGGCGGAGTTTGACCCTCGGCATTAACACACAGACACAATACTGACCTGATCCACGTTTGCGTTGCGAGGCAGGAAGTAGACGATGTTGTCTGAAATCTGCTTGGCCTGGTTGAAAATCTTAAATGTGCCATTGGTTAAGGATTAAAACAAAACATCTGAGGATTTTGGCTGCTGAAAAAACATATTTTGAGGATAACACTGGAGACATCAGTGGTTTTGATTAGGCCATAGTAAATAATGGATCCTGTCTGAAGCAGAGATGTTCCGCTGCCATTCCGCGCCGCTGATGGCTCCAGTGTGGATTAGGGGCCAGAATTCTCTGACGCTTCCATCAGTTTACAACCAAACCAGCCAATTAAACAAGGCAACCTTATGGGCCATTCCCATCTGTACCGGGTCGGCCCGGGCCGGGTAGCGTAGGTTGTTTACATATCTGGGTGGCCTGGTATTTTTCCGGGCCAACCAAGGCTCATTCTCAGCCCTCTTCTCGAGGGGGTCTGCTTCAGGCCGACCAGGACCAACACACCCACTGCTGACAGCAAATTCACACCTTCCATTAGAGCAAGCCTCTGATTGGTGGGTAGAATCAGCCCACATGGGCTTAAGGCAAGGATGTGTGGAATCAACCGGGCCAGGCTGGGGCCGACTGGGGCTACCCGGCCCGGGCCGACCCGGTACAGATGGGAATGGCCCATTAGAGACGTCTCACGTAAAAGGATATCCATCTGGCTCCATCATGGTTCTAATGTCAAACACCTCAGAAGTCAGGTAGTCTGGTCCTCCCCATGGTGGTGACAGAAAGACCACATCACCACGGAGACCAGGCGCCAGCTGAAGAAAGTCTCCTTGCAGGAAGTCAATGCGGTCAGAGACACGGTAAACTGCAGCGTTGTGCCGAGCCAAGTCCAGTCGAACCGGGTCTATATCAACAGCCAGCACTGAAAGTACCAAAGCAGAACCAACATGAGGACCAACAGGAAAACAGCGGTGGACCTCTGGACAGCCAGAGTTTAACCTGCTGCAGGTGTTTGAAGCAAAGCTGCTTCTGCTGTAACCCATGTAGCGTTAGGAAGTTTATAATGGTCTGCCCTTAACAGCTGCCCCTTCACACAGTAACACCGCCAAGGTCGGACGCTTGTTTCAGTATGTTTACATTCCAGGAGAAGAGACAGAAGAACAGAAGAACGCTTTTCATTGATTAATCAAAGTACTTTATTTGTGATAAGCTAATCAAAGCATTTGTTGATCATTAATAATCAGGTGAATGATTTGTGAAATAAAGATGTCATGAATTATGTGTTTAAATGAATAAACAGGGCTGCACCAGACAGACTGATATGCATTACCATGGAAACGCACGACACATTATTCTCAACCAATCAGAACTTTCGTCTGTCGTAGAGAGAATCTGGGATGTTTACTTAATGAGTCCAATCCGGTTTACTAAGATTCATAAACAACTGGGAAATATAAAAAGAAGGCAACGCCATTTTAAGTTCTGTTCCACGTTGAGTTCCACGTTGACATCAGCTCTGTTCGATCCGAGCTCCAAGGAGTTACATCATACTCTCAACATTGTTTTCAACCAGCTCTCAATCATCACCGCAAAGAGGAATACAGGCTGGCCATCTGTATTTCCTGTTTTAAGCTGAGATCTGTCAAGCTGGAGACTTCCGTCGTTTGTACCAACGAGACAACCGTCCTTCAAAATAAGAGTGAACTTGCTGACGCCTGCCCACTACTACTGGAGTTATCCTCAGACGGGCGTTGTGTGTTGTGACCGCTGTTTCACCAGCTCCAGTACAACCGAGGGTCCCAGGACCTGGCAATTCCTGATCTACACGGGAGACTCCATCTACGGTACGTGGCAATATGGCGGCTCATGTCATCAGCTTCTGAAGCCTCGTGGTAGCCTAGTCATTACAAACCAGATTCGCTACGTCAGCCTAGAGATTCTGAACAAAACACACACACACACACACCAACACGAAACATCTAAATCCATATGCATTCATCATTGAGATAGTCCTGGTAGATTGTAAGAATTTATAATTATAGAAATTAAAGATTCTTAAACGATCCCAACTCTCTCTTTTCTTGTCTCTCAATCAATACAGAGTGTTAAGTAAACTCCCTGATGATAAAAACAACCACTTCTGATTGATTACTTAGTTTATATAAATATACAACTTCAAATCACAACACCCACAACACACACGTAGAGGTGTGTGTGTTACGGGTGTGAGGCAGAACATAGAAGTATAAGAGGTTAGTGAGGAGTTGTGCTCTTATCCAGTCTTTCATCTTTATCTTCTGCTGCTTCTGAATTTTAGGACTGTTTTTATTTTGTCTTTGATCTGAAGTAAATAATTATGAGTGGGCGGGCAACTCCCTTCCCGAGGGCCGGCATGCAGCGTGTTTTAGCCCTTTCCCTGCTCTAACACACTCGATTCACCAGTTCAGAAGTTCGTCAAGCTCCACAGAAGCCTGCTAATCATCTGCTGATTAATATCTGCTGATTAATATCTGGTGTGTTGGAGCAGGGAAAGAGCTAAAACATGCTGCATAGCGGCCTCGGGGATAGAGTTGTCCACTGTTTAACCCTGCTGTATCTGATGACAGGAATCATAAAGGAGGACATAATGTTATCCATCCTGCATTCAGCAGCTCCTGTGATACTTTTAGTTGACGCTAACCTCTTACTGACAGCTGATCAGAGAACAGCCCCAGTGAAACAGTCTTTAGCTGAGTTCTTGATTAAAATAGATGAATCTTAAAAACAGGTCTCAGTGTGTTAAATCAGATGGGACTTTGTTCTGATTTTGCCACAGTCCACAAGGGGGTGCCACAGGGCTCTGTGTTGGGCCCTCTTATTTATCATTTACATTAATAATCTTGGTCTAAATGTGACAGATGCAAACCTGCACATTTATGCCGATGATAGTTATTTACAGCTGTGGAAACACTCTTACTCAAACCATGGATTCAGTACAGAAAGCTTTTGTTGCTGTCCAATGTTCATTACTTCAGCTTAAACTTGTTCTCAGTGCAGACAAAACCAAGCTCATGTTGTTTACAAACTCGAGGAGACAGGCTCAAGTGGTTCCTTCAGTGACCACTCTTGATGGTGAAGAAATATCGTTGGTTCACTCGTATAAATATCTGGGTTTCTTGATTGATGACTCACTCACCTTCAAACCTCATGTGGAGAATCTGGTGAAGAAGCTGAAGTTAAGACTGCGTTTTTATTTTCAAAATAAGTTATGTTTCTCTTTTAATGCAAAGATGCGTCTAGAATATTTACTAAGCTATCACGGTGTAACCATGGACACATTGCTTGGTGTGTGTGTGTGTCTGCTCTGTCTTCTCGATCCCCAGTGAGTCGTGGAGGATGGCTGCTTATACTGAGCCAGGATCCTCTGGAGGTTTCTTCCTGTTAAAAGGGAGTTTTCCTCTCCACTGTCGCTATATGCTTGCTTAGTATGACAATTGCTGTAAAGTCACTGACACTAGTCAGTGACTTGATGCAATTTGCTGGGTTCCTTATATAGGAAACATTATTTCTGATTGGCTTAATGAACTGACCTGAATTGGACATCTTAGGTGTGTTCTTGCTGTGTCTTTGTAAATCCATGCTTTCGTTCTTTTTTAAACACAGAAACAGTTTTGTTTACCCGTTTGTAGCTACGGTTTCGCCGACAGCTGCCGGCTTCTTCAGGCTGACGCTGATGGTGGCGCGTCACTTCCTTCTCCGTTTATCTGCCTGAAGAAGCCGGCAGCTGTCAGCGAAACCGTAGCTACAAACAGGTAAACAAAACTGTTTCTGTGTTTAAAAAAGAACGAAAGCATGACCTGAATTGGAATGTTTATTACGTGAAGTGCCTTGAGACGACTCTTGTCGTGATTTGGAGCTATGTAAATAAATTGAATTGAATTGTTTTCATACAAGTTTACATTGTAAATTTTGTCTTGTATATTTGTGTGATGTTTGCTGCAGGACTCCCTTGAAAAAGAGGTTTTAAATCTCAATGGGACTTTTTTCCTGGGTAAATAAAGGTTAAATAAATAAATTAAAATAAAATGAAGGTGCCAAAACCAGCATTCAGCATAGAACTGATCTTATATTCTATAGTGGGTGAATTTAAACTGCATTGACTTGAAACCATTAGTGCTACACCAAAACGGTGCTTCAAAACCGTGACTGACGACATTTTTGATGTCCCTTCTCTGAGTCGCTAACAAAGTCCAAACATTCAAAAGTTTCCGCCCTAGTGAGACTGTGAAGTCAAGAGTAGGTGCCGTGCTTACCCCTCTTTCCAGTGAGTGCAAACTGGATGGCGTTTCCTCCGACACCACAGAAGGCATCGATTACAAGCTGGCAGTCAGAAAAGCTCTGCTCCACTCTGAGGGCAATGTGCTCAGCAATCCTCTCTGGTGTCACAGAGAACCACCCTTCTGAAACACAGCAAGAGGAATGAAAACCAACACAAGTTCTCACAAGAATCAGGTTCAGACATCATTTAACACTAGAGAAGAACAAAAAGGTTGCACCCCGCCCCGAAGTCCCAGGAGTTACCCTAGGTCTCTTCTCAAGGATGGAAAACAGACTTTTTCACTCAGTTTCTGGTTGGTAACAAGAAGGCACCTGTGCTTTGTTCAGCTGCAGTTATCAGCCACCCTTACAAACGCTGACTCATTTTCTCTTTACTTTCTTACTTCTATCTGCGGTCTGGCTACCATACCGTACAATCGCCAGACTCTTATTCATCTGTAATCAGTCAAGTCATTTCTTTGCTTTTTGTTCCATTTAGTTTACCCCAGCTGGGTGTTGAACCAGAGCCGAGTGCGGGATCTGAGCAAAGTAACCCCAACTATGATGCTGTTGAGGCGTGGTTTGGCTACTAAGCATCAGCGTGATCTCCTTGCTCTTTTTTCTCTTCCACATTTCCACCGAGCTGCGTAGCATGTGGTTTTCTCCATCCATGCAACCTCAGGTGTGTTTATCCATATTCTTCAGTGGTTTGTCTACCTGTCCCTACATGATTTCCAACCGGAAGTTTAATCTACGTCATCCAAACATCTTCTGCTTGGATGAAAAGACTATCCAGGATCAGGCCTCTGCTATCCAGAGCTCATCTGGAGTCTGTGTTGCATGCTTTCGTCCTGTCCCAGCTGGACTACTGTAACGCTCTGTATGCTGGTCTGGCCCAGTGCACGGTTGCACGGCTCCAGTTTGTGCAGAACTCTGTGGCTAGGTTCCTGACAGGCACTAGATGTCGAGAGCACATTACCCCAGTGCTGGATGATCTGCACTGGCTCCCGGTAAAATATCGAGCTCAGTTTAAAATCTTAACTCTCGTTTATAAGGCCCTCCAGGGCAGTGCCCCCTCGTACATTACTGCGCTTTTGAACAGGTATGCTCCATCTCGGTCTCTTCGCTCAGCCGAGCAGGAACTTCTGGTGGTCCCCCGGTCAAAATTTCGATCGAGGGGTTGTCGTGCTTTTTCTATTTTGGCTCCAACTCTGTGGAACGAATTGCCACTGAGCATTCGGCAGGCACCGTCCCTTCAAGTCTTTAAGTCTCGTTTAAAGACTCGTTTTTATCTGATTGCGTTTTAGCGCTAGGGTCATTTGAATTTGCCCTAACATTATGGTTTTAACTATTCTTCTTTTTAACCCAAATGCTTGATTTTATTTTGTCCGACATTTGTTTTTTTATCGATTAGTCTTATTCCGATATCTCTTATCTGTAATAGTGTTTGCTTGATATTTTAAGATTTCATGTTTTTATCCTGCTTTTATGCCCATGTACTGGGAATTTTTTTCTTTTAATGATGTTGTTCAGCACCTTGGGCTTCCGATAATGTTGTAGAAGGTGCTATACAAATAAAATTTGATTGATTGATTGATTGATGATCCTATTATGGTATCTGACTGAACAGCTCACTTTCCTTTGATATCCAAATCAATACTCAAATTTCAAAAGTCAAATCGAAGATTGGCTTCCTGTACCACAACAGATCATTTACTCATTCTGCAAAGCACACCCTGGTCAAAATGACAGTCCTCCCCATTTTAGATTACGTATACATAATCTATAGTACTGGCTCTAAAGAACATCTCCATAAACTTCTTCCCTCTGCAATCTGTTTAGTCACTGATGCCCCTTCAACTCCCATCACTATGAACCGTACTCTTTGGTCAACTGGTTATCACTCCGTTCCTGCAGCGTGTCACCAGTTCAGGAAGGGGTCGGTTCACAATAAAACTATCACTAGCAAAACTCCTTCACACTCACGTCTCAACATCTCCAACAACTGTAGTACTTTAAGCTCTAGTATCATAATCTCCATTATATTCCCAAAGCCCGCACCACCTTTGGTTGTTCCTTATTTCAGTTTGCTGCTCAAAATGATCTGCAAGAAATCATTAAAACATAGTTTCAACAACTCAGTACAATCCTTTCTGATGAGTGTATCTGCTACCGACTGCCTTCGGACCGTCCTAATCACCCTGAGTATTGTGTGCGACAATGGTCTTCCAAAAATTGTTTAGAGACACAAAATATTTTGCAGGAAATGCTCAATAAAACTAACATATAAAAACATAAAAATCTGCTTCAGCTGGGTGAATAAATTACTGCTGACACCGCCGGGATTCCAACCCACATCATCACACGGAAAAACTGTGATGGCAGGCAGACACCTTTACCACTGGACCACCGTAGCCAATACAGTAACCAACGTGACTAAGAAGCTGTTGTAGGCACGTTATGTTGGAGCAGCCGTGGGCAGAGTTTGACTGAAACTAAGCATTTTATTTACGGGAATAACTTCAGACTGACAAAAATAACTCGTATTTAAGATAAACGACATCTCGATAATAGTTTATCATACACTGCGCCTACTTTTGTTCTCAAATGTTTAAAATGGCATGACCTGGAGCCTTCGAAAAATATGAAAAGCTTACTTGGTTCCCTTTAAGTTGGCAGAGAGCAAACCATGACTGGAACAGTACAGAAGGTTTAAGTCATTTACTTCTGCAGAGAGCAGAAGCAGGTTATTGATCGTGACATTGCTACTTCTCTCACCATCACTACTAACCCACTGGTACATCGCCATTGTTACATCTCTTTTCTTCATTGTTACATCTTTATCTCAGTCGCTGCGTTTCTATCTCCATCACCACACTCCCCTCTACCTCTACGCCTCTATTTCTACATTCCAATGGCTACATCTTTATCAACATCGTTAGATCTCTATAGTTTCTACATTTCTATCACTACCTCCCTTCCCCTTGTAAAGGAATGAAATGACTGTTTTTTCCCCCTCTGCACAGGACTACTCTGCATGAGATATGGTCTCAAGGTCTCATGCATTCCTTCTAACCTGCTTATTTTCAGCTCAACAGAAGAATGAAGAATGAACTCTTTTCTTTTAATTAATCAAAGAACTATTTTAATAAAGCTAATCCATCGAAGTGTTAGTCAATAAATAAGATGTGACCGATCTGTGAAATCAAAATATTAATTACTTTATTATAATCCTATAGAATATAAAGGTACTATGACTTTAAATGTTCCAACAGGACTCAGTTCACGTAGCGTTAAAAGACATAACACATTACTTTCACTGAGCCAAAACCACGCCTCCGTCAGATCTGTAAGATTCTGATTGGCTCAGTGAAAGTAATGTGTTATGTCTTTTAACGCTACGTGAACTGAGTCCTGTTGGAACATTTAAAGTCATAGTACCTTTATATTCTATAGGATTATAATAAAGTAATTAATATTTTGATTTCACAGATCGGTCACATCTTATTTATTGACTAACACTTTGATGGATTAGCTTTATTAAAATAGAGTTCTTTGATTAATTAAAAGAAAAGAGTTCATTCTTCGTTCTTCTGTTGAGCTGAAAATAAGCAGGCTAGAAGGAATGCATGAGACCCTGAGACCATATCTCATGCAGAGTAGTCCTGTGCGGGGCGGGGTGCAGTCATTTAATTCCTTTACACCCTGCATCTCTTTATATCGCCACCTCTCTACCCACCTATCTATCCCTACACCTCTATCCTTCTACCTACCAGTAAACGCAGTGAGAGTAAAAGTCAAGACTAACCTCGGTCCAGTTTGATTCCTTCATCAAAGCGAGAGAAAAGCCGGTAGCGCTGAGCCCAGTATTTAGCCAGCTCAGTATCTGCTGCCATCTCTTCTGGTAGTTGCTGTGTCTTTTTCTGCTTCTTTTTCTTCTGCCGCTTCCTGAATTTCACATTCAGCCCTATTCAAACATGAAGATCTGTAATCAGATTACAGCTATTTCCACACCAGGAGGGTTTGGGTTTCCATCCCAGGTGCTGTTACCTTCATGTGTGTCTGGCGGGACAGAGTCTGGTGTTCCTGCAGCTGATAATTGCTCCTGCTGCTTTTTCTCCGTTACATCTTCCACTGGTGCCGTGGTGAAGTTAAAAGTGTGCTCAGTTGTGGATTCAGGATCAGAACTCTGTCCTTCCACAGTCCTTTGCTTTTGAGTGTGAATTATCTCCATGTCTTGTTGCTCTTCTGTCGGACATTGGGGCTTTATATCACGTGCGTCTCCCCCTCCCTCCCTTATTGGATCCATCTCTGCGTCCTGCTGCACCTTCTTCAGGAAATCTTGGACCTGGAAAACAAAATCTTTGTCCTTTAGACAACATTGATATAAATAAAGGTCCAATATTTATTTCAATTTCTTGTTAAGGTAAATCCATCAGGATGATTTCATTCTCTACTGTTTGACCTTTGAACCATTGACCTTTGTCGCACTGCTCTCGCTGCTTTTCTGAAACGACACGTCCGCTAACTAACAGCTCAATGATAAACAAACTGAAGGAAGTGAGCAAGATGAAAACCCTTCATCGCTTTATGATTTTAAGCACTAAATAGAGAGGAACAAAAAGACCAAATGGATCTCTATCAAGAGAAACTCAGCAAAGATCCCAGGAATAGCTATTTTGCTAAGTTGGCAACTGTTATGGTTGCTGCCTCTTTGCCCCAGGAGTGGGGTTTCAGGACCACGGTCAGCGCCATCTCCGGCTCCCGTAGAGTTCTCCCTGAGGACCGAGGCACACCAGATTTAAAGGGGCATTATGGAAGTTTGACAGCCAAAACATGTATAGAAATAATAAATTTATTCCTGCAATGCCCTGGTCCTGTAGAATGAGCCCTGGCATTTTTACTGTGATTACCTGTTTTTCTGTAAAATCACAGAAAAAGAGAGATGCTCGGGTCGAGCAGGCTGCTTCATGCGCGTTCACGCTCAGGCATAGCCCGTAGCATTTGCTATCCGTAGCTTTAGCATCAGAGAGAGAGGCAGTGCCACTTTGTCGCTGTTCCTAACGCCTAGTGACAAAGCTAGCTACATTTCTGAGGACCCTTAGCTACTTTCTGTAGAACTTTCTTCTAGATATTTCCTGCAAATTAGCAACAAAATAGCCATTTTTGCTCTGAACCGTTCTTTGGTTTGACGTTGTTTCAGCTGTCATCAAGGATGTAAATGTTACAGATACAAAGGATGTCGCTGGCGCTTTAGCTCACCTAGTAAGATGTTGGACTCTCATGCAGAAGACCTGGGTACGATTCTGGATGTGAACATAGTTTATTTAGAGTTTCTTTTTTACATTAATGGTATATTTTTTTTACAGTAAGATGCCCACATTTTTATTTGAGACTAGCCGAACGGCATTGAATTCACAGATAAAAAAGATGTGGGTTCAACTTTCATTTTGGAACAATTTTTCAAGCAAGGGAAGGGAATGATCTGAGCATGCAGGAGGACTGACCCATCATAAACCTTTGTCGGCTGTGCTGAAGAGAAAGGTACAGAACCAAATTATTTAATTAATTAGCTGCACGTTCTCCTGTCCTCTGCCCCCCCCCCCCCCCCCACACACACACACACACACACGGGACTGTCTCAGCTGTTATTTTCGTTAAGGAGTGTGCACGTACAGCATGCGCGCCTCGTGCACGAGCCTACTATTGAAGCTGCTGTTACGCTTTTGGCCTGAGGGGGCAATCGCGAGCATAAAAATTCAAAATTCCGTAAAGTCCCTTTAATTAAACCGGAAAGGGACCAGATCTGAGTAAACTGTTTGGAGCTTTGTTTACTTTAGTGTACCTATTTAGAATGTGTGTTTATTTTAGAACAGCCACTGAGCTTAGTTTCAGTTTGTTCAAATGTCTCCTTAATTAGTCCTTTAATAATAAAGACCTTGTTTTATTTTACCATCTTACCCCCTCCTTCTCCCTAGACAAGCCTAAAGGGGAAACTATTAACGACGTTAACCCATGCGACCCGAGGGCTAACAGTTGAAGAGCCGATGCAGCACTCCTCTACCAGCTTCTCTGGATATCACAAAAAAAAATCTGGTTTATGGAAAAAGTGCTCACATGTTCGAGGAGATGAAAAATCTAAACCACTTGAAGCTCACATACACATTTTCCCCAGAGGACTGCATGACAGCAGTCATTGTATCGCCATAGAAACCATAATCATGGTTTATTTTTTGTACCATCCATTATGATTTTTATCTAGAGGTGCTATATAAATAAATAAATAAATAAATAAACTTTCTTGTTTTTCTTCCTCCTCACTGGAATGAACATAGAAGAGTCCTCACAAATTTAACTTTAGTTTCTTTGTGTAGCTGGTGCTACACAAAGAAACTGAACTCGATAGAAGAACTTGTGAAGAATGCGCTGCTGGACAAGTGTGGTGACCACTTTGACAAAAGTACTACCGTGAACACAGGCCGAAACGCATCCCAGCAGCGGGGTTTCCTGTTGTTGAGACGCATCCCTCAGTCCTAGTCAAACAGTATGAAACTGTTTCAGGTCAAACCGAGTACCTTGGACAGAGAGGCGCTGGTTCGAGGCCGTTTGAGATCTCCATCCTTCACAGAAAACCTGGCCTGTTTACTGATGTTAGTCCCCTGCTGCTTCTGATGCTTCAGACCTTTAGAGCATTTAAATTCTATCACAGTGTCAAACCTGAGAGATTGAGCATAGAAAAACATCAGATAACTGCTGCAAAACAACCATCATGCAAAACACAACATGTGACACACATAAAAAAGGACACCTCTGCTGGAGTTTAGGGTTGGGTTTGACTTACTGAGGGTCAGGGTTGTGTTTCAGTCCCAGTTTATTCCAGGCTGTTTCAGCAAGAAGCTGAGGACACTCGTCTAAGTCCAGCTCGTGACTGCAGACAAACAAAAAGACTTCAAACCGCTGTCTGTTTCAGTAAGTCCCAAATGTACATTCATTTTTTGAGGGTGGACCACAAGTTCTGAATGGCATTAAGGTCTGCGGTGTATCCTGAACCAGGACCCAACATGTTGATGTTCTCTTAGTTCAGACTCTAGCCCTGCGGCCTGGGCTTCATCCAAGCCCCCACAATGCGGGTGAAAAATTGAAGCAAACCCGGAAATGAAATAAATTGCAGTTCCACCCTCATCCACTAGGGGCTGGTGTCAGAAGCGAGCAAATCCTCATTGACTCCCATGTTAAAAATACCAATTTCACAGCAGAAATAAACATGTTTACAGCCTGGTACCAAAACATGTTTTTGGTTTAAATGATCTAGTTTACACTCATGACAACTCTGAGGGGGGTGATTTTTTTATGTCACTCTTCTGTTTAAGTGTATTAAAAGCCTAAAATTCTGTATAATTAATGAGCATCAGACCCACGTGACCACAGAGCTAGCTCCGGGGAAAGACCTCAGTAGAGCCTCGGTCTGGCCTGGAAACTGCTCTGGGTTTTTGAGTCTCTGTGTGTGTGTATTCTTTTTTGCATATTTTTAGTGCAACTGTTGGACAAAATGACTTGCTGTGGCATTAATTGCACTAATAGAGCATCCAAGGAGTCTCCACTTCATTTTTTTCTGTAAGTAAAATTATATTTATGTATTTTAGGTCACTGCCGAGCTGAGCTTAGATTTTAACATGTACTGTTTAACCATGAAATTTAAATGTAATAGGGTAAAACCCAGTGCATTTAACATAATGCTGCACTTTAGAAAATGGGTTGAAATATAACATGTTGGTGGAGCTGGGTTCCGACTATCGGCTTGTGGAGCTCTCGGGAGACCGATGTTTTCCACCCGTTCTTCCCTCCCCGCAGCTCGGCGCTTCTCTGTCTGATCGCGGCTTCTGACTGCTGTGCTGGCTGCTGGCTTGTGGAGCTCTGGGATGGAAACCTCTCCACCCGGTTCTCCACAGCAGCAGCTCTGCGCATCTCAGATTGCAGCGGCGCTTGTCTGCTGTTCGGCTGCCGGCTTGTGGAGGTCTCGGAGACCTCTGTCTTCCACCCTGTTTTACCCAGCGGTCAGCCCGGCGTATCTCTGACTCAGAAGCTCTGGTGTTGTGCACAGTTAACTCCGGTTGTAGCTAGGTTGCTACCTCCGTTAGCTTAGCTCCCACCTCTGCGTTAGCTTTGGGTTAGCTTGTAGCTAGTTCGACCAGGTGTCGTCAGTTGATCCCAGCCTTACAGTCACACCCTCAGCTCCACCTCTCTTCCCTTTTGTGGAATTGTCTGGGCTTGACGGAACCTGTGACACGGTCAAAATGGTGGTGGTGGGAACCTCCCATTTGTCTTCAAAAACGTGTTATTGGAGCCTATGGAAACCCATTGTCCAATATTTTTTTTCGATGGCTTCATCATGCTGGAGAAGACATTATACGTCCCATTATTGTTAGCTGGAGAAGTTCCTCTGAGAGGATGTGAGTGAGTGATGTTTATTTGACATGGACACAGCAATTACATTGGACAAACCAGATGCATTGTTTAGTGTGTTAGCACACGTGCTAATTTGCAACACTTGTCCATAGAACCTTTCTAAAAAGTAGACTACATTTAAATAAAATGTTTAAGTACTATGTTTTATTTGTGGCTTTGTTCTGAAAGGAAACTCTTAAGACACCTTTGAAGGTTTTCTTGGACCGTTTTATCTTTATAAAGTTGTAATTAGCTTTGTTGGCTCTTAAACTGCAGCTTAGAGCTTGTTACTGCTTTCCTTACCGTGATTTAGTTTAGCTTGTTTGTTCTTACCCCAGACCCTTTTGTTTAAGAGCAGTTTTAGTTGTCTACTACTGACTTCTTTATTTGCTGACAGAGTCTTTTAGTTTGTGAATTTCTGGCATAACCTTTAAGTGTGTTAAAGTGTGTGTTATGACTTTTTCTTAGTATTCATCAGTACCAGTCTGTATCATGTTTTGGTGCTTTTGTTATTAAATGCATGTACTCCCTCCCCCTTCCTAACACCTGGTCACAGTTTTATGCTACCTCCGTACATCCCTAGCCAGGACTCAACAGTCCAAATGACTTAAGACACTCACCTGCGTTTGACTTTACCATGTCTTCTAGGTTGTTTATCATCATCATCATCATCGTCGTCGTCTCTCTCTGATGTCCTGCTTTTTGAGTTGTTCTGTCTGTTTGGTTTACCATTAGCCTGTTTACAATCTGAGTAAAAAACAAAACAACTAAGCATTACTTTTGGTAAGTCCCATGTATGGCTGTGGCCCAGGAAGATGAGTGATCCGTTGCCATTTAGAGCTGGTGGTTCAATCATTATCCTCTACTTACAACAACAGAGGTTGACCTCACATGCTGGACCAACCTCCCCATATCATTAATGGGAAGAACAGTAGTTTTTAAAATAATTTTTCTTCCTAGAAGAATGGATAGAAAATATTATATCTTCTCAGCTATCCCTAATAAACCACCTCTAACCTGGTTCAAGTCCTTCATTTCAAGTATTTCCATGCTGTCGGCTAGTGTAAGCACAGGTCTTACACGTGATGTCAGCATTTTTTTGTCACAGAAAGTGACGTTGCGGACCTTAAAACTCCGGTTTTGTCCGTCCACACGCAGACACCCAAAACGGAGAAAACGCAGATCTTCACTTTGGCCGGAGTTTTTAAAAAGATCAGTTTTCGTGTGAAAAAACTCCGTTTTCGTGTGGATGACAGGCCAAAACGTAGAAAAATATCTACGTTTTGGCAGATCCCCGGCTACGTGTGGACAGGGCCTAAAACTTCCCAAATTTTACCACAATAACTTAACTCATCAGCTACAGTAAATCCTATAATGGATTAAACAAAACCCAGTAGATCGTTCATGGTTGATACCAAACAATCCCTCTGTAATGAAATCCCATGTGCAGGATTATGGAACTAGGACTGGGACAATATTACACTTAACTTGTACTGTGTTTGTAACTTGTAACATATTTTGTAACTGTGACTTTTGTTTTGTAGCCTATAACTTTTGTTTTGTAACAGGCAAATTAGTTTTGTAGCATGTAATTCCTGTTTAGTAACACGTAACTTTTGTTTTGTAATGTGTAACTTTTATTTTGTAACATACAACTATACAACTTTTGTTCCATAACACATAACTTTTGTTTAGTAACACATAACTTTTGTTTAGTAACACACTGCTTTTGTTTTGTAACACATGACTTTTGTTTTGTAACACGTAACTTTGTTTTGTGACATAACTTTTGTTTTGTGACATAACTTTTGTTTAGTAACATAACTTTTGTTTAGTAACAGGCAAATTAGATTAGTAGCATGTAATTCTCATTTTGTAACATAACTTTTGTTTTGAAGCATAACTTTTGTTTTGTAACATATATCTTTTGTTTTGCAACAGGCAAATTAGTTTTGTAGCATGTAATTCCTGTTTAGTAACACGCAACTTTTGTTTTGTAACGTATAACTTTTGTTTTGTAACATACAACCTTCGTTTTGTAACATACAACCTTTGTTTTGTAACATACAACTTTTGTTTCATAACACATAACTTTTGTTTAGTGTAACACATAACTTTTGTTTAGTAACACGTGACTTTTGTTTAGTAACACGTGACTTTTGTTTAGTAACACGTGACTTTTGTTTAGTAACACGTGACTTTTGTTTTGTAACACGTGACTTTTGTTTTGTAACACGTGACTTTTGTTTTGTAACACGTAGCTTTTGTTTTGTGACTCGTAACTTTTGTTTTGTGACACGTAACTTTTGTTTTGTGACACGTAACTTTTGTTTTGTGACACGTAACTTTGTTTTGTGACTCGTAACTTTGTTTTGTAACGCGTAACTTTTGTTTTGTAACGCGTAACTTTTGTTTTGTAACACGTAGCTTTTGTTTTGTGACTCGTAACTTTTGTTTTGTAACGCGTAGCTTTTGTTTTGTAACACGTAGCTTTTGTTTTGTGACTCGTAACTTTTGTTTTGTAACACGTAGCTTTTGTTTTGTAACGCGTAACTTTTGTTTTGTAACGCGTAACTTTTGTTTTGTAACACGTAGCTTTTGTTTTGTGACTCGTAACTTTTGTTTTGTGACACGTAACTTTTGTTTTGTGACACGTAACTTTGTTTTGTGACACGTAACTTTTGTTTTGTGACACGTAACTTTTGTTTTGTGACATGTAACTTTTGTTTTGTGACATAACTTTTGTTTTGTGACATAACTTTTGTTTAGTAACGGGCAAATTAGTTTAGCAGCATGTAATTCTCATTTTGTAACAAAACTTTTATTTTGTAACATAACTTTTGTTTTGTAACATATAACTTGTTTTGTAACATATACCTTTCGTAACAGGCAAATTAGTTTTGTAGCATGTAATTCCTGTTTAGTAACACGTAACTTTTGTTTTGTAACATATACCTTTTGTTTTGTAACAGGCAAATTAGTTTTGTAGCATGTAATTCCTGTTTAGTAACACGTAACTTTTGTTTTGTAACATATACCTTTTGTTTTGTAACAGGCAAATTAGTTTTGTAGCATGTAATTCCTGTTTAGTAACACGTAACTTGTAACAGGCAAATTAGTTTTGTAGCATGTAATTCCTGTTTAGTAACACGTAACTTTTGTTTTGTAATGTATAACTTTTGTTTTGCGACATATAACTTTTGTTTTGTGACATATAACTTTTGCTTTGTAACAAATAACTTTTGTTTTACAGGCAAATTAGTTTTGTAGCAGCTTGGTACAAGTTACAAGTAATATTGTCCCACTCCTAGTTCCATACAGGATCACAAATCGTACCCTTATCAGTCCCATATTCCCTTAGAGGCATATATGTTTCAAAAATACGAATATGTCTGACAGCCTGGAAAGAATTTCTTGAAATGAACAAGTCCTCATTTTTCTCTTTTAGAATCACACCCATCTAGGACCATGACAGCTAGCAAAATAAAATAAAAAAGTCCTTAACTTAAATGGCAAAGCAAAGGAACGAGCTCAGTACTGAATTTGCTTACATTTGTTTAAAATTACTCTTTATAATGTAACCTGTCAGGGATTAAAGAAAATGTACTCTTGTGGAGTTACTATTAGGGCTGCAGCTATCAAATATTTTAGTATTCTAGTATTCTATCAAACCTTCCATCGATTAATCGAGTATTCTATTAGATCATGGTTTGCTGCTAAAAATATGAAAATAAAAAAGCTAAATTATAAAAGGTTCTGTGTTGTCCAGCTGATATTTATAGTTAATAAATATTTTATGGAACAACATTTGACTTACATTTCTAATCACAATTTAGGTTTGCATTAACCTCAACCTAGTCAAAGTAACATATCTAAATATATCAACATATAATCAGTAGAATTTACAATGTTCAGTAGTAAGCTACTAAAAATGCTAACATTTAATTTCTACTTGTAACAATGTACTTGTACATTTATTTTATTATGTACGGGTTGGCAACATAATCTAGTCTAAATTGTATTGAAATATAAAAGTGTTAGTGAATTATATGCTACAACAGCTTGCCATATATGTCTGCGGTGGATGGAGCGGACTCGTAGCAACTGTTTCGAAACAGTAAAAAGAATATGAATCAAGCAATTTAATGAATTGAACCACTCGAATCATTTGATGATTTGTTTCAGCCCTAGCTACTATTTAATACTATACTCCAGTGTTGATGAAAATTCCCCTAAAACAGTTGGTGTTTGTCAATAACAAGGAACCTTAACTTGATGTTTTGGTCTCACTCCAGTTGCCTAGGAGATACTTCATCAGGAACCACCAAGGCGTGTTCCAATGCCCATGTTCCACCGAGGCGTCTGTTCTCTGCTTGTTAGCTAAATAGCTAGCTGAGCAAGGATACATGGCAGGTGCCTTGTAGCCTGGCCTTGTTAAAAAAAATTTTCCTAAAATACAGCGCAGCATTTTCAAAAGGATGGCAGATCAGGAGCCAGCCCCTACTTCAGGTTCAAATTTCAAGTTTAAATGCAAGTCTACTAATTGTAGCTATCAGGCTGATATCTGAAATGTTTTTCATATATCCAAAGCAGTTATCTACGGTTGGTTAGTTGCTTAGTAGCTGATGCTTCGGTGGCTAGCAGGAAGTAATTTACTTGCATTTTTAATTTAACCAATATATACAAAATTTAAAAGGCTCATTATACAATTATACTGAAACTTATACGTATTGTAACGTCACGAAATGGACTGATTTTAAAGATCCCACAGGTCATATGCAGCCAGAGCAAATAACCCTGGCTACTACATGTTCTGCTGCATCTTCCCTTGTCAGGAGTCTGTGAGTCTGCACAACTCAGCATTTTAATCAGATGACTTCATCAGCTGAGCGCAGCTTCATCAGATTATAAAGATGAACAGTAGCAGCCAAGGCCCTTCACAGGAGAACTGCTTTAGATAAACCTTTATTCCCAGAAGAAAGAAGATTTCATAATTAATCATTTTATAATTCAAAATAATCATTGATGAAAGAAGATTTTATGATTAAAAATCATTACATATTGCCATGTATAATTAGGCAATGAAATGTTCAGGAATCTGTAATCAATGATGGTTTAGTATGTTTACTAGATGAGGTCATCACCATCTGCTCACACACCAGACAAGAAGTAAAATTAAGAATGCATGACACATAACTAACCTTGTCCCTAGACTCAGAGACTCTGCGTCTCAGAGCGTGTGTTTCTGAGATTCTTGGTAAGTTTGGTAATAGATAACAGCGGGTATATAAACCAGCCGCTCTGCTTTCTCGGCAAGCTAGAGACCGGCCATCTCTTAGCAGATCTCTAGCTCAGAAAGATTTTGACAAGCTGTGAAAACCTTAAAGCTGAGAACAACAAGATAGTTTTCCTGCAGCACAAAGCTGATTTCGCAAAACTCCTTCAGAGTTATTTTAAGATGCGTGTTTCCATCCATCTGTCGTGACCCGAGACACATCTCTAGGACTGAAAGGACGGCACCTCGGTACTCTACAGCCCTCCGGTGCCAGCGGTCATCCGACCACTCTGACTTTCGGATCCACCAAGAGGGTGCCTCTACGGTAATGTAGACACACAGATAGCGGCTGTATGCAGTTTGATAAATAACAGCTTATAGCTTATCTGCAAACCAGATTCTTTTATCCAAAACGCACCTCTCTGAAGATACGGAGATTCTGATTCATCATCTCATACTCACATATAGTTTT